TATATATATATAGGAATATATAATATGATATATATATATATTATAGTATATATATATATATAAGATGATAATGTTGTACATCATTCTGCAACCATGATCAAAACATTAATACAGATCACAATGACATGACATTCATGAAACATGACATTAGCATAAAAACATGACATTAAAAAAACAGTTCTGTGATATATACGACAATCTCCAGGCATGGAAACATTTTCCAGTTCAAACAATATGAAGACATATGACAGTATTCAAGTGTGATTATACGATTTAACAATAGAATCAAGTTCTCCAGGCAGGAATATATTACAAATGACTGATGATATTTGATATTTTGTGATGATAATAACATGAATATTCTCCAAATATCTGTGTAGGAAAAACTGTCACAACAATGTGGGCTCTTCTACAACTTCCTCATCTGGCAGACCTGCACGTGTGGCTGGTTGTCAGGTGTCTCCTAGAGCTGCTATGAACATAAGACTAACATCAAACATGTCCTTCAGCAACTATCTGAGCTGGTTGTCAGGTGTTTCCTAGAGCTGCTATAAACATAAGACTAACATCAAACATGTCCTTCAGCAACTATCTGAGCTGGTTGTCAGTTGTCTCCTAGAGCTGCTATAAACATGAGACTAACATCAAACATGTCCTTCAGCAACTATCTGAGCTGGTTGTCAGTTGTCTCCTAGAGCTGCTATAAACATAAGACTAACATCAAACATGTCCTTCAGCAACTATCTGAGCTGGTTGTCAGTTGTCTCCTAGAGCTGCTATGAACATAAGACTAACATCAAACATGTCCTTCAGCAACTATCTGAGCTGGTTGTCAGTTGTCTCCTAGAGCTGCTATAAACATGAGACTAACATCAAACATGTCTTTCAGCAACTATGTGAGCTGGTTGTCAGGTGTCTCCTAGAGCTGCTATAAACATGAGACATGAAACCAACATCAAACATTTCCTTTAGCAACTATGTGAGCTGGTTGTCAGGTGTCTCCTAGAGCTGCTATGAACAAGAGACATAAGACTAACATCAAACATGTCCTTTAGCAACCATGTGAGCTGGTTGTCAGGTGTCTCCTAGAGCTGCTATGAACAAGAGACATAAGACTAACATCAAACATGTCCTTCAGCAACTATCTGAGCTGGTTGTCAGGTGTCTCCTACAGCTGCTATGAACATGAGACATGAGACCAACATCAAACATTTCCTTCAGCAACTATGTGAGCAAGTACATCATGCTGACATCATCATCATCATGTAGCAGGTCCTTTGCAGAACGTCGCTCTCATCACAGTCTGCCTGTAAGAAACTCGGTCTCTTGCCAGTTCTCCCGCCTCATGAACTTTCACACTCAAGGAGTCACTTATATCCTGTGCCCATCTTCGTGTCGGTCGGCCTCTGCCCCTCCTTCCTGGTACCATGCCTTCTGCTATAATTTTTTTCCAATTCGTCGTGGCGCTTGATATGACCAAAATATTTCAGCTTTCGAGAAAGGATGCTGTTTATTAGCCAATCTTCCTTGATGTTCAGATCTTTTAAGATGTCAGTATTTCTCATCTTCTTTGTCCAAGATATTCTGAGAATCATTCTATAACATTTCAGCTCAAAAGCCCCTATTCTCTTTCTTAAGGACTGAGAGATAGTCCACGACTCACATCCGTATGTAGCCACAGGGAAGATGCATGCTCTCAAAATTCTAATTTTTATCTCCTTGCTGGTGCTTAACCATAGACTTTTAAGGCTGTTCAATCTTTGCATTGCTATGGCCATCCTCCTTTTAATTTCTGTCGAACAGTCTCCATTGTTGTTTATTATAGAGAAAAGATATTCAAAGTTTGTGACATTTTCAATTTCTTCATCATTTATTGTTATTTTTGGGTGACAGCCAGTTTTATCTGTGGAAATTATTTTCATTTTCTTTAAATTCAAGAACAGATTTTGATCTTCACTGTGTTTTTGGACAGACAATATTAAATTTTCTATTCCCTTTACGCTGTTCGAAAGGAGGACTGTAAAGGGAATAGAAAATTTAATAATAATATTATAATATTTAATATTTATTATTAAAATTCTAATTTTTATCTCCTTGCTAGTGCTTAACCATGCTGACATCATCATCTAGAATTTCTCCGAACAAAACACACAACATGGACATCTGACATTGTCACGCAGGGTGAAAACTGACAAACTTTGTTACACTGTCATGTGACCATCTTTTTAAAGTAACAGTTACCATAGCCATAACATGGGACACAGCTGACGTGTAGCAAAAACTATAACTGACATGTTGCAAGAACAGTAAGTAAGAAGAAAAGAACTACCATAAATGACAGTTGTCAACTGTCACAAAGGTGACAGGTTATGACAGGCATTTATAACCACAGAAGCCAGGAACTACAAGATAAATCAAATGACAATGATAGCAATGGAAGAGAGAGATGACAAGAACTACAACAGATGACAAGAACTACAACAGATGATATCTCTGACATCAGTGTGGTCTACCGGCATTAGAACTAATCACTATATCACTGCAAAAACAAAACAACTTCTACATCACAGGATAAACACTGCATTCATATGTTGTACAACATTCATACATCACAGTTTGGTACAAACAGAACACAACACTAGCAATATACAGATAACAAAACATCTTGTTTCACATTAATATGTTATGACATGAACAATAGATTACACAATCAATAAGTCACAGCCCGATATGAAAGACAGTAAGCAGTTATGTGTGGGACAAATGTGTACCGACTGTTCTCACCAGAAATGTGGCTAGTGGCAGGCCAGTGTAGCCTGGAGTGTTGGTGTGGCTAGTGGCAGGCCAGTGTAGCCTGGAGTGTTGGTGTGGCTTGTGTCAGGTCAGTGTAGCCTGGAGTGTTGGCGTGGCTTGTGTCAGGCCAGTGTAGCCTGGAGTGTTGGCGTGGCTTGTGGCAGGCCAGTGTAGCCTGGAGTGTTGGTGTGGCTAGTGGCAGGCCAGTGTAGCCTGGAATGTTGGCGTGGCTTGTGTCAGGCCAGTGTAGCCTGGAGTGTTGGTGTGGCTTGTGTCAGGCCAGTGTAGCCTGGAGTGTTGGTGTGGCTTGTGTCAGGCCAGTGTAGCCTGGAGTGTTGGTGTGGCTAGTGGCAGGCCAGTGTAGCCTGGAGTGTTGGTGTGGCTAGTGGCAGGCCAGTGTAGCCTGGAGTGTTGGCGTGGCTTGTGTCAGGCCAGTGTAGCCTGAAGTGTTGGTGTGGCTAGTGGCAGGCCAGTGTAGCCTGGAGTGTTGGTGTGGCTAGTGGCAGGCTAGTGTAGCCTGGAGTGTTGGTGTGGCTAGTGGCAGGCTAGTGTAGCCTGGAGTTGAGGCAGCAACAACACAACAAGATCTGCACACTGTCAAAGATTAGGCGTTAGAGTGAACATCATGTGCTGTGTTTTTACATGGAGATACTATCCATGTCATGCCGTAGCATCAAGCTACCAACCTGTGATCTTTAAGAGCACCAAGCAGCCAACATGTGGGCTTCAAAAGCACAAGACAAGAGCACCAGACAACCAACCAGCCAACATGTGGGCTTCAAGAGCACCAGTTTTTAGAGCAAACTCCATGGAGGAGAAGGGTAATATTGTGATGACTGACTATAAACATGTACTAGAAAATAGAACAAATGAAGCAAGAGGATACTTGTGCTGACATGTCAGTGTGGCTTCAGCCAGCATCAATGTAAGAGATGGGTTGAATCCCAGGAGCAAACAACCCATGAGTGCCACTGGAGCAGACAGTATCTGTAACCGACACCATCTGGTGACAAAGACTGAACACCAGGTTTCAGTTATGACAACCAAGGAGACACACTGCAAACACTATGGACAAGACAAATGATAACAAGTGACAGAGACTGGGGGTCAACACAAGAAATCGATCCAAGGTAAATATCAGGTAAGAGTAGAGCGCGTATAGGTTAAACAAAAACAAAAACATTGCTATGCCTGGAAAGTCTCTATCATACAAATGTTGACATCCATCAGGAACATGTGGAACCACACTGAGCTGATCTGATTACCAAACAACCTCTCATTTGTCTCTGATCTGATTGTCTTTGGCCAAGTCAGCCTGCAACTTGACAAATGTCATGCTACTATCATATGCAACAGATCCATCCAGTGATTATCAGCAAACTGTTACACATAATTTTGGGTCACCAGCATTGTGTATACAAATCAGGGCCCACAATATTTGGTCTCACACAGATCAGGATCTCGATATTTGGTCCCACACAAGTCAGGGTCCGTACATTTAGTCCCACACAAGTCAGGGTCCATACATTTGGTCCCACACAAGTCAGGGCCCGTACATTTGGTCCTATACAGGTCAGGATTCCCACATTTGGTCCCACACAAGTCAGGGCCCGTACATTTGGTCCCACACAAGTTAGGGCCCGTACATTTGGTCCCACACAGGTCAGGGCCTGTACATTTGGTCTCACACAAGTCAGGGTCCGTACATTTGGTCCCACACAAGTCAGGGCCTGTACATTTGGTCCCACACAAGTCAGGGTCCGTACATTTGGTCCCACACAAGTCAGGGCCCGTACATTTGGTCCCACACAAGTCAGGGCTCGTACATTTGGTCCCACACAAGTCAGGGCCCGTACATTTGGTCCCACACAAGTCAGGGCCCGTACATTTGGTCCCACACAAGTCAGGGCCCGTACATTTGGTCCCACACAAGTCAGGGTCCGTACATTTGGTCCCACACAAGTCAGGGCCCATTTGGTACATTTCAGGGCACATTTGGTCCACACAAAGTCAGGGTCCCGTACATTTGGTCCCACAAGTACAACATTTGGTCCCACACAAGTCAGGGCCCGTACAATCCCACACAAGTGGGCCCGTACACCCACACAAGTCAGGGCCCATACATTTGGTCCCACACAAGTCAGGACTCCCACATTTGGTCTTTCAAAAGCCCAACCCCTCCCCCCCCCCCCCTTTCTTGTCCTATATTATAAAAGGTCAGGCAAGGTTAACGAAGGCAGGGTCTGGTCCACACAGTTGACCCAGAAGTTGGCACAGGTGGCGTGGTACTGGCGCCCAGCATAGGTCAGCTTACAGCTGTTGGTGACTAGCATGCTCCCAGGGTGAGGCCCCGCAGGGGCTGGGGGAGGTCTGGCGTCAACATTCAGCAGACACAGACCACAGGCCAGGTGCTGGGCATCTTCCCAGTCTGACTTGAGCACACAGTTGCTGAAGGTCAGCGATGTCTCGTCCGGCTGCAACAAGACAGTTAAACGCATTCAATATACAGACATCATGAGGTCCAGTAGTTAGTTCAGTCACCTGCCAATACTGGAGTTATGGGTTTCATTACCAGCCTCAAGCATGTGTTAACCCCAGAGAGGTTTCTCAGAGAGGTTCAAACAGACAATGTAACACAAACTACACAATGTTGAAGTAGATCCACATCAAAGAACTCTGTCACTGGTGGAAAGCCACTCCATATCACTGGTTTAGTGCCGGCTAGCTACTCTTCCACAGTTAATCAGTCTCCACAGATCTGCCTCTTTGACCAGTTCCAGGCCGGGCTATGAAAGACTGGTCAAGTGATAACAGGCCGGGCTATGAAAGACTGGTCAAGTGATAACAGGCCGGGCTATGAAAGACTGGTCAAGTGATAACAGGCCGGGCAATGAAAGACTGGTCAAGTGATCAAGATGTTTGTCTCAACACCACTGTGACCACTGTGTTGATTTTCAACTCCGGGTTCAGTTTTGTCAGTGCTGGTGACTCTGACATCCCTGAGGATCATTGCTGGAGCAACAGAAGTTTGTGTCTTTGGAGACAGTGATTACTCAAGAGCTTAGTGGTGTTCTATGTAGTGATACATGCGAGTGTTCACCAACTGTGGTATTTCATCTAGTGATACATTCAAGTGTTCACCAACTGTGGTATTTCATCTAGTGATACATGCAAGTGTTTATCAACTGTGGTATTTTATATGGTGATACATGCAAGTGTTCATCAACTGTGGTATTTCATCTAGTAACACAATGAAGTGTTTACTCACCAATGGTGGTATTTCATCTAGTGACACACTCAAGTGTTTACTAATGGTGGTATTTCACCTAGTGACAAATTCAAGTGTTTATCAACTGTAGTATTTCATCTAGTGATACATGCAACAGTAGCATTTCATCTAGTGACACACTCAAGTGTTCACCAACTGTGGTATTTCATCTAGTGACACACTCAAGTCAACGGTGGTATTTCATTTAGTGATACATGCAAGTGTTTACCAGCGGTGGTATTTCATCTAGTAACACTTGCAAGTGTTTATCAACTGTAGCATTTCATCTAGTGATACATGCAAGTGTTCACCAACTGTGGTATTTCATCTAGTGATACATGCGAGTGTTCACCAACTGTGGTATTTCATCTAGTGATACACTCAAGTCAACAGTGGTATTTCATCTAGTGATACATGCAAGTACTCACCAACTGTGGTATTTCATCTAGTGATACATGCAAGCATTTACCAACTGTGGTATTTCATTTAGTGATACATGCAAGCATTCATCAACTGTGGTATTTCATTTAGTGATACATGCAAGTGTTCACCAATGGTGGCATTGCATCCAGTGATACATGCAAGTGTTCACCAATGGTGGTATTTCATCCAGTGATACATGCAAGTGGTAATCAACTGTAGTATTGCATTCAGTGATACATGCAAGCGTTCATAAACTGTGGTATTTTAGCTAGTGATCCATGCAAATGTTAATCAACTGTGGTATTTAATCTAGTGACACACTAAAGTGTTCACCAATGGTTGTATTTTATCTAGTGATACATGAAAGTGTTCATCAGCTGTGATATTTCATCTATTGATACATGAAAGTGTTTATCAGCTGTGATATTTCACCTAGTGATACATGCAAGTGTTCATCAGCTGTGATATTTCATCAAGTGATACATGCAAGTGTTTATCAACTGTGATATTTTATCCTATTGATACATGCAAGTGTTTATCAACTGTGATATTTCATCCTATTGATACATGCAAGTGTTTATCAACTGTGATATTTCATCCTATTGATACATGCAAGTGTTTATCAACTGTGATATTTCATCCTATTGATACATGCAAGTGTTTATCAGCTGTGATATTTCATCTATTGATACATGCAAGTGTTTATCAACTGTGATATTTCATCCTATTGATACATGCAAGTGTTCATCAGCTGTGATATTTCATCTAGTGATACATGCAAGTGTTTATCAACTGTGATATTTCATCTAGTGATACATGCAAGTGTTTATCAGCTGTGATATTTCATCTAGTGATACATGCAAGTGTTTATCAACTGTGATATTTCATCTAGTGATACATGAAAGTGTTCATCAGCTGTGATATTTCATCCTATTGATACATGCAAGTGTTTATCAACTGTGATATTTCATCCTATTGATACATGCAAGTGTTTATCAGCTGTGATATTTCATCTATTGATACATGCAAGTGTTTATCAACTGTGATATTTCATCCTATTGATACATGCAAGTGTTTATCAGCTGTGATATTTCATCTATTGATACATGCAAGTGTTTATCAACTGTGATATTTCATCCTATTGATACATGCAAGTGTTCATCAGCTGTGATATTTCATCTTGTGATACATGCAAGTGTTTATCAACTGTGATATTTCATCTAGTGATACATGCAAGTGTTTATCAGCTGTGATATTTCATCTAGTGATACATTCAAGTGTTTATCAACTGTGATATTTCATCTAGTGATACATGCAAGTGTTTATCAACTGTGATATTTTATCTAGTGATACATGCAAGTGTTCATCAGCTGTGATATTTCATCTAGTGATACATGCAAGTGTTTATAAACTGTGATATTTCATCTAGTGATACATGCAAGTGTTCATCAACTGTGGTGATGGCGAATGTGTTTCCGTGATCTAGAAGACTGCTAGGGATTACATCTGTGATAAGAACAATGAAAATGACAATGAGCCAAGTATGGAGACATGAAGACCAGACACACTCACCAGTAAGGAAGTTCCCACAAGGAAGGCAGTCAAATTGTTCCAGGCCAGGTGGATGTGCTTTAGCGTCTGCTCTAGCTCTTTGGTAGATATAGCTGGGGACACACACACAAAAACATCTCTGAGTACACCTTGCTTCCCAAATATTTCACTAGATCAATCCTCTTCTTCTTCCTCCTCTGGTAAGTATCTCAAACCTCATTATGAACCTCACAGGTTTGTGTCTTTGACTGCAGCTTGAATTAGTGCTAGGTCCATCTGAGGTAACTGGCATCATCTACCCATAACCTGGTGCTTACCTCTAAGGTAACTGTCATCATCTACCCATAACCTGGTGCTTACCTCTAAGGTAACTGGCATCATCTACCCATAACCTGATGCTTACCTATAATTTAACTGGCATCATCTACACATAATGTGGTGCTTACCTCCTAGGTAACTGGCATCATCTACCTATAACCTGGTGCTTACCTCCCAGATAACTTGCATCATCTACACATAAACTGGTGCTTACCTCTAAGGTAACTGTCATCATCTACCTATAACCTGGTGCTTACCTCTAAGGTAACTGGCATCATCTACCCATAACCTGGTGCTTACCTCTAAGGTAACTGTCATCATCTACCTATAACCTGGTGCTTACCTCTAAGGTAACTGACATCATCTACCCATAACCTGGTGCTTACCTCTAAGGTAACTGGCATCATCTACCCATAACCTGGTGTTTACCTCCCAGGTAACTGGCATTATCTACCCATAACCTGGTGCTTACGTCCATGGTAACTGGCATCATCTACCCATAACCTGGTGGTTACCTCTAAGGTAACTGACATAATCTACACATAACCTGGTGGTTACCTCTAAGGTAACTGGCATCATCTACACATAACCTGGTGGTTACCTCTAAGGTAACTGGCATCATCTACCTATAACCTGGTGCTTACCTCTAAGGTAAATGGCATCATCTACACATAACCTGGTACTTACCTCCCAGGTAACTGGCATCATCTACACATAACCTGGTGCTTACCTCCCAGGTAACTGGCATCATCTACCCATAACCTGGTGTCTACCTATGTAGACCCTGGCAAGTGGTGGTCAGCTACACTAGAGAGAGCAGAATCTGGCAAGTGGTGGTCAGCTACACTAGAGAGTACAGAATCTGGCAAGTGGTGGTCAGCTACACTAGAGAGTACAGAATCTGGCAAGTGGTGGTCAGCTACACTAGAGAGTACAGAATCTGGCAAGTGGTGGTCAGCTACACTAGAGAGTACAGAATCTGGCAAGTGGTGGTCAGCTACACTAGAGAGTACAGAATCTGGCAAGTGGTGGTCAGCTACACTAGAGAGTACAGAATCTGGCAAGTGGTGGTCAGCTACACTAGAGAGTACAGAATCTGGCAAGGCAGCGAAGACTGACATCTACTACATTCCCATTTCTACTCCAGTATACGGATCCAATCTTGACATAGTTATCAAATCTTGACACATTGCTCCAATCTTGACATAGTTATCAAATCTTGACACATTGCTCCAATCTTGACATAGTTATCAAATCTTGACACATTGCTCCAATCTTGACACATTGCTCCAATCTTGACATAGTTATCAAATCTTGACACATTGCTCCAATCTTGACATAGTTATCAAATCTTGACACATTGCTCCAATCTTGACATAGTTATCAAATCTTGACACATTGCTCCAATCTTGACACATTGCTCCAATCTTGACATAGTTATCAAATCTTGACACATTGCTCCAATCTTGACATAGTTATCAAATCTTGACACATTGCTCCAATCTTGACATAGTTATCAAATCTTGACACATTGCTCCAATCTTGACACATTGCTCCAATCTTGACATACTGATCCTATCTTGACATACTGATCTTAGCTCGACATACTAATTCAATCCTGACATACTTAAGCCTCTATTGTCTGGAAAGATAGAAAGGCGCCAATCAATCATAACATACTTATCCAATCTTGATTTTATTTTTTGATTCAAGGAAGCAATGGCATTAAGATAATAGAGTTGAGCTGAGTCCGGAATTGTCACCACAGCCCTGGAATGAAGATGAGAGAGTGAGTGATAATGCACAACTCTCCCATTTTGCACAGGAGAATGTCAAGTTGTACACAGAAATATTAACCCAAGCAGAACACTGATAGCCAAACAGTGGGCTGAACCCAAGCAGAACACTGACAGCTACATACTTGGCTGAACCCAAGCAGAACACTGACAGCAACCTACTTGGCTGAACCCAAGCAGAACACAGACAGCCACATACTTGGCTGAACCCAAGCAGAACACTGACAGCCATATACTTGGCTGAACCCAAGCAGAATACTGACAGCCACATGCTTGGCTGAATCCAAGCAGAACACTGACAGCCACATACTTGGCTGAACCCAAGCAGAACACTGACATCCATATACTTGGCTGAACCCAAGCAGAACACTGACAGCCATATACTTGGCTGAACCCAAGCAGAACACTGACATCCATATACTTGGCTGAACCCAAGCAGAACACTGACATCCATATACTTGGCTGAATCCAAGCAGAACACTGACATCCACATGCTTGGCTGATCAACTATTACCATGCTGACAGTGTTCGCCCTGTGGAAGAAGGTAACATGTACACAGGTGCAGACTCTGTTCCAGTGCTATACTACCTGGACTTACCTGTAACCCTCATGGAGGTAAGAACTCTGCACACAACCCGGTATATTTCCACAACACCTGTGGAGCACAGAAGGACAGGCCAGATGAGAACAATTAGTGACAACAGGTGTCGCACAAACAAACAACCGTTGCACCTATGGGACTAGAAATACACCTGAACATCCCTGGTGCCATCTCAGCTACCCCACCCTGCTGGTCAGACAGGGTACCCCATAACACACACTGCTGGTCAAACAGGGTACCCCATAACACACCCTGCTTGTCAGTCAGGGTACCCCATAACACACCCTGCTGGTCAGTCAGGGTACCCCATAACACATACTGCTGGTCAGTCAGGGTACTACATAACACATACTGCTGGTCAGTCAGGGTACCCCATAACACACCCTGCTGGTCAGTCAGGGTATCCCATAACACACCCTGCTGGTCAGTCAGGGTACCCATAACACACCCTGCTGGTCAGTCAGGGTACCCCATAACACATAACTGCTTTTGGGGTCTCAGAAGTAAGGCGTCTACATCAGTGGTACAAAGCCAAAAGTCACTTGAGTGCAATTCTGGCTAATGTCATCTAGGTAACTTTGCAGGGCTGTTATTTGTCACTTGACAATATGCTGTCTTAATCCAAACAAGCCACAATAAACAGGTAAACAATACTTTTTACTAAGTACACCATTTTTGAAGACATCTCAGAGTTCAAACAGGATGTTCTTAAAACAAAAATTTCGTACTTGAGTGACTCTGGCACATTCTAGCGATCTATTCTGTGTCACAGTCCAGTCAGACTGGCCAGCCTGTGTCCTCCCTGGCCTCTCTTTCCACTCATACAAAGCTCATAAACAAAGAGTTATCAGTTTTACAAGAACATAGTCACAGGAATACAGAATGGAAGTTCAGCCAAAAAGCATTTATTAGCACATAAGAACAACAAAAGACACTAAAACTGTTAAGTTAAAATACGATACAAATGGCACTCAGCTATAAAACCTGGATCCTCAAACATTACAGAGACAGACATTTAACATGGAGATATTTACAGACAGACAGGCAGGCAGGAAACTCTCTCAGCAATCACATCAGAGAATGTTGAGATAACTCTTGCCATGACTACAAGCAGAGTTCACCTGCTTATCTTCCCCTGCTTCAGGTCACAGGTCAGCAGCAGACACTAGCATGTCCTTCATCAACTCACTGTCTTCTGATAGTTTTACATTCCGGTCTCATATATCCTCACAAGAGACTCATCTCTCGACTTCACCACAAGTGTTGACATGCTCCCTATCATTTCCTGATGCTTTTGTGGAGTCAAGAAATAGCACCCAATCCCAAACATTTCTTTGTTGCTTTCTCCTCCACAATACTCTCAACACCCTCCTTAAACCCCCACCCCCCAGAAAAATTGCACACATCTTCCCTGACTCCAGTTACTCCATCATTTTCCAATGCTAGTCTAGTAAGTGTCGGCTCTGTGGCTAAGTCAATGCGAATGCTTCATAATGCCGGGTTCGATACCAGCTGCGAGCCATGCGCCTTGAGATGGTTTTGACAGTGTTATCAAGAAAGCCGACCGTCCAGAAAGCAATGGCAAACTACTGGACATAAATTTGCCTAGAAAAACCACACAACAGCCAGGGGCTGTTGGAGTTGGTTCTGCAACGTCCTGTAAAGGATACGAAAATAACCCAGAAATCCAGTAAGTGAGTGGTGCATACACAGATTCTCTCTCTCTCTTTCTCTCTCTCTCTCTCTCCTCTCTCTCTCTCTTGCACGCACGTGCACCCATGCACACACACACACAAGTCAGAGGTCACTCACAGGTCATATAGTCACAGCCCTGCGATGACTTGAGAATCTCATTACACACAGATGAACTGTTGATGGTATTGAACAGGCAGTTTGCTTCAGAAATCACCTTCAGACAGTTAGCCAGGCAACGCTCCCACTCATAACCATAGCGATCACTGCCCTGGAAGACACAAACATGAGAGAACACACCTCAGTGACTGTCTGCTGTTGGTCTGCAGATTACTTTTATCTCCCCAAACACCACACAGGGATATCTCCCCCAAACACCACACAGGGATATCTCCCCAAACACTACACAGGGATATCTCCCCCAAACACCTCACAGGGATATCTGTGTTAACACCATACAGAGATATCTCATTTAACACCACACAGGGATATCTCCCCAAACACCTCACAGGGATATCTGCCCAAACACCACACAGGGATATCTGCCCAAACACCACACAGGGATATCTGCCCAAACACCACACAGGGATATCTCTCCAAACACCACAAGGGGATATCTTCTTTAACATCACACAGGGCTATCTCCTTTAACATCACACAGGGCTATCTCCCCAAACATTACACAGGGATTGTGACGATACGCTCGGTGACTTCAGAATGTCTTTCCTCAACCTACTTTTATTTCTATGTATTCTAAAGTATACATAAATAATATGGTTTTGGATACATCCTTAATCTAAGTAAGGCGACCTGAACAAACATTTAATTCTTCTGGGCGGCTGGTGATATCTAACACTGAGACTCTTTCCCAGACGTTAAGTGTTAAGGTACAGAGATAAGACTGACCAGGCTCAGACTTTGTGACTGAGATTTCACTTGCCAAAACTTAGGTGTCAGATAATTATCTTCTAGCCAGACCTTTAGGAGCAGATAACTCAGGCTAATTGCCATTATCTCCCCCTGAGGTTACCCAACTTTAGTGCAGGCCAGATCGCCAAAGGTCTGGTGGAGTTGTTAGCAAACAACCTGACAGGTTGAAGTAGGCAGGAGGTGTGACTATGTTTATTAGCTTTGACCAGCTTGATTGAACCTGGAGAATGTGACCATGGGAATTCAAACAATTGTTGTACAGTCACTGACTGACAGCGAATAGACTTACCCATGGGGAGGAGCTGTGACATCCTTGAATGAGAATGGTTTTAGGAGTAATGTAGGAGGCGCTTAGAAAAGTTATAAAAGGGTAAATGAGACTCTGTCAAAAGCATGCCATTTGTTGGGCTTAAACCTAAGCTTGAGACAGAACTTTTGGCATTGTGATTTCATTCTCCAGGTAAGGAAAACTAGTTTGAAAACCTTTATTTCCTGATAGAAATCTAACTGTCTTTTTGCTCAAGTGTGTGTCTTCATCACTTTGTAGTACTCCTAGGCGGACATTTCTCCATTCTCGTAGTCACATTGCTTTATATCCTAATTGATAGTGTCAGGAATGTTTTTTCGTGCACATGTGTTTCAATGTTGTAAAACCTAAATGTGGATGTTACCATTGAAATTTTATGAACTATCACGTTTTTGAAATCACAAGCGTGAAGATAACTTTGGCAATCTTGTCACGTGTGGTTAATGTGAATCTGTATTACATACAGCTAGCACACTGAAATGTGTTTAACTCCCGGGAGGCTAATGCGGTGATTGATCCCGGAGAGTAAATCCATGTGATTTGTTATTTGATTCGCCCCAGAACTATTGTTAGCATTCTGGGCGCGTCCATTGTTCCAAGCCTTGATTCCAGAACTTGTTCTGTCTGACTGATTGTCATTTTGAGTCTGTACCAGAGATGACATCAGACATAGAAGACTTGACTATCATTACAGGACGTGAGTAGAGGAAGGCAGTAAATGTAACGGCTTTAATGTGAGACATAAGCCCTTCCAAACTGGACAGGAGTGAATGTGAAAATGAGGGAGAGGTGAAATGTTTTATTTAAATAAACATGTTTCATGTTTTTATAATATACATGCTTAGTGTACATCTAGATTAGATACTACAGATATGCGCTTGTTTCTTTATCACAGTTCCCACATTGGGCAGGGACTAGTAGGCATCCATTCTTTGCCGACCGTCGAGTGTAACGACCTGCTTGAAAGCAGTGAGGACGACAAACTGGAAAAGAATAGGCAGGGTCTCAAGCTGAGAACTGTCCAAAGGTTGTTACTTTCCAATTACATATATAATTTCATTATTAACATTACCTCAACTCTACTAGCCTAAACAAGTTCATTTTATTTTGGTTAGATTTATTCAATAAATCTTGTTCATGTTGTTACAAAATAGTTGAGTAAATTGTGTACTTAGGCTCAAGTGTCTTTGTGCATATTAGTTTACTTCAGCTAACAAATATTTAAATCACTTGATGGGGGCCTTTAAGTAATGCCAGGAGAGGAGATAAGTCGGAAGGGGTTAACTGTGTATCTAGATAATATCACAGTGGGTTTATCCTGATATCTATCTATCCCTTCTCCTACTCCTGTGGATACAAGTATAGCAATTTTCATTTCATGGAACGAGCCACTCGCTGTTTTCTTGGCTATCCAGGACTGTCTAGGATCAACATAGCTTAGATATTAGTCCAGTTTCTCACGTGGGTGGGCATTGTTAAGGTTCAAACCCACACCCTCACTATATCAGTGGGCTCGCGACAGGGATATCTCCTTTAACACTACAGCGTATCTCCCTTAATACCTTTTAGGGATATCCCAAACACCACACACGAATATTTAATGAAACAGCACACAAATAAATATTTCACCAACCAAAACACAGGAATATCTCCCTTAACACCACACAGGGATATCTCCCTTAACACCACACAGGGATATTTCCCTTAACACCTCACAGGGATATTTAACCAAACACCACACAGGGATATTTAACCAAACACAACACAGGGATATTTAACCAAACACTACATAGAGATATTTAATCAAACACTACATAGAGATATTTAACCAAACACCACATAGAGATATTTCACCAAACACCACACTGGAATTTTTCAATCAGTTCCAACATGATATGTATTTCATTGCCTAGGTATAATGTCCACTAACTAAATCTGCTAGCAAAGTCAAACTCACCCCATGCCTGACATGACTGTAGGACACAAAGAGTCCATTTTCAACGTAAAACTGAGCAACTGCCAAATCACCAGCTGCTCCGAGAGCCATACAAGTGAACATGTGAATCACTGGCTGCCAAATCACCAGCTGCTCCGAGAGCCATACAAGTGAACATGTGAATCACTGGCTGCCAAATCACCAGCTGCTCCGAGAGCCATACAAGTGAACATGTGAATCACTGGCTGCCAAATCACCAGCTGCTCCGAGAGCCATACAAGTGAACATGTGAATCACTGGCTGCCAAATCACCAGCTGCTCCGAGAGCCATACAAGTGAACATGTGAATCACTGGCTGCTAACATCAGCTGCTCCGAGAGCCATACAAGTGAACATGTGAACCACTGGCTGCTAACACTGCAGCTGTCTACAATCCAGGACTTAAAACTGAGTTCTAATGCTTACACATGGGACTGAGAGAGTTAAACAAGAGTTCTAATGCTTACACATGGGACTGAGAGAGTTAAACAAGAGTTCTAATGCTTACACATGGGACTGAGAGAGTGAAAAAGTGAATGGATGAATTATTCTTGAGGAAGAACTATCAACTATCAGTGGCACAGATTTGGGCAATGAACAGATGGGGGTGAAATCAACAGACGGATGAAAAACACCCAATTATCATTGGCACAGATTTGGGCAATCAACAGACAGGGGTGTAAAACACCCAATTATCATTAGCACAGATTTGGCAAATTAAACAGACAGGGGTGAAAAACACTCAACTATTAGTGGCACAGATTTAGGCAATCAAAAGACAGGGGTGAAAAACACTCAACTATCAGTGGGCACAGATTTAGGCAATCAACAGACAGGGGTGTAAAACACCCAATTATCATCAGCACAGATTTGGGCAATCAACAGACAGGGGTGTAAAACACCTAGTTATCATTAGCACAGATTTAGGCAATTAACAGACAGGGGTGAAAAACACCCAATTATCATCAGCACAGATTTGGGCAATTAACAGACAGGGGTAAAAAACTACCGGGCAGAAATACACCAGAGAATATATGTCTGAGTCTATGCTTGCTTCTGTGAGCGAACACTGTGCCTTCTGGTTCCCAGCTGCATGTCTCACCACATCTGGGGAGGTAACCACACCATGAGACAGCTGACTCTGTAACTGTGTCAACTGTTCTTCTCTGTGTCTCAAATCTTCCCACAAGGTCTCCAGTTCTCAACTCAGCTGATTCCTCTGCATGTGCCCTCAACAGGGCAGCTGGTATACTGTGGTTGACAGCTAGGCTGCAAAATCTGTACCTCTGGCTCAAAATATTCAACTAGCAAAATCTCGGAATAGTCACCTTTTATGACATGCTTATTAGAAGGGGAATTAGGTCTTGTTGCCCCCTGCCCCCCAACCTCCTGGGGCCCCAGTACCTACAGGGGAAGGTTATGTTTCTATAACATCAATGTTCAAATACTGTAATTCTGTGCTCACTCACTTGCCCGCTGTTGCTACCAACAACATCAATGTTCAAATACTGTAATTCTGTGCTCACCCACTTACCCGGCTACCAACAACATCTATTAATGGGTTGCTCTAACAACTCACCTGAGCTTCTCTCTCGATGTTGTACCTGTCAGCAAAATCTGGCATGGTTGCCAACAGTTCCTGGGGCTGGATGGGCTGGTGGGGCTTGCTAGAGGCTTGCTCAGACACCGGAGCACCTGGTGAGGCAGAGAGAGGTCTGTATGTATATATATTATAAACAATTCAAATCTCAGGTGTCTTCTAGAAAATGACTGTAATAAAACAGAAAGTGAAATATACGATCTGTCAGCAGTTTGATGTACAGAGATACAAACTCAGGTGTCTGTCTGTCCTGTCCTGTCCTGTGTGTCTGTGTTTGTGTTTGTTGTGCGCATGTGTGCGTGCGCGCACATTATATACATATATATATATCATTGTGGAAGACTTCTTTTGACACAGGCGGGTCTTGCTAGTCACACTCGCCATCGCCATGGGCTGTGAGTTTCAAGCTTCCTCATAGCACAATATAACACTATCGTCTGGAAATACGGAAAGGTGCCAATGAATTATATATATATATATTAGGGCTGTATTGAATATTCGCTTCATATTCGCTTCGGGGCCGAATAGTGGACTTAATAACTATTCGGTAATTTGCCAAATACTTGCAGTCGGGCCTAATACGAATAGTTGTTACCATACATCCGTTGTGTATACACTGCGATGGACTAAGATAACTCTATTGTTAACACAATAGTTGCTGTTGCTCAAGTCTCTCGTAGCGGGAAAAACTGCGACCCGGTTGCATGGTATAGTAGCTGGCTAGGTCTTTGCCTGCTGACTCGACCGAGGCATTACAGCAAAGGTTCTTAAACTGGGTGCCTAAGCCAGGGGTGCCACGGCGAAAATCAAGAAAAGATACTTAAAAGTTAAAAGTTAAACTGTCTTTTCTCGCCACTGTTGAACATAATTTTTTCTTGTTTCACACTCAAAGTGCATCATACGGCATAGAATGCCAACCGCAGCGTGCTAAAAATTGTCTTTGTATTTATCTCGAGGTGCGACCGACCCTCCGTCTGTATTCGTGAAGGTGCAGCGGATAAGTAAGGTTGTGATTACATTTTGCCTGAAATTTTAAAGCGGAAAATTTGGTCTGTACAATAGTTACTGTTAGCCTCGTCAAGTAAGCACTTTTATTTAAAGGTAATGCGCTGTGAGTCCTGGACAATCAGTAGACAGGCCAAACAATTGCTTGAGGCCTCAGAGATGTGGTTTTACAGAACAATGCTTAAAATACTATGGACAGCCCAAAAAAAAAAGCAACAAAGAGATTTTGAAAGTTGCAGGAGCCCGAAGAAAACTTATCACAGACATTAAAAGGAGACAGTCATCATTTTTCGGCCATGTTATGAGAAGAGGGAAAATGGAACATGTGGTGACCACTGGAAAGATCTGTGGAAGGAGGGATAGCGGAAGACAACAAAAGAAGATTCTTGACAGTCTTGTTGCATGGCATGGAGGTGTGTCAGCACACGAACTAATACATGCTGCAGGAGATCGTAGATTGTGGCAAGGCATATTCGCCCACGCCAGTCGGCAAGGCATCTGATGATGAAACACACTATTCGTATTCGTATTTGTATTCGGCCGAATAGGTGGTCCCGCTATTGTATTTGGCTAAATAGTGAAAATCACTATTCGGTACAGCCCTAATACATACACACCATTTTTACTTTAAACTGGACACTTTTCAAACCATCTAGGACATTTGTTCTAATCAAACTGGATGATTTTCAAACCACTCAGGAGATTTTTCAAATCAAAGTTGTTATACAGGCACAGTGGAAATTACCCCAAACACCTCCTGTCATAAAAAAACCAGTAAATGGGGGTGGGGGGTAGAGCTTTTGTGCAGGGGCTAAAGATACAAGGTATGTGGGGATAGTGCATAGGTGTCACTGTTTGTTGTTTTATGTATGTTTAAGAAAAGAATTTACAAAAACCAATATCAAAGACAGGTAGGTAACATTTCTAGCAGAGACGACAAGAGCTCACCTGCTCGACTGCCACCATCGCCAACATCCACATCGGCCGAGTCTGACTTCAAGTCCAGACTGTCCACTGACTTGGACTCGGCACTGACCACACCAGCACCGGTCATCTCTCCAGTGACCAGGTCTGCGCTGGAAACTGACTGGCTGTCACTGCTAGAGGGGTTCGTAGGTCGCACAGATGGCAGGTCAAGGCTGTGAACTGACCCACTGTCTTCCTTGTTGTCTTTTACTAAATGTAGAACAGAATATAAAAATGTCATTTGTTGAAAATTAGAACAGAACATAAATATGTCATTTACTGAACACAGAACAGAACATAAATATGTCATTTACTGAACACAGAACAGAACATAAATATGTCATTTACTGAACACAGAACAGAAAATAAATGTGTCCATTGCTGAACATAGACTAGTACATAAATATGTCATTTACTGAACTTGAAACAGAATATAAATGTGTCAATTACTGAACTTAAAATAGAACATAAATATGACTTTACCGAACCTAAAACAGAACATAAATATGTCATTTACTTAACATAGAATAGAACACAAAATTGCACACCTTCACAATATGTGTTAATGTTGAGCTAGTAAACAAAGGTGTTAATGCTGAGCTGGTAAACAAAGGTGTTAATGCTGAGCTGGTAAACAAAGGTGTTAATGTTTAGCTGGTAAACAAAGGTGTTAATGCTGAGCTGGTAAGCTGAGCTGGTAAACAAAGGTGTTAATGTTGAGCTGGTAAACAAAGGTGTTAATGTTGAGCTGGTAAACAAAGGTGTTAATGCTGAGCTGGTAAACAAAGGTGTTAATGTTGAGCTGGTAAACAAAGGTGTTAATGCTGAGCTGGTAAACAAAGGTGTTAATGCTGAGCTGGTAAACAAAGTTGTTAATGCTGAGCTGGCAGACGGAGGTGACATGGACCAGGCAGCACTCACATTTACTGAGACCCCCAGCCCGAGAGTACAGCGGGCTTGTGTGGCTGACCCCAAATGGGCTGTAGGTTGTTGCTGGAGGGGGAGGCTGCATGAAGTCATCCAGGTCGTACCCTCTGGAGAAGGCAAGGTCATCATAGTCATCATCGTGCCCAAAGTCCATGGGAGGTGGACCTAGGTCATCATCAAAGTCTGAAGATCTGCGGTGTCCATGGTTTGAGCCGCCAGTGCGAACACTACCATGTCCGTGACTGTAACAGTATGCAGAATCATTATCTTCTTTTTGGACAAGACTGCATACAGTCAAACCTTATCAACACAAACTTGTTTAAGACAAATATTTATGTAATAAATAAGAAATAAAAACTTCTGATCCGAGCAGGGATATATTATTCAAACAACATCTACAAGTCCTCAGTTAGTCAACATTTTTTAATATGAGCTTGGTCTTTTGCTTCCTTGGAGTTTATGTTGGTTTCTCACCTCTCAGGTAGATGCACTCTACTTTCAAAGGCAACTCTCCTAATTAGTTATCTTGTATGACATGCTTGCTGGGAAGGCAGTAGGTTAACACCCCCCACCCCCCCCCCGGCACCCAATGGAACTCCAGAACTCATATTGGGACCTTCATAAGTAATTTCCACAAACTTCTAAAAATTACCTACTACTGTGTTTTCATGAAGTTAACCCTTTTGCCCCGGTGACCTAGAAACAACAATGCCAGAAGGCTGAAATACACACAGAGGCAACAACATAAGTTAACAATGACAACAATAATGTTGATGCTAGCAGAAAACCAACAGACGCTCATTTTTGAGTTGAACACACAACCAATGTGGGAGACATGGCAGAGAACCTACCTGGCAGCAGTCTTGCTGCTGTGTTGGTGGTGGTGATGATGTTGCTGCTGCTGCTGCTGTGGTAGCTGGTAAGTGGACAATATTGCTGGATCATCTCTGACCTTGAACAGACCCATAATCTCACTGGTGCCCAGGTTCTGCTTCTTGATGGTAACAAACTTGCCTCTGCTGTCAACATTTTCTGTTACATCAGTTCCTGCCACAGCAGTGCCGACCTTGGCCGAGATGCCTCCAGAATCGGCACCGCTGAAATCGCACCAGTCGTCGTCACCAGTACTGTGACCATCTACAGAGGGTAAATCTTTGTGGTCACTTGCGTCACCACCTCTTGTATTCTGGGAGAACGCGCCGGCCGATGTGCCAGAGGCCAGCGATGATGCGGTCTGTGAAAACTGTCCCCAGCCCTCATCCCCAGCCAACATCTGATCCAGGTCAATGCGAACCGAAGCAGCTACAGATGAGCTCTTGGGGAAGCCAGCAGTGACGGGGAGACCTGAGGGGCTGACCTGATTAATGCTGCTGTTGTTAGGACTGCCCGGTGGTTGTCCTACAGCATCCTGATGGCAGCCGACAGCAATCTCACTGGCTGTGACCTCCCAGTCTCCTAGCTGATGTTTATCCCAGCCTACTTCTAGACTGTCCAAAGTCTGTCCCTGCAGCGGTATCTGATCCCTCCCAGGCCCTGATGGGTTCATATCCCACTGTTTTACAAGTGCAGGAGTGGAATTATGGACTTTGCTACCAAATGCAGAACCTGAAAGTAACAAAGCTATAATCTGTTAACATGAAACACATGATGATAAGACTATTACAGACCCAGGAGTACAGCCATTAGTGTGCTAAAGTGCCCGGACAGTGGCAGGGGTTCAATCCTCTGCAGCAGCAAACTGGCTTGTCCCAGCTAGCACAGCTCCAAGGCAGACCAATGTGGCTATGAGACTATACACAGAGCAACTGTCAGGGCTGGAAGGCAACTGACCTCCTTACCATGTATATCCAATCAAGACATATTTTGTTCAACTAACCTGTGCTCCCTGATTACAGAAATAAAATAGGTAATAGGAAATGTCACTGAAAGTAAAGTGGGTATGACAGTGACATCACATATCAAGTAGATCAGCACGACAGTGACATCACTTACAAGGAGGTCACATTGACAGTGACATCACTTACAAACCTGGCATTGTTCCATGATTTACCGGACATACCTGCCATCGTTCCATGATTTACCGGACATACCTGGCATTGCTCCATGATTTACCGGACATACCTGGCATTGTTCCATGATTTACCGGACATACCTGGCATTGTTCCAGACTCCCCGCCTCATGGATAAACACTTGGTACTGGGATCGTAATTAGCAAATTATCACAGGAAATGATGCAATAATGTTAACATCAGCATCACAATTATCACCACATGATGTTGCAGGACACTGTGGTCATGGATGGGTTTAATTGAAGATCACAAGTGCCCACATGGCTGATACATCTGTTTCTGTAATGCTGAGAACCGCCAAGGTTCACTGTTGCAGATATCACCCATCTCCTCTCATCTCTGTGACTATCTTCTCATTCCAGCTGGTGATTCCAAGCCCCTTTAGGTCTGCAGCAATAATTCTTTTACCTGACCCCAAATGCCCAGATCATATGATCTCATAACGAATAAATATTTCATCAGAGAAAGATGAATGATGATCTCATATTCCAGATCTGTAAAGATTATATCATGTGTCTCACCTGATGGTAAGGTCTGCTGCACGCTCGTTTCTTTTCCTGGTGCAGCAGTCGAGGCTGAAGTGTCCTCAGGTGCCGCAGAGAAATCTGCCCAGCCATCATCGTCACGTGCCAGCTCAGCTGTCACCTCCTGTCTGCTGGCACTATCTTTACTAGAATGTTCTGAGGTCTGACCCTGACCTTCAAACAAAGAAGCTGCAGCAATGTCAATGTCAAGGTTGAGTACTCTCAATGCACTGTATTTGTCCTCATCTCCGATAAGGGGCGCATCGCCAGGAGGTGGCAGGTCTACAGGCGACTTGACTGTGGCCATCTTGAAGTCATCAAACTCGCTCTGATCTTGTTCCCGACTGACTCTGGCCGATGGTGGAAAAGTCACCTTCAAAGGTGTTGGTGGCAGCCTGCCAGCATGCTCAGATTCACTGAGTGGATGTGAACCTACACCTGTGTGCTTCCGACTATGTTCCTGTGACCGGTTTGGTGGCACAGCCCCAAAATCCAGTCTGGATATGCGCCCATCTGGAGCAGAACTCCTGGCAATAGCTACAGGTGTTGGGCCTGAGATTGGTGACTGCCCTGGCAAGGTTTCCAGCTTCTTGACTGCCAAGACTGCTTCACTCTGCTGAAGGGCTGGGAATGGGCAGTGAAGTGGGCTAGCACTGGGCTTCTCTTTCTGTTGGTTGTACTCCTCTACATAGTTCTCAAAGTTGCGAATGTCTTCGTTTTCTGACTGCTCCGACGTGGACAGCTGACTGAGACTATCCCTGCCATCAGTGAAGTCATCATCCTCAAAGCTTGGGGACGTGTGACCTGCAGAGACATGGAGATGAATGTCAGTCAGTTGTTATATTAGACACCAGTCTCAAGTACATGGACAGAATGTCAGTCAGTTGTTATGTCAGACACCAGTCTCAAGAACATGGACAGAATGTCAGTCAGTTGTTATGTCAGACACCAGTCACACGTACATGGACAGAATGTCAGTCAGTTGTTATGTTAGACACCAGTCTCAAGTACATGGACAGAATGTCAGTCAGTTGTTATGTCAGACACCAGTCTCAAGTACACGGACAGAATGTCAGTCAGTTGTGATGTCAGACATCAGTCACAAGTACATGGACAGAATGTCAGTCAGTTGTTATGTCAGACACCAGTCTCAAGTACATGGACAGAATGTCAGTCAGTTGTTATGTCAGACACCAGTCACAAGTACATGGACAGAATGTCAGTCAGTCAGTTATGTCAGACACCAGTCACAAGTACATGGACAGAATGTCAGTCAGTTGTGATGCCAGACACCAGTCACAAGTACATGGACAGAATGTCAGTCAGTTGTGATGCCAGACACCAGTCACAAGTACATGGACAGAATGTCAGTCAGTTGTGATGTCAGACACCAGTCACAAGTACATGGACAGAATGTCACTCAGTTGTTATGTCAGACACCAGTCACAAGTACATGGACAGAATGTCAGTCAGTTGTTATGTCAGACACCAGTCTCAAGTACATGGACAGAATGTCAGTCGGTTGTTATGTCAGACACCAGTCACAAGTACATGGACAGAATGTCAGTCGTTGTTATGTCAGACACCAGTCTCAAGTACATAGACAGAATGTCAGTCAGTTGTTATGTCAGACACCAGTCTCAAGTACATGGACAGAATGTCAGTCAGTTGTGATGTCAGACACCAGTCTCAAGTACATGGACAGAATGTCAGTTGGTTGTTATGTCAGACACCAGTCACAAGTACATGGACAGAATGTCAGTCAGTTGTTATGTCAGACACCAGTCACAAGTACATGGACAGAATGTCAGTCAGTTGTTATGTCAGACACCAGTCACAAGTACATGGACAGAATGTCAGTCAGTTGTTATGTCAGACACCAGTCTCAAGTACATGGACAGAATGTCAGTCAGTTGTTATGTCAGACACCAGTCACAAGTACATGGACAGAATGTCAGTCAGTTGTGATGCCAGACACCAGTCACAAGTACATGGACAGAATGTCAGTCAGTTGTGATGTCAGACATCAGTCACAAGTACATGGACAGAATGTCACTCAGTTGTTATGTCAGACACCAGTCACAAGTACATGGACAGAATGTCAGTCAGTTGTTATGTCAGACACCAGTCTCAAGTACATGGACAGAATGTCAGTCGGTTGTTATGTCAGACACCAGTCACAAGTACATGGACAGAATGTCAGTCGGTTGTTATGTCAGACACCAGTCTCAAGTACATGGACAGAATGTCAGTCGGTTGTTATGTCAGACACCAGTCACAAGTACATGGACAGAATGTCAGTCGGTTGTTATGTCAGACACCAGTCTCAAGTACATAGACAGAATGTCAGTCAGTTGTGATGTCAGACACCAGTCTCAAGTACATGGACAGAATGTCAGTCAGTTGTGATGTCAGACACCAGTCTCAAGTACATGGACAGAATGTCAGTCGGTTGTTATGTCAGACACCAGTCACAAGTACATGGACAGTATGTCAGTCAGTTGTTATGTCAGACACCAGTCACAAGTACATGGACAGAATGTCAGTCAGTTGTTATGTCAGACACCAGTCACAAGTACATGGACAGAATGTCAGTCAGTTGTTATGTCAGACACCAGTCACAAGTACATGGACAGAATGTCAGTCAGTTGTTATGTCAGACACCAGTCTCAAGTACATGGACAGAATGTCAGTCAGTTGTTATGTCAGACACCAGTCTCAAGTACATGGACAGAATGTCAGTCAGTTGTTATGTCAGACGCCAGTCACAAGTACATGGACAGAATGTCAGTCAGTTGTTATGTCAGACACCAGTCTCAAGTACATGGACAGAATGTCAGTCGGTTGTTATGTCAGACACCAGTCACAAGTACATGGACAGAATGTCAGTCGGTTGTTATGTCAGACACCAGTCACAAGTACATGGACAGAATGTCAGTCAGTTGTTATGTCAGACACCAGTCACAAGTACATGGACAGAATGTCAGTCAGTTGTTATGTCAGACACCAGTCACAAGTACATGGACAGAATGTCAGTCAGTTGTTATGTCAGACACCAGTCACAAGTACATGGACAAAATGTCAGTCAGTTGTGATGCCAGACACCAGTCACAAGTACATGGACAGAATGTCAGTCAGTTGTGATGCCAGACACCAGTCACAAGTACATGGACAGAATGGCAGTCAGTTGTTATGTCAGACACCAGTCACAAGTACATGGACAGAATGTCAGTCAGTTGTGATGTCAGACATCAGTCACAAGTACATGGACAGAATGTCAGTCAGTTGTTATGTCAGACACCAGTCACAAGTACATGGACAGAATGTCAGTCAGTTGTGATGCCAGACACCAGTCACAAGTACATGGACAGAACGTCAGTCAGTTGTTATGTCAGACACCAGTCACAAGTACATGGACAGAATGTCACTCAGTTGTTATGTCAGACACCAGTCACAAGTACATGGACAGAATGTCAGTCAGTTGTGATGCCAGACACCAGTCACAAGTACATGGACAGAACGTCAGTCAGTTGTTATGTCAGACACCAGTCACAAGTACATGGACAGAATGTCAGTCAGTTGTTATGTCAGACACCAGTCACAAGTACATGGACAGAATGTCAGTCAGTTGTTATGTCAGACACCAGTCACAAGTACATGGACAGAATGTCAGTCAGTTGTTATGTCAGACACCAGTCACAAGTACATGGACAAAATGTCAGTCAGTTGTGATGCCAGACACCAGTCACAAGTACATGGACAGAATGTCAGTCAGTTGTGATGCCAGACACCAGTCACAAGTACATGGACAGAATGGCAGTCAGTTGTTATGTCAGACACCAGTCACAAGTACATGGACAGAATGTCAGTCAGTTGTGATGCCAGACACCAGTCACAAGTACATGGACAGAATGTCACTCAGTTGTTATGTCAGACACCAGTCACAAGTACATGGACAGAATGTCAGTCAGTTGTTATGTCAGACACCAGTCACAAGTACATGGACAGAATGTCAGTCAGTTGTGATGCCAGACACCAGTCACAAGTACATGGACAGAACGTCAGTCAGTTGTTATGTCAGACACCAGTCACAAGTACATGGACAGAATGTCACTCAGTTGTTATGTCAGACACCAGTCACAAGTACATGGACAGAATGTCAGTCAGTTGTTATGTCAGACACCAGTCACAAGTACATGGACAGAACGTCAGTCAGTTGTTATGTCAGACACCAGTCACAAGTACATGGACAGAATGTCACTCAGTTGTTATGTCAGACACCAGTCACAAGTACATGGACAGAATGTCAGTCAGTTGTTATGTCAGACATCAGTCACAAGTACATGGACAGAATGTCAGTCAGTTGTGATGCCAGACACCAGTCACAAGTACATGAACAAAATGTCAGTCAGTTGTTATGTCAGACATCAGTCACAAATAGTTGCCTGCCTGCCTCTTTATTTCCCTAGAGACAGTCTCACTGCGTGACCCCACTGTTATTTGCTGACATGCTTAATCAGCCGTATTTGTCTAGTTCTGATGGAACTGTTGCCTTCTCCAACTAGTTGTGATGGAACTGTTGCCTTCTCCAACTAGTTCTGATGGAACTGTTGCCTTCTCCAACTAGTTGTGATGGAACTGTTGCCTTCTCCAGCTAATTCTGATGGAACTGTTGCCTTCTCCAACTAGTTGTGATGGAAGTGTTGCCTTCTCCAACTAGTTGTGATGGAACTGTTGCCTTCAACTAGTTCTGATGGCTGTGTTGTCTTCTCCGACTACACTATTTTCAACCTATTACCCTCAATCCACTTCTCCACTGCCCCAATGACTCCACCATTTCACTATTGACTGTCCAGCACTGGCACCCAAACAGAAAGACTCTGGCTCCAACACCCAATTTCTTTACATTATATATAACCAACAAATAGACATCTACTGACCAGCACTTACAGAACAAAACAGAAAGATAGAAGGATACATTAGATAACATAAAAATACCAAAGCCATAGTTACATTGCCAGGACTCAGACCTGTCACCTCCAAATGACAACAGCACCCTGCTGCAGAAACCTGTGTACTCTGACATATGACCAACTGGGAACCCCGATTCCTGGCATGGTAACTGTATGTGTGGGTGGTCTGTATGTGTAATCTGTATGTGAGATCTCTATGTGAGGTCTGTGTGTTTTACTGTTTATATGTGTCAGTGTGATTACATGTGCATACGCATATATGGATACTTGTGTGTGTTACATTTGTGGGCTCTGCCCTGAATAATGGTCCTAAATTATCGACGCTTTAAAAAAAATACGCTAACAGGGCCTCAATGATGTGTAAAATTCGGATTTCCTTCCTGTGAATACACCAGGACAAGTGAAACCTAGGACCCAGTGTCCGAGCTGATGGTCTTCCTGCCATCGTGATAATTCCGTGATCATTTTTGCGTTTGGCGAAATTACCACTGGAAACTAATTGTACTTGTGCCACGGCGTACTCGCCTGAAAGGAGTATGCAATTTGCATATTACTATGGCCCTATTAGGGTATTTTCTTAGCCTCGATAATTTAGGACTGTTTTTTGGAGGAGAGCCCATTGGTGTGTAGTGATGTTTGGTTGTTTGTGTCTATATCTGTATATGTGTGCTTAGGGTGTTCTGAAGTTTATAGCAATACTGATATATAATCATCAGTTATTTGTGGTTTGAGTGATCTTCCTTGATCACAAAACTCTTCACACTTACAATAAAAAAAAATTTTTAAAAAAAAAAATACTCAACTAAATACAAGCAAATGCAAACTAATCACCTAAACAAATGTTTAACAGGAAACAACAACCCAGTGTAGTTACAAATATATAATAAACAAATGTTTATCAGAAAAACAACAACCCAGTGTAGTTACACACATACAATAAACAAATGTTTATCAGAAAAAAAAACAACCGAGTGTAGTTACAAATATATAATAAACAAATGTTTATCAGAAAAACAACAACCCAGTGTAGTTACACATATATAATAAACAAATGTTTATCAGAAAAAAAACAACCGAGTGTAGTTACAAATATATAATAAACAAATGTTTATCAGAAAAACAACAACCCAGTGTAGTTACAAATATATAATAAACAAATGTTTATCAGAAAAACAACAACCCAGTGTAGTTACACATGTATAAAATAAACAAGGGTAAAAAGTAACAGACAGTAAGTAAATGGCCCCTTTTCACACCTCCAGGCATATAGGGCACATAGTGCTAGAAATATATTTATAGATATTAATTGGCACTGGGTAAGTGATGTGGTCAACATCATGCCGGCCACCTTTACTTCCCAGGACTTGACCGGTCCGCACTTAAGGCTGGGAACCAAGGTTTATTTGGGAAAGAGAAAAAAAGTATGGCTCCATTTGGATTCAGACTTATGACCTTTGAATTCACAGGCAAGGGTCTATCTGCTACACCCTGGCAACTCCCTAAACAAGTGCAGTTTTAAATAAACAATTATCCAGTGTGCTTACAATTAAACAATAAACAGGTGTAGTTATAAAAACAAAACAACAAACAACTGAGGGGCAAACAAAAAGCTCTATCCTGACAGGAAAACTACTACTGTAGCTGCATGCAGTACTGAAGGCAATCTGGTAGATACTCTAACATTTAACAAAACAAAAAACCTGGATAAATGTGAAGCAGATGACACTGTCGTTTTCAGACAGCCAGGCTGACATCAATTACAACAATGGTGACATCTAAAACATGGAACATATGATGTGCAATCCAGCAAACAGTTAATGGACACCCGCATGTATGTCTATATGACACTGGGCTACATGCCATCATCGGGTTAGGCACTAAAACACTGATCACATCCAGAACAACATCAAATCTGAAGCAACCAGCAAGTAGCGTACAACGGCCAGCAACTTGCCTGTAGAGGAATCGCTGCTACAGAAAAATGAGCGCACATTTGTTCCATATTTATCATCTACAGGAAGTGAGGTCAGGGCTAACGAGGCTGGCTGCTGCTGCTGTGCCTCCTGCTGCTCCTGGTGCTGCTGCTGATGTTGGGCAGTTCCCATGAGCACAGAGCCGTTCCCCACATGGTTGCACGTTGGATATGACAAGCTAGAAGAAGCATTTCCCACTCCTCCACCGCCAATAAATTCTCCATAATCTTCATCTTTTGGAAGACAACGATTCAGGCAAGGACATGAAGGTGACCAAACAGACTATCAAGATATGATAAATACAAATAACAGGTGGCTAGCATAGAAAAAAACACATCTACATTAGCAATTTCACACATAACGAACACTTCATCATGACACTTTCCAGTAAATTCTAGGTCCCATGTCACAAGATTGGGCTGACCCTAGTCATTGTGTGGGAACACAAGCTGGCACTGCTGGTGGCTGAACCCACACCATACATGTGCTCAACTAAAAAAATAACTACCAGGCCACTATAGCAGTTTACACATAAGATCCATGAGATTTTGTTCATACCACAGATCCAGTGACACCTGTTTGAGACAGGGGCCAAACTCCACATCATATTATTTATACCTGTCCACTGGATACTGATCTGATACACACCTGCCCACTCTATCTACACATAGGACACCAGCCTTACACACACCTCTACACTTTACCTACAGACAGGACACCAGCCTGACACACACCTCTACACTTTACCTATAGACAGGACACCAGCCTGACACACACCTGCCCACTCTATCTACACATAGGACACCAGCCTTACACACACCTCTACACTTTACCTATAGACAGGACACCAGCCTTACACACACCTCTACACTTTACCTATAGACAGGACACCAGTCTTACACACACCTCTACACTTTACCTATAGACAGGACACCAGTCTTACACACACCTCTCCATTCTATCTACACATAGGACACCAGCCCGACACACACCTGTCCACTTTACAGACAAGAAACCAATTCTAACATACATATGTCAACTCTATAGACAGGACACCAGATTGACACACACCTGCCCACTCTACAGACAGGACACCAGTTCTGACACACACTTGTCTACTCTACAGACAGGACACCAGTTCTGACACACACTTGTCTACTCTACAGACAGGACACCAGTTCTGAAACATACTTGTCTACTCTACAGACAGGACACCATTTCTGACACACACTTGTCTACTCTACAGACTGGACACCAGTTCTGACACACTTCTATCCACTCTACAGACAGGAAACCAGTTCTGAAACACATCTGTCCATTCTACAGACAGGACACCAGCCTGACACACACCTGCCCACTCTACAGACCTACAAACCGGACATTAGTTCTGACACAAGAGCCATAGGGAAACTGAAAACATTGGGGTAAGGAGCAAGATATCAAACAGACAACACATTTTACTGACAAAATAATGCAGCATTTTGAGACTGGAAAACCTTGCAGCATGGAAAGATGAAAGGACAAATTAGAAGTAGTAATAGCAGTAATAGTAGAGCAGGTGTAGTCATTAAAGTGGTTGCAAGGCAGAAATAGTAACAGTAGTCAAAAGAGTGTCCAAGAAAGAAAAGTGTTGTACTGACCTTTGCCAACAGACACTGGGGTTGTTCTAGAAGCAGGAGATGCTGCCTGAAAGTCAGCAAAATCATCATCTTCCCCTGCCATCACACTCCTGGGGTTGGAGGCACCCAGTGGTGCTAGCGATGTCCTGTGAGTGGATGCTTTGGGATGTTGGATTCTGTGCAGTGGCTGCGGCAGGTGTGGAGTGGTGCTGGAGAAGGCATCATGAGCTGGGTCATGGGAGGTGCTCGAGCTGAGGGAAGGCTGGTGGTTGGAGTGAGCCTGGTGTTGGTGTGGGGTGGTGGGCAGTGTGGCAGGGGCGCTGGTGTCTGTGAACATAATCATTATATTTAGAGCTGGTAGACCCACTACTGTCTAGAAACTGATGCCAGATCATTAACATGTTATATTCATGACAAAACACTAACATAATGTCATCCAAATGTCACAGAAACTGATTCCATATCATCAATCTGTAACATTCATGACACAAACACTGACATAATGTCACTCATATATGCTGCCTGTCTGTCACACAAACAGCCACTGTCCACATAATGTCATATTGTTGCCAACCCTTTCCCACTCTCTGTGATTCTATTCCCCCTCTCTCCCCTAAGGTTTATCCACTGCTGAGAGTACCTAGCTGGCATCTCTCCCTAAGGTCTGATGTTTACCCGCTGCTAGCAGAGAGTAACTGGCTGGCATCTCTCCTCAAAGGTCTGATGTTTACCCACTGCTAGCAGAGAGTACCTAGCTGGCATCTCTCTCTAAGGTCTGATGTTTACCCACTGCTAGCAGAGAGTACCTAGCTGGCATCTCTCCCTAAGGTCTGATGTTTACCCGCTGCTAGCAGAGAGTACCTAGCTGGCATCTTTCCCCTAAGGTCTGATGTTTACCTGCTGATAGCAGAGAGTACCTAGCTGGCATCTGTCAGTCTTTGTCTATGACAATTTTGCAACATAGGCCCCATGGAGAAGATATATCAAAAGCAGGTCATGATGCAAGCCTCCACACCAGCCTCAACCACAATAGTGCCAGGACTACCCACAGCCCACCTGATCTCAGTGACATCTCCATCAGATGCTGAAACATCTCCTTAGACTAAGGAAGGACAGAAAAGTCAAAGTCATCAAGTACTGGACTCACACTTTCTTTCACAAGATTCACCAGCCAAGTAGCTAGTCAGCCAGAAAACTGACCAAGAAGTAAACCAGCCAACTTAACAACTAGTCAGCTAACCAACCTGTCAACTATCCAATCATTCAACTAACAAACCAGTCAACTAAACAAACAGTCAACTAACCAAATAGTCAACTAAACAACCAGTCACTTAAACAAGCAGTCAACTAACAAACCAGTCAACTAAACAACCAATCAACTAAACAACCACTCAAATACACAACCAGTCTGCTAAACACCCAATCAACTAAACAACCACTCAAATACACAACCAGTCAACCAACCAGTCAACCAACCAGTCAACCAACCAACCACTCAATTAAACAATCAGTCAACTAAACAACCAGTCAACCAACAAACCAGTCAGCTAACCAACTAGTCAACTAAAAAACCGGTCAACTAATGAACCAGTCACTAACCAACTAGTCAACTAAACAACTGGTCAACTAATGAACTAGTCAATTAAGTTATTCAACTAACCAGTGAACTAAATAACCAGTCAACTAACCAACCAATCAACTAGCCAACCAATCAACTAAACACCCAGTCAAGATAACTAAGAGGACACTACAACAGATATCTTACCTTGCATTTGTGCAAAGAAGGGTACCGGAGCTACAGGGCACCTGGCTAGGATGTCCAGAGAGTTTGTGCCATAGTTGTTCTGAAAGAGACACACGTGGCATCACTGACAAACTGACAGCACTGCTGGTGTGAAAGAGCACTGACTCACAACAGGACATCACTGTCAAAAAACACTCATGACATGACTGTGATATAAGAGAGACTCATGACAGGACATCACTGTCAAAAAACACACATGACATGACTGTGATATAAGAGAGACTCATGACAAGACATCACTGTCAAAAAACACTCATGACATGACTGTGATATAAGAGAGACTCAAGACAAGACATCACTGTCAAGAAACTCATGACATGACTGTGATATAAGAGAGACTCAAGACAAGACATCACTGTCAAAAAACACACATGATATGACTGTGATATAAGAGAGACTCAAGACAAGACATCACTGTCAAAAAACACACATGATATGACTGTGATATAAGAGAGACTCAAGACAAGACATCACTGTCAAAAAACACACATGACATGACTGTGATATAAGAGAGACTCAAGACAAGACATCACTGTCAAAAAACACACATGATATGACTGTGATATAAGAGAGACTCAAGACAAGACATCACTGTCAAAAAACACACATGACATGACTGTGATATAAGAGAGACTCATGACAGGACATCACTGTCAAAAAACACACATGATATGACTGTGATATAAGAGAGACTCAAGACAAGACATCACTGTCAAAAAACACACATGACATGACTGTGATATAAGAGAGACTCAAGACAAGACATCACTGTCAAAAAACACTCATGGTATATGACTGTCATAGAACACTCATGACATGACTGTCATAGAACACAGATTCATGACTCAACATCACTGACAAAGAAAACAGACTCATGACATGACACTGTTGTCATAGAACATTGACTCAAGACTTGATATCATTGTCATGGCTATGGCTGGGCAACTCCAGTCTGCTAATGCAAAAATATACAGCCTCAACCAAGTCAGGGAACTTAATGGCCGTAGATCGACAGATGAAAACTCTTGTGTGACAACTAGAGAGTATCTCTGCCCTCAGATGTTAAAGAATTAAAACTAAACAAGACCTAACATATCTACATATCTCAGTGTAGAAGAGAAAAGACTAAACAAAGTATGATTAATCCATAACATATAGCACAGAAAGTTGAAATAAGAACATGAATCATGAACCAGGGGTCGTCAATATGACATCATGTAGAAATCCTCCGGAGACAACCAAGACAACAAGGATATAATGATAAAATATAAAAGCACTCCGGAGACAACCAAGCCAACAAGGATATAATGATAAAATATAAAAGCACTCCGGAGACAAACAAGCCAACAAGGATATAATGATAAAATATAAAAGCACCCCGGAGACAACCAATCTAACAAGGATATAATGATACAATATAAAAGCACTAGGCAGACAACCCAGCCAACAATAATATAATGACAAAACATGAAAGCAAAGTCTTCCATTAAAATAATTGATTATTTCATACAACAACCAGTCAACAAGATCAACCATTCCCAGACAACAAGATCAAGCATTCCCAGACAACAAGATCAAGCATTCCCAGACAACAAGATCAACCATTCCCAGACAACAAGATCAAGCATTCCCAGACAACAAGATCAAGCATTCCCAGACAACAAGATCAAGCATTCCCAGACAACAAGATCAAGCATTCCCAGACAACAAGATCAAGCATTCCCAGATAACAAGATCAAGCATTCTCAGACAACAAGATCAAGCATTCCCAGACAACAAGATCAAGCATTCCCAGACAACAAGATCAACCATTCCCAGACAACAAGATCAACCATTCCCAGACAACAAGATCAACCATTCCCAGACAACAAGATCAGGCATTCCCAGACAACAAGATCAAGCATTCCCAGACAACAAGATCAAGCATTCCCAGACAACAAGATCAAGCATTCCCAGACAACAAGATCAAGCATTCCCAGACAACAAGATCAAGCATTCCCAGACAACAAGATCAAGCATTCCCAGACAACCAACAAGATCAAGCATTCCCAGACAACAAGATCAAGCATTCCCAGACAACAAGATCAACCATTCCCAGACAACAAGATCAAGCATTCCCAGACAACAAGATCAAGCATTCCCAGACAACAAGATCAACCATTCCCAGACAACAAGATCAAGCATTCCCAGACAACAAGATCAAGCATTCCCAGACAACAAGATCAAGCATTCCCAGACAACAAGATCAACCATTCCCAGACAACAAGATCAAGCATTCCCAGACAACAGAATCAAGCATTCCCAGACAACAAGATCAAGCATTCCCAGACAACAAGATCAAGCAATCCCAGACAACAAGAGAAGATCTGTGCTACATCCCACAATCATGTAGGAAAGAGAAATAAGGGGAGAGGTGGAGAAGCACTCAAGGATGTATGCACTGAGGCACTAAGACAGCATCAACCTCAATCCGTCACTAAATGGCAAGATAGTTGGCACGCCCACAACCTAGATTACAATGCTGGTCGAACAACGCCACACCAGATACAGGACAGTAATCTAACTGTCAGACAGGGAGACATCTGACCATTGATCCACGATGCAGGGTATGCCAGTTCTGAGATAAGATGGGGACCATCGGAAAAAGGGAGAAGGTGGAGATAAACAGGTGGACGAATAGATGACAGCGGGGTGAAAAATTGCCAGGGCTTTGTGAAGAAAAGAGATAACGAAATAACAAGAAAGAAGAGAATATGGAGAGAAGCAGAGGAGGTCAGTCAGTCCTGGGGCATTTCGCTGGGTGGTCGACAGGCACGGTAGATTGAGAACATAGAAGTTTACTGTATGGTAGAGAGTTAACCAAATAGAAAGCAAATATCAGACTTGGAATGACATTATGTTTTATAATGAACAAACTTCATTGCATTGGATTTTAAATGGATTCTAATAAAAGCTGCTGACAAACAGCAAGCCACTGTGTACCATACCACCATGAACCAGTCACACAGAAACATCACATTATCGTTACAACACGAACATGACAGCACTTTACCATTCCTTGATGTACTAACTGCACATAGAGAGGATGGCAGTATCCAAAGATCAGTGTACCGAAAAGAAACATGGACCGGCCAGTATGTTAACTTTTACAGTTTTGTCCCTATTCATACAAACGTGGCGTAGTGAGAAGCTTGTTCAACCGGGAAGGAAAGATTTGCACTGAAGACACACTGGCTGCATAAATTAAAACTCTCAATTCAACTTTACTACTGAATGGGCACCCCATAGGTTTCATCGTCATTACACCCCACCCCACCCTACCCCAAACGAAATTACAGTATCCAAACTACGAGTATATATCCAACTTACTTATCAAGGTGATGATGTCATGCAGCGTCTGCAGGACCAACTGAAAACAGCAGTTGACCAAACATTCTTTGCGGCTGTTCAAGTAGTGAGGTACAAGACCACTCCTATCCCATCCCCACCTATTAAACAGCTCGTTTCTCCATACACCAAATCTAATTGTATTTACCAATTTAAATGTAAGTGCCAGTTGACTAACATCGGTAGAATGGAGAGACAGCTTGGAAATAGAGTGGCAGAGCACATACCCAAATGGCTACATACACAGCTCTGTGATCCTTCTAAGGTGTCGAGACCAGTCAAGAGGAAAGAACCTGCTTCTTCCATAGGATGTCATCTACTTAATTCCGGACACATAATTGACACAGACACTGCTTTCCCTGTGGTTTACCAGACTCCCAACAGGAGACTTTTGAGAATCGCTGAAGCTTTAACAATAAAAATCAACAACCACCTCCTTTCTAAGCAGACGGAATTTATCGTAAATTTGAAGTTACCCTGGTAAGTCACGTGACTATGGTGAGCTGTCGGAAGAAACTATTTACATTTCAGTTGAATTTATTCAGTTTTGTGCTTTATTTTATGTTGATGTAACTCTGTAGTAACGCACCTGATGAGATACAGCAAAATATGCCTGGCAATAAATTGTGCAATGTATTGTTTGCATCTGCATTATTTAAATGCATTGTATTTGTTGGATCTGGCTGTGTTGTTAAACACAATAGACATACAAACATTGTTTTATATACTTCGTTCCGTTCAGGCACATCTGATTGAGCTTGGAGGACGTGAAAGGTAAAATAGTTCCACAATCATCTATAAAACAATCAACTATAAAACAATCAATCACCTACAGAATAATCAAATATAATGAAGCACACAAGAAGCAAGGAAAAAAGCAACAATCAATCAACAAAGCCAGACCTGTGTGAGAGCGATCAGAGCCAGTACCATCCACAGCTCATTCCTGGTCAGCTGACCTGGGGTGGCCGTGTTACACAGCGACCAAATCTGAGCCAACTTCTCCCGAGCCAGTCCACTCAACAGCAGGATTCGGTAGAGGTGTTCCGTGGAGATCTTCCCGTCTCTGTGAGATGACAGACATTCATCAGCTGAACACAGTAGCATCGGACAAACATCTACATACAGCATTAAACTGTCAACGAGCTGAACACAGTAGCATCGGACAAACATCTACATACAGCATTAAACTGTCACAGAGCTGAACACAGTAGCATCGGACAAACATCTACATACAGCATTAAACTGCCACAGAGCTGAACACAGTAGCATGGGACAAACATCTACATACAGCATTAAACTGCCACAGAGTTGAACACAGTAGCATCGGACAAACATCTACATACAGCATTAAACTGTCACAGAGTTGAAGATGACTGAATCCCCCATCTCTAGTCAAGACTCAAAACAAACAAATGAACACAAGTCTGTTACAGATCAGATGTGGACACACATCAGACTTCTGAGTCTGACTAGGAGGTCCACAAACAAGCAAAAAACGTAACCCTGTGTCTTCTTCTTCTTCTTCAGCGATCTCTGGTCATGCGCATAATCCACTGTGGGCCATAAACTGGGATGTCTTTTCAAGGTCTCTCAGCTTTCCCCAAAGCTTAGTTGTCAGTTCTACTGGGTGTTGCCATATGTTGCTCCGCAGCTCTGCTAGGACCGGACAGTCTTGCAGGACATGTTCTGGAGTCTGTTCAGCACGAAGGCACTGGCAGAGAGCTGTTTGGCTCATACCTAATTTATATGAGTGTTTATTGAGTCTGCAGTGTCCAGTGCGTAAGCGAAAAACTGTGACTTGGTGCCCTGTGTCTATATCTGGCCATTTGTGGGCATACAAATGGCACGCAGAGATGTGGCAGAAATGCACCCAGTCACTGAGTAGCTACATGATTTCTTTTTCTCAGACTTTTATTTCACTTTAAAATCACAAATATCATAAAATAATCATAAACAATCTACCATAACAAACTTCTGAGATTGATACCCAAACTTCTTCAGATAGACGTTTACAGCTAAGTTAATCTACTTCCACAATCTGCTCCAATGAAGCCTTGGGCATGAAACAACTGGCAAGACCTTAGATTTATTCTGCCGCTGCAATGACAGATTGGACACAACAAACATCACTGAAATTCAGCAGCAATGACAGATTGGACACAACAAACATCACTGAAATTCAGCAGCAATGACAGATTGGACACAACAAACATCACTGAAATTCAGCAGCAATGACAGATTGGACACAACAAACATCACTGAAATTCAGCAGCAATGACAGATTGGACACAACAAACATCACTGAAATTCAGCAGCAATGACAGATTGGACACAACAAACATCACTGAAATTCAGCAGCAATGACAGATTGGACACAACAAACATCACTGAAATTCAGCAGCAATGACAGATTGGACACAACAAACATCACTGAAATTCAGCAGCAATGACAGATTGGACACAACAAACATCACTGAAATTCAGCAGCAATGACAGATTGGACACAACAAACATCACTGAAATTCAGCAGCAATGACAGATTGGACACAACAAACATCACTGAAATTCAGCAGCAATGACAGATTGGACACAACAAACATCACTGAAATTCAGCAGCAATGACAGATTGGACACAACAAACATCACTGAAATTCAGCAGCAATGACAGATTGGACACAACAAAACATCACTGAAATTCAGCAGCAATGACAGATTGGACACAACAAACATCACTGAAATTCAGCAGCAATGACAGATTGGACACAACAAACATCACTGAAATTCAGCAGCAATGACAGATTTGACACAACAAACATCACTGAAATTCAGCAGCAATGACAGATTGGACACAACAAACATCACTGAAATTCAAACAGTCTGTTAACATGACAAATGACACAACATGACAAACTCAAAATGAGTTACAACAAACATGATTAAACTCCAACAATCTGCAACAACAACAAATGTGACGCAGCAAACATGACCAAAACTCCAACAATCTGCAGCAACAACAAATGTGATACAACAATCACGACCAAAACTCCAACAATCTGCAACAACAACAAATGTGATTCAACAATCATGACCAAAACTCCAACAATCTGCAACAACAACACATTTGATACAACAAACATGACCAAAACTCCAACAATCTGCAACAACAAATGTGATACAACAAACATGACCAAAACTCCAATAATCTGCAACAACAACAAATGTGATACAACAAACATGATTAAACTCCAACAATCTGCAACAACAACAAATGTGATACAACAAACATGACCAAAACTCCAACAATCTGCAACAACAACAAATGTGATACAACAATCACGACCAAAACTCCAACAATCTGCAACAACAACAAATGTGATACAACAATCATGACCAAAACTCCAAAAATCTGCAACAACAAATGTGATACAACAAACATGACCAAAACTTCAAAAATCTGCAACAACAACAAATGTGATACAACAAACATGACCAAAACTTCAACAATCTGCAACAACAACAAATGTGATACAACAAACATGACCAAAACTCCAACAATCTGCAACAACAACAAATGTGATACAACAAACATGACCAAAACTCCTACAATCTGCAACAACAACACATTTGATACAACAAACATGACCAAAACTTCAACAATCTGTAACAACAAATGTGATACAACAAACATGACCAAAACTTCAACAATTTGTAACAACAAATGTGATACAACAAACATGACCAAAACTCCAACAATCTGCAACAACAACAAATGTGATACAACAAACATGACTAAAACTTCAACAATCTGCAACAACAACAAATGTGATACAACAAACATGACCAAAACTCCAACAATCTGCAACAACAACAAATGTGATACAACAAACATGACTAAAACTTCAACAATCTGCAACAACAACAAATGTGATACAACAAACATGACCAAAACTCCAACAATCTGCAACAACAACAAATGTGATACAACAAACATGACCAAAACTCCAACAATCTGCAACAACAACAAATGTGATACAACAAACATGATTAAACTCCAACAATCTGCAACAACAACACATTTGATACAACAAACATGACCAAAACTTCAACAATCTGTAACAACAAATGTGATACAACAAACATAACCAAAACTCCAACAATCTGCAACAACAACACATTTGATACAACAAACATGACCAAAACTTCAACAATCTGTAACAACAAATGTGATACAACAATCATGACCAAAACTCCAAAAATCTGCAACAACAAATGTGAAACAACAAACATGACCAAAACTTCAAAAATCTGCAACAACAACAAACATGACCAAAACTTCAAAAATCTGCAACAACAACAAATGTGATACAACAAACATGACCAAAACTCCTACAATCTGCAACAACAACACATTTGATACAACAAACATGACCAAAACTTCAACAATCTGTAACAACAAATGTGATACAACAAACATGACCAAAACTTCAACAATTTGTAACAACAAAAATGATACAACAAACATGACCAAAACTCCAACAATCTGCAACAACAACAAATGTGATACAACAAACATGACTAAAACTTCAACAATCTGCAACAACAACAAATGTGATACAACAAACATGACCAAAACTCCAACAATCTGCAACAACAACAAATGTGATACAACAAACATGACTAAAACTTCAACAATCTGCAACAACAACAAATGTGATACAACAAACATGACCAAAACTCCAACAATCTGCAACAACAACAAATGTGATACAACAAACATGACTAAAACTTCAACAATCTGCAACAACAACAAATGTGATACAACAAACATGACAAAAACTCCAACAATCTGCAACAACAACAAATGTGATACAACAAACATGACTAAAACTCCAACAATCTGCAACAACAACAAATGTGATACAACAAACATGACCAAAACTCCAACAATCTGCAACAACAACAAATGTGATACAACAAACATGACCAAAACTCCAACAATCTGCATTAACGACACTGACGAGACAACTCACATGAGGGAAGCCTCAAACACTAATTTGTACACAGGCGGTACTTGATCCTCCCCATGACAGCACCAGTCTGGGAGCTGCAGCGGTCGTTTACTGACATGGTCCGGTGGTACAGAGTGAGTGGCAGGTGTGCCAAGACCTACAGGGGTGTGAGTGATGGGTGTGCCAGGGTTGCCGGCTGTGTCAGTGAGTGTTGCAGGCATGCCACTTATCACATCGTTGTAGGCTGGAGGGGCCAGGAGTACTGTAGTCCCTGAGAGATACAATGAGAGTAGTCTCTGGGATGTGCAGTAAAACAAGGCAACATCCAGGGTGTGGGAGACAGGGAATAATAGACATGAACAATGTTGAATAGGTGAACACAGGAAAACAATGTTGGATGGGTGAACACAGGAAAACAATGTTGGATGGGTGAACATGGGTAAACAATGTTGGATGGGTCAACATGGGTAAACAATGTTGGATGGGTCAACATGGGTAAACAATGCTGGATGGGTGAACACAGGGAAACAATGTTGGATTGGTGAAAACAGAGGAACAATGTTGGATGGGTGAACACAGGGAAATAATGTTGGATGGGTGAACATTGGGAAACAATGTTGGATGGGTGAACATTAGGAAACAATGTTGGATGGGTGAACATGGGGGGAAAATGTTGGATGGGTAAACACAGAGAAACAATGCTGGATGGGTGAACACAGGGAAATAATGTTGGATGGGTGAACATTGGGAAACAATGTTGGATGGGTGAACATTGGGAAACAATGTTGGATGGGTGGACACAGGGAAACAATGTTGGATGGGTGGACACAGGGAAACAATGTTGGATGGGTGTACACAGGGAAACAATGTTTAGATGAGTTGAAAGAGCAAAGCAGAAGGTGATCAGCTGTAAAACTCCCACAGTGTAGAGGTATTTCCCTGACTCCCACAATGTAGAAGTATTTCACTCCCATAGTGAAGAGGTATGCCCCTGACTCCCACAGTGTAGAGGTATTTTCCAGACTCCCACAATGTAGAGGTGTGTCCCTGACTCCCACAGTGTAGAGGTATGCCCCAGACTCCCACAATGTAGAGGTGTGTCCCTGACTCCCACAGTGTAGAGGTATGCCCCAGACTCCCACAATGTAGAGGTGTGTCCCTGACTCCCACACTGAAGAGGTGTGTCCCTGACTCCCACAGTGTAGAGGTATTTCCCTGACTCCCACAGTGAAGAGGTGTGTCCCTGACTTCCACAATGTAGAAGTATTTCACTGACTCACACAGTGTAGAGGTGTGCCCCTGACTCCCACAGTGTAGAGGTATGCCCCTGACTCCCACAGTGTAGAGGTATGCCCCTGACTCCCACAATTTAGAGGTATGCCCCTGACTCCCACAGTGTAGAGGTATGCCCCTGACTCCCAGTGTAGAGGTGTGTCCCTGACTCCCACACTGAAGAGGTGTGTCCCTGACTCCCACAGTGTAGAGGTATTTCCCTGACTCCCACAGTGAAGAGGTGTGTCCCTGATTTCCACAATGTAGAAGTATTTCACTGACTCACACAGTGTAGAGGTGTGCCCCTGACTCCCACAGTGTAGAGGTATGCCCCTGACTCCCACAGTGTAGAGGTTTGCCCCTGACTCCCACAATTTAGAGGTATGCCCCTGACTCCCACAGTGTAGAGGTATGCCCCTGACTCCCAGTGTAGAGGTATGCCCCTGACTCCCACAGTGTAGAGGTATGCCCCTGACTGCCACAGTGTAGAGGTATGCCCCTGACTCCCACAGTGTAGAGGTATGCCCCTGACTCCCACAGTGTAGAAGTATTTCACTGACTCCCATAGTGTAGAGGTATGCCCCTGTCTCCCACAATGTATACGCAGCACCAGATTTGATAAGGAATGGAAACAATGGTACAAACTACAAACCTGGAGAGAAAACAGCCATGTTCGTGGGTTGTTGGCCGGCAGCCAGGACCTGCTGGGGCGTGTGCTGATGGACATCTGGACCCAGTGTCCCCATGGGTGCTGGCAGTAGTCTGGGTGTCACTGTCAGAATAATCAGAGAGCTCTCATTTGTATCCCTGCTCATGACCGACCCATGACTGTCCTGTCTCTTCTAACCTCACAGGTTGAGGTATACTGCAGTCTGTTTAACTCTACCATCTTCTCGACTAAGCGGTGTAGAGGTACTTTCTCATCTATACCCTGTAGCCCGAACTGTAAAGTTAACCCACTACTGGTTTCTCAGGTTTTGATATTATTCCTACCAACCCCTTCCAGGTCACTCAATCTCCACCCACCCCCACACCCTGCATGCATGCACACACACATGCATGCAAACATACACACACATGCACGCACACATACACACACACACATAAACATACATTTACACACACACGCACACAAGCAATCTCACACATATAAACACACCACTTTGACCTAATGCCATCTGAAGATGTTGAGTACGCCGACAATCTAGATGCAAACACAGCACAATCTACATTTGGACGCAGCACAATCTACACCTAGACACACAGACACACATTAAAAATCTTCATGCAGACACAATATAATCTACACACAGACACAACAGAATCTACACCTTGACACACAACACAGACACAACACAGTCTACACCTTGACACACAGACATAACACAATCTACATGCAGACACAACACAATCTACATGCAGACACAACAACAGTCACAACACAATCTACATGTAGACACACCACAATCTGCATGCAGACACAACACAATCTACACATAGAAACACAAAACAATCCAAATACAGACATAACACAATCTAAATACTGACATAACATTACCTACACATAGACACAGCACAATCTACACATAGACACACAAAACAATCTAAATATTGACACAACACAATTTGCCAAAGACACAACAAAACCTACACATGGACACACAAAACAATCTAAATATAGACACAACACATTCTAAATATAAACACAACACCATCTACACACAGACACAACACAATCTACACACAGACACAACACAATCTATATGCAGACACAACACAATCTATATGCAGACACAACACAATCTATATGCAGACACAACAAGAGCCAACCTGGCAACTGAAACAAGCCCTCAAGGTCTGGGGTGTTTTGTCTCCAGCTCCTGGCATGGTCACTCTCATGAAAGCTGGCCATGCTGACCTTGTGATGTCCCTGACCTGATTTCTGAACCTCATTCAGTGTCAGCTTATGGAATCCCTTGGCTTTCTTTGGTGCACTCAGGTCTGAGTATTCCAGCATTATAGACTTCAAGTCTGAGAGAGATAATAGGAAACAGCGTTAAAGGGACAACTAGTACTGCTTGTCTGATGGGAGAATAAGAGAAACAGCGTTACAGGGACAACTACTACTGCTTGTCTGATGGGAGAACAAGAGAAACAGTGTTACAGGGACAACTAGTACTGCTTGTCTGATGGGAGAATAAGAGAAACAGGGTTACAGGGACAACTAGTACTGCTTGTCTGATGGGAGAATAAGAGAAACAGCATTACAGGGACAACTAGTACTGCTTGTCTGATGGGAGAATAAGAGAAACAGCATTACAGGGACAACTAGTACTGCTTGTCTGATGGGAGAATAAGAGAAACAGCATTACAGGGACAACTAGTACTGCTTGTCTAACAGCAGTCTACTGATTGATCTATGTGTAGACTTCCTCAAGCTTGTGGGACTGTACTGATTGATCTATGTGTAGACTTCCTCAAACTTGTGGGACTGTACTGATTGATCTATGTGTAGACTTCCTCAAGCTTGTGGGTCTGTACTGATTGATCTATGTGTAGACTTCCTCAAGCTTGTGGGACTGTACTGATTGATCTATGTGTAGACTTCCTCAAGCTTGTGGGTCTGTACTGATTGATCTATGTGTAGACTTCCTCAAGCTTGTGGGACTGTACTGATTGATCTATGTGTAGACTTAAACAAGCTTGTGTAGAGTGCGACTGTACTGGTTGATCTATGTGTAGACTTCCTCAAGCGTGTGTAGAGTGTGACTGTACTGATCTATGTGTAGACTTCCTCAAGCGTGTGTAGAGTACGACTGTACTGATCTATGTGTATTCCTCAAGCTTGTGGGACTGTACTGATTGATCTATGTGTAGACTTCCTCAAGCTTGTGGGGCTGTACTGATTGATCTATGTGTAGACTTCCTCAAGCTTGTGGGTCTGTACTGATTGATCTATGTGTAGACTTCCTCAAGCTTGTGGGACTGTACTGATTGATCTATGTGTAGACTTCCTCAAGCTTGTGGGTCTGTACTGATTGATCTATGTGTAGACTTCCTCAAGCTTGTGGGACTGTACTGATTGATCTATGTGTAGACTTAAACAAGCTTGTGTAGAGTGCGACTGTACTGATTGATCTATGTGTAGACTTCCTCAAGCGTGTGTAGAGTGTGACTGTACTGATCTATGTGTAGACTTCCTCAAGCGTGTGTAGAGTGCAACTGTACTGATCTATGTGTAGACTTCCTCAAGCATGTGTAGAGTGCGACTGTACTGATCTATGTGTAGACTTCCTCAAGCGTGTGTAGAGTGTGAATGTACTGATCTATGTGTAGACTTCCTCAAGCTTGTGGGTCTGTACTGATTGATCTATGTGTAGACTTCCTCAAGCTTGTGGGACTCTACTGATTGATCTATGTGTAGACTTAAACAAGCTTGTGTAGAGTGTGACTGTACTGATCTATGTGTAGACTTCCTCAAGCGTGTGTAGAGTGCGACTGTACTGATCTATGTGTAGACTTTCTCAAGCTTGTGTAGAGTGTGACTGTACTGATCTATGTGTAGACTTCCTCAAGCGTGTGTAGAGTGTGAATGTACTGATCTATGTGTAGACTTCCTCAAGCGTGTGTAGAGTGTGACTGTACTGATCTATGTGTAGACTTCCTCAAGCGTGTGTAGAGTCTGACTGTACTGATTTATGTGTAGACTTCCTCAAGCGTGTGTAGAGTGCGACTGTACTAATCGATGTGTAGACTTAAACAAGCTTGTGTAGAGTGTGACTGTACTGATCTATGTGTAGACTTCCTCAAGTGTGTGTAGAGTGCAACTGTACTAATCGATGTGTAGACTTCCTCAAGCTTGTGTAGAGTGTGACTGTACTAATCGATGTGTAGACTTCCTCAAGCATGTGTAGAGTGTGACTGTACTGATCTATGTGTAGACTTAAACAAGTTTGTGTAGAGTGTGACTGTACTAATCGATGTGTAGACTTCCACAAGCTTGTGTAGAGTGCGACTGTACTAATCTATGTGTAGTCTTCCTCAAGCTTGTGTAGAGTGCGACTACTAATCGATGTGTAGACTTCCTCAAGCTTGTGTAGAGTGCGACTACTAATCGATGTGTAGACTTCCTCAAGCTTGTGTAGAGTGCGACTACTAATCGATGTGTAGACTTCCTCAAGCTTGTGTAGAGTGTGACTGTACTGATCTATGTATAGACTTAAACAAGCTTGTGTAGAGTGCGACTACTAATCGATGTGTAGACTTCCTCAAGCTTGTGTAGAGTGTGACTGTACTGATATATGTATAGACTTACACAAGCTTGTGTAGAGTGTGACTGTACTGATCTATGTGTAGACTTCCTCAAGCTTGTGTAGAGTGTGACTGTACTGATCTATGTGTAGACTTCCTCAAGCGTGTGTAGAGTGCGACTGTACTGATCTATGTGTAGACTTACACAAGCTTGTGTAGAGTGCGACTGTACTGATCTATGTGTAGACTTCCTCAAGCTTGTGTAGAGTGCGACTGTACTGATCTATGTAAAGACTTCCTCAAGCTTGTGTTGAGTGCGACTGTACTGATCTATGTGTAGACTTAAGCTTGTGTAGAGTGTGACTGTACTGATCTATGTGTAGACTTCCTCAAGCGTGTGTAGAGTGCGACTGTACTGATCTATGTGTAGACTTACACAAGCTTGTGTAGAGTGCGACTGTACTGATCTATGTGTAGACTTCCTCAAGCTTGTGTAGAGTGCGACTGTACTGATCTATGTATAGACTTCCTCAAGCTTGTGTAGAGTGCGACTGTACAGATCTATGTGATGTGCTAAACTGCAGCACTGGTTATCCTGATGTCTGACAAACTAACTTTACCTTTCTTTTCACTGGCATGTTCTCGCGTTGGTTCGGCCACACTTGGGGTCTGCTGCTGCTGCTGTTGCTGCTGCAATCCAACAGGGACATGCTGACTGTTCTTCTGGCTGCTGCTGCTGTAGCTGGGTGTTGACGGACCCTGCAGGAAGTCTCCAAAAGCATCATCATCCTCCTGGACTTTGTGGGAATGTTTGCCTGCAACAACACACATACAAATCAACAAGTGGTTAAAAACAGAAACAAATCTAAGTTTCGGCTTTGGCCTTTCTTCTCATGAATCAACTACAGAATAATAACAAAGGGGACAGTACTTCAACCACCAGCGTCCACTGAGGGTCACGACAGAAACTATAAAAAGGTAATGTGGAATGAATAAAACAGAATTAAGGAAGGCTCCAAAAATAGTCAAAAAAGTAATAGTGACAACATAAAAAGGATAGTAGTAATACAGGAATAGTAGAAATAAAAATGTTAATAATTATCATCATCAATTTTCAATTCTGACGTTAAGCGTTGTGGGGAGGAACAGTTTGCAATCCACTGCTTAATGGGAAGGAATAGCTACTGTCATTCCGTGTCGATGCAGAAGCTCTTTAATGTCATCAATCCATCTTCTCCTAGGGCAGCCTCTTGCTTTCACTCCAGATCATGTGTAGCGCCTGGGTTGGGATTTGTTCTGGCTGCATTCTTACTCAATGACCAAACCATCTGATCTTGTGTTTCTCAATGAATTTGCTGCCTGGGGTTGTTCCTACAGTCTGTGATAATATCATTTCTAACTTTGTCTAACAGGTTTTAATTGTACGCAGGTTTCAGAATGTTCAAGTCTGGCACTGGTAGCACAGTGTTGGTATGAGTATCATTCAGTAGCATGTCCCTCGCGGAACCTCGCTGCCATAACAACCCTCCGGAAAACCTTCCTATCCTGAGCAAGATGTCCTGCGTCTGATACACCCATCTGGAGATCATCTGCCACATCCTGCACCCATCTTCTCCTTGGCCTTCCTCTTCCTCTCTTCCCAGGCATATACCCCTCCATTATTGTTCTCTCTAGACTTCCATGACGTTTCAAGTAACCAAAATATTTCAATTTTCTTTGTTTTATTGTCTTTACTAGCCAACCCTCTTCAATATTCAGCTCTTGAAGTATGGATGCATTTGTTCTTTTCTTTACCCAAGATATTCTTAGAACCTGTCTGTAACATTTATATTCAAATGCATTTATGCGCTGTTCCGCTTGTTTAGTAAGTGTCCAGGTCTCACAGGCGTATGTTGCAATGGGAAAGATGCATGCTCTTAAAAATCTGACCTTTGTAATTCTATCTGTACAATTCCATAATTTATTCAGTTGTTTTAGTCTTTGAAGAGCAATTGATAGTCGCCGTTTAATTTCTTTCATTGTGTCACCATTGTTGGTAACCAGTGACCCAAGATATTCGAAATTTTCCACCACTTCCAATCTTTCCTCATTATCATCAGCATAACGAATTTCTGGTATTTCATGACCACCAATGTTTAGGGCATCATATTGTTCCTTGTTTATATCATCTCTTACATTTCTCAGGTATGAGTATGCTGTTTATAATCTGTTTCTTGGCGCTCATACTTATGTTTGGATGTCTTCATAACAGCGTCAGTTGGTACACAAGTGCACTGGCTAGATGGCATCTTGTTTCTATTTCCGGATCTATTCTTCCGTCCTCAGAGAATATACTTTTGGATGTCTTCATAACAGCGTCAGTTGGTACACAAGTGCACTGGCTCTTTGGCATCTTGTTTCTATTTCCGGATCTATTCTTCCGTCCTCAGAGAATATACTTCCTAGATGTTTAAGTTCTTCAACTTGCTTCAGACAGGTACCACTTAACAACAAGATATGTAGCGGACTAGCAATTATGGTGACCTGCATGACTTCAGTTTTGGTAGTTGTTTTATTTTCATGTGATATTTTCTGCATGTTGAACTAAGCCTGTTCAAATATTCTTGAAGTCTACTCCCCTCACTGTAGAATAGGCACTGATCGTCTGCAAACAGTAGCTCATTTATTGTATGCAGATCTAATTCTTCCTCTGGAAAGTAAAGTCCTGGATTTTCAGGGTCAACTGCTTTAGTAAAAGTAAAATAGTAAAGGACCCTTTTCCACACCTTAAGGCGTATAGGGCATATAGGGCTAGACCTATATTTCTATAGACCAATCGGCACAAGATGGGTGATGTGGTCAGTATTACTCTGGCCGCCTTCACTTTCCCGGGACTGCACCCGGTACCCACTCAAGGCTGGGTCAACCTGGGAGCCAAGGTCATTTTTGAAAAAAGTCTGGCTCTGCCAGGGAGCGAACCCACCACCTTCCGATCTGCGGCGAGGGTCTAGCTGCTCAGCCACGGCGACTCCCGGTCAACTGCTTTAAAGCTGGCTTAATACAAATCTTCTTCTTCTTTGCGTTCACCAGCTGTAAACTCTGGTGGAAAGTTCTGGTTGTTTATCCACTTCTGGATTGCAGCCCTGTTCCAGAACCTGAGTGATGCGTGTGCATCCGTTTGACAGATCTGACACATTTGTGGGCAGACTGTTGGTTCCTTGCCTATCAGGCTAATGCACTCCAACTTCAAAGGAAGCTCCCAGTTAGTCGACTCTTACCCCATGCTTTTGGGTAGGCAGTGGGTCTATTCTTGTTTTTCCCTATAATAGGGCCCCGGAACCCACATGGGAGTTAATACAAATGTTAATGATCCATAATTGTGGATGAATTGGAATGTGTTTAGTTCTTTCACTATGCTCCATATGATTAATTCTATAATACCATCTCAGCCTCCCTACCACTGTTTGCATGTAAGAGTTACTGAATGTTTATAATATATAAGCTCCTGTCTGAGGTGTTACCCCTGATCCTGCTCCATACAACATGATGCCATGTGTGACCACAGTTTCATGCAGGACTCAATCAGCAACACTTCCAATCTGAGGTCTGGTAACAGGTTTCATTTATATTCATTTCCACATATGTCCTGGCATGATGAGGTTTTGAACAACGGATTAACATCATGGCACACCGGTGTAACCCATAAGTGCTTCGTTCTTCTTCTAACTCAAGTCCGAGGAAGCTCAGGACAGAGCACAGGCTCTGTAGCACCGGCGAGGATCCTGAAATACTTTGGGTAGATTTTTAACTCAAAATGTTGCCCAGGCAGCGCGGTTAGGCTACTCTTCTCGATTTTAAACTGCGATGGGATTTTTTACGCACACAACAATGCATACGGGCATCCGATCTTACTACTTAGAGACCAGGGGGAATTACTAGAAGTCCTAAGTCCACGTAAAAAAAGATCCCAGCCCACCGGGGATTGAAGCCGAAACTTCTAGCACTCGAGATGGACACCATGCCTCGAGACCATGCAGCCCCCCTCTGGCACTATGAGAATGCTCTTGTATGTTATACTCCTATTTTGAAGGTTTGAACACCCCCCCCCCCCCTTCCTTTCCACCCCATTCCCATACCTTCACTCTGCTTCAACAGGAGTATGCCTACAACATGAACAACTACCCACATGGGTGCCAGACATAGAGGTAAGTAAACAGATACAGACAGGAGAGACATTGAGAATAAACCCAAAAATGCAGTCAAATCTGTCCTCAAGCGGAAACTATAACGAAGGAGAAGAAAAGGGAGCCAAACAGAGGTCAACAGCAGCAGTACAGATATAGCAAAATGATACAACGCACTGAACAAACAGTTCATTGAAACATGATAGAAAAACAATATCCCACCTGCACTTCTACATTCTAGGACAGTAGAACAATTAACAAACATGAATGTAAGGTAGCTTTACAGCCCAGGGTACAAGAGCTAAAACTAGGGTAGCTCTACAGCTAGGATAGAAGAGTTAACAAGACTAAGAAAGCTCTACAGCAATTATCAGAGTACAAGAGTTAACAAGACTAGGGTAACTCTATAGCCTAGGGTAGAAGAGTTAACAAGACTAGTGTAGCTCTACAGCAATTACCAGGGTACAAGAGCTTACAAGACTAGGGTAGCTCTACAGCCCAGGATTAGAAGAGTTAACAAGACTAGGGTAGCTCTACAGCCGAGGATAGAAGAGTTAACAGGACTAGGGTAGCTCTACAGCCCAGGATTAGAAAAGTTAACAAGACTAGGGTAGCTCTACAGCCCAGGATTAGAAGAGTTAACAAGACTAGGGTAGCTCTACAGCCGAGGATAGAAGAGTTAACAGGACTAGGGTAGCTCTACAGCCCAGGATTAGAAGAGTTAACAAGACTAGGGTAGCTCTACAGCCCAGGATTAGAAGAGTTAACAAGACTAGGGTAGCTCTACAGCCCAGGATAGAAGAGTTAACAAGACTAGGGTAGCTCTACAGCCCAGGATTAGAAGAGTTAACAAGACTAGGGCAGCTCTACAGCCGAGGATAGAAGAGTTAACAAGACTAGGGTAGCTCTACAGCTGAGGATAGAAGAGTTAACAAGACTAGGGTAGCTCTACAGCCCAGGGTAAAAGATTTAACAAGACTAGGGTAGCTCTACAGCCCAGGGTAGAAGAGTTAACAAGACTAGGTAGGGTAGCTCTGCAGCCCAAGGTAGAAGAGGAAAAAAATGTAAATAATAAATGACATGAACATCTTCATCTGCCGACACTGACAAGCACAAGCTGAGGACCTACTTTTGACCTGTGCCTGTTTCACGTCTGGGCCAAACATTGAGCCGATGAGCTTGTCAGCATCAACTTTGACAGTGCCAGGTTTTCCAAACAAGCGCATCTTCTGTCGTTGCTCCTCGAAGAACCTTTCTTTATCTGACAGCGGTCCCATCTTGGCCTTGTGCAGTGAGGTTCTAGAGAGAGAGAAAAGCAAATCATGTGTCATCACACTCTTCCTATGAGTACCCAGCAAACCTAGGGGACAATCACACTCTTCATCTGTGAACCCAGCAAACCCAGAGGACAATCACTCTTCATCTGTGAACCCAGCAAACCCAGAGGACAATCACTCTTCATCTGTGAACCCAGCAAACCCAGGGGACAATCACTCTTCATCTGTGAACCCAGCAAACCTAGGGGACAATCACACTCTTAATCTGTGAACCCAGCAAACCTAGGGGACAATCACACTCTTAATCTGTGAACCCAGCAAACCTGGGGGACAATCACACTCTTTATCTATGAACACAGCAAACCCAGGGGACAATCATACTCTTCATCTATGAACACAGCGAACCCAGGGGACAACCACACTCTTCATCTGTGAACCCAGCAAACCTAGGGGACAATCACACTCTTCATCTGTGAACCCAGCAAACCTAGGGGACAATCACACTCTTCATCTGTGAACCCAGCAAACCTGGGGGACAATCACACTCTTCATCTGTGAACCCAGCAAACCTAGGGGGACAATCACACTCTTCATCTGTGAACCCAGCAAACCTAGGGGACAATCACACTTTATCTGTGAACACAGCGAACCCAAAGGACAATTACATTCTTCACTGAGAACCCAGCAAACCCAGGGGACAATCACACTCTTCATCTGAGAACCCAGCAAACCCAGGGGACAATCACACTCTTCATCTGTGAACCCAGCAAACCTAGGGGACAATCACACTCTTCATCTGTGAACCCAGCAAACCTGGGGGACAATCACACTCTTAATCTGTGAACCCAGCAAACCTAGGGGACAATCACACTCTTCACCTGTGAACCCAGCAAACCCAGGGGACAATCACACTTTATCTGTGAACACAGCGAACCCAAAGGACAATTACATTACTTCACTGAGAACCCAGCAAACCCAGGGGACAATCACACTCTTCATCTGAGAACCCAGCAAACCCAGGGGGACAATCACACTCTTCATCTGTGAACCCAGCAAACCTAGGGGACAATCACACTCTTCATCTGTGAACCCAGCAAACCTGGGGGACAATCACACTCTTAATCTGTGAACCCAGCGAAACCTAGGGGACAATCACACTCTTCACCTGTGAACCCAGCAAACCTAGGGGACAATCACACTCTTCATCTGTGAACCCAGCAAACCTAGGGGACAATCACACTCTTCACCTGTGAACCCAGCAAACCCAGGGGACAATCACTCTTTATCTGTGAACACAGCGAACACAGGGGACAATCACTCTTTATCTGTGAACACAGCGAACCCAGGGGACAATCACACTTTATCTGTGAACACAGTGAGCCCAAAGAACAATTACATTCTTCACTGTTAACCCAGCTAGCCCATGGGGACGATCACACTTTCTAATATTAATTGTTTTCTTTAAGGCACAATCGATATAGGACACAATCAACTTATACAATCAACATAGGGCACAATCAATATAGGACACAATCAACTTATACAATCAACATAGGGCACAATCAATATAGGACACAATCAACTTATACAATCAACATAGGGCACAATCAATATAGGACACAATCAACTTATACAATCAACATAAGACCCAATTAACATATGATAAAATAAATTTAAGACAAAATCAAAATGATACAATCAACAAAAGACACATTCAGCGGAAGATACAATCAACATATGATGCAGTCAACATAAAACACAATAAGTGTAAGATACACTCAACATATGATACAATCAACATAAGATACAATCAGTCTATGACACAATCAACAAAAGACAAATCAATCAAAGAAACAATCAACATATGATACAATCAACATAAGATACAATTAGTCTAAGATAAAATCAACATAATACAATATCAGTCTAAGGCACAATCAACCTAAGAAACAATCAGTGTAGAACACAATCAACATATGATGCAAACAACATAAGACACAATCAGTCTAAACACAATTTAACACATGATACAATCAATATAAGATAAAATCAGTCTATAACACTATAAACATATGATACAAGTAATAAAAAGATGCAATCAACAAAAAAAAACTATCTATCACACAATAAACAAATAAAATCAACATAAGACACAATCAGTCTGAGGCACCATTAACATATGAAACAACCAACATAATATACAATCAGTGTAAGACGCAATCAATCTAAGACATGATAAACATAAGAAACAATCAGCATAAAACACACAAGGAAGAAGACAAGTCAATGATTGACTCCCATGCTGTCATTACCTTGGTCTGCTTGGGAAGCTAGTCACCCCAGGACTGGGGGTGTGAGCGCTGTAAGGTGGAGGTGGAGTTGATGGAACTCCCATGTGCAGGCCCTGAAATGGGAAACACAATCAGACACATTCTAGCATCTCCGTGGTAACATGACATGACTGCGACTCTCTCCAGGGGGACAGAAAATGATTGGATGACAGGCCAGGTCTGCATCCATGCCCCCTCCAGCAATACCATACCCCTTCCAGCGATATCATGCCCGCCTCCAGTGATATCATGCCCCCCTCCAGTAATATCATGCCCCCCTCCAGTGATATCATACCCCTTTCAGTGATACCGTACCCCCTCCAGCGATATCATGCCCCCCTCCAGCGATATCATGCCCCCCTCCAGCATTATCATACCCCTTCCAGTGATACCGTACCCCCTCCAGCGATATCATACCCTTTCCAGTGATACCATGCCCCCCTCCAGCGATACCATACCACTTCCAGTGATACCATGCCCCCTCCAGCGATATCATGCCCCCCTCCAGCGATACCATACCCCTTCCAGTGATACCGTACTCCCTCCAGCGATACCATACCCCTTCCAGTAATACCATACCCCCCTCCAGCGATACCATACCCCTTCCAGTGATACCATACCCCCCCCCCCTCCAGCGATACCATACCCCTTCTAGTGATACCATACCCCTTCCAGTGATACCATACCCCCCTCCAGTGATACCATACCCCCCTCCAGTGATACCATACCCCTTCTAGTGATACCATACCCCTTCTAGTGATACCATACCCCTTCTAGTGATACCATACCCCCCTCCAGTGATACCATAACCCCCTCCAGCGATACCATACCCCTTCCAGTGATACTATACCTCCCTCCAGTGATACCATACCCCCCTCCAGTGATACCATACCCCCCTCCAGCGATACCATACCCCTTCCAGCGATACCATACCCCTTCCAGCGATACCATACACCCCCCCCCCCCCTCCAGCAATACCATACCCCTTCCAGTGATACCATACCCCCCTCCAGCAATACCATACCCCTTTAAGCAATACCATACCCCTTCTAGTGATACCATACCCCCCCCCAGTGATACCATACCCCTTTCAGTGATACCATACCACCCTCCAGCGATACCATATCCCTTCCAGTGATACAATACCCCCTCCAGCGGTACTGCAGGGGATTGCTTGCAGTTGAAGTTTGAGTCTCTTGACAAAGATGTGGAGGGAATCAAACCAGTCTCATCCTAAACCACCCACCCAGTAACTAGGTGCTGAATACTTGGCTAACAGCTCTCTGTCAAGTTTCAGTGCTAGACTGGTAAACCTCTCTCATTTCTGAGCTATAACACAGGGAAGCAAAGCTCGGCAACAGTCACAGATGAAAAGCCTTGGCAACAGACATACCAGAGAGTCAACACAGACAGCACATATGATTCTAGAGTACACACCTGCATTGGATACCTCATGCCAGATGCCATCATCATCTGTTGCTGCACCATGGGGCTTGCTGGCATCCCTCCTGGCAAGTAGGGGTTTATACCCTGCATACCATTCATAGCAGGGTTTTGTTGACCTGGCCACCAGACAGATATGTTAGGTTTGTTTCGGCTAATGTGTATCATTTATGTGTTATGTCTGTGATATGTATGTGACATATGTATCACTAGTAAGGAAGCTGTGGCAATAAAATGTAGCAGCACACCTAACACTGTCAGATACACAAGACTGTAATACACCTTACACTGTCAGATACACAAGACTGTAATACACCTTACACTGTCAGATACATAAGACTGTAATACACCTAACAGTGTCAGATACACAAGACTGTAATACACCTAACAGTGTCAGATACACAAGACTGTAATACACCTAACAGTGTCAGATACACAAGACTGTAATACATCTATCACTGTCAGATACACAAGACTGTAATACACCTATCACTGTCAGATACACAAGACTGTTATACACCTATCACTGTCAGATACACAAGACTGTAATACACCTTACACTGTCAGATACACAAGACTGTAATACACCTAACAGTGTCAGATACACAAGACTTTAATACACCTAACAGTGTCAGATACACAAGACTAATACACCTAACAGTGTCAGATACACAAGACTGTAATACACCTTACACTGTCAGATACACAAGACTGTAATACACCTTACACTGTCAGATACACAAGACTGTAATACACCTAACAGTGTCAGATACACAAGACTGTAATACACCTAACAGTGTCAGATACACAAGACTGTAATACACCTAACAGTGTCAGATACACAAGACTGTAATACACCTTACACTGTCAGATACACAAGACTGTAATACACCTATCAGTGTCAGATACACAAGACTGTAATACACCTTACACTGTCAGATACACAAGACTGTTACACACCTAACAGTGTCAGATACACAAGACTGTAATACACCTTACACTGTCAGATACACAAGACTGTAATACACCTTACACTGTCAGATACACAAGACTGTAATACACCTAACAGTGTCAGATACACAAGACTGTAATACACCTTACACTGTCAGATACACAAGACTGTAATACACCTTACACTGTCAGATACACAAGACTGTAATACACCTATCATTGTCAGATACAAAAGACTGTAATACACCTAACACTGTCAGAAACACAAGACTGTAATACACCTTACACTGTCAGATACACAAGACTGTAATACACCTAACATTGTCAGAAACACAAGACTGTAATACACCTAACATTGTCAGAAACACAAGACTGTAATACACCTAACATTGTCAGATACACAAGACTGTAATACACCTAACATTGTCAGATACAAAAGACTGTAATACACCTAACATTGTCAGATACAAAAGACTGTAATACACCTAACAGTGTCAGATACACAAGACTGTAATACACCTTACACTGTCAGATACACAAGACTGTAATACACCTAACATTGTCAGATACACAAGACTGTAATACACCTAACATTGTCAGAAACACAAGACTGTAATACACCTAACATTGTCAGAAACACAAGACTGTAATACACCTAACATTGTCAGATACACAAGACTGTAATACACCTAACAGTGTCAGATACACAAGACTGTAATACACCTTACACTGTCAGATACACAAGACTGTAATACATCTACACTGTCAGATACACAAGACTGTAATACACCTAACAGTGTCAGATACACAAGACTGTAATACACCTTACACTGTCAGATACACAAGACTGTAATACATCTACACAAGTCTGTAATACACCTAAACAGCACAATCATACCAATCTACTAACATTTATGAAGCCTGAGACAATGAAACACAAATAACACCATGATCTCTATAATATTTTGATGGTGTCAGTTATGCTGTAAGGCCTGTAACATTATTATGTCTGTAACAGTGTGAGGCTTGTAACATTATGATATATGTTTCATTGTGATGTCTGCAACATTATGATGTCTGCAACACTTTGAGACACAAGTGGACAATTGCATATACATAAGAGAACACAAATGAAAACAACTATTATTTAATTTTTCTCTACAAGAGAGTCACTGAATGAAACATTCACAAACACGTGTGTGCATTTGGTAATCAGATAACCAGATTACTAGATGCACACACACACACACACACACACACACACACATGTACACACACACAGAGTGTCTTGTGGCCAGACTGTCCTCTAGGCTGCTCCTTCAGCACACCAAGAAGCATAGTGAAATGACCTCTGTCCATCTGTTACATGCACCACAGCCAACCCCTTATTGACAATGTGACAGATCCCAAGGCAGACAACAATGAACTCAGTCCACATCAAGTGCGGCAGATACAGCAGCTGGCTTCCCCAACATACTCACCTACTGGGAAACCTCCACTGGCAACATAGGCTGGCACTTGATTGAACCTGTGCAAGTGTACACACACCAAATAAGTGTTAGCAGACAGGGCTGGCTTGAAGCAATTCATGTGGTTGTGATGTCATTACATTTAACTTGCTATTTTCAGTCAAATATTGAGGGGAACTAGGTAGCAGCCCGCAATAGTAAGGAAAGTAGTAGTAGTAGCGTTACCAGAAATATCTGGAGCAAGGACTGTAGCAGCTGTAGCAGTAACAGAGTCGCAGCAATAGTTGGAGTAGTAACATTTGTAGCAGCAACAGTAGTAGTAGCAATAGTTGGAGTAGTTATTATAGTAACAGCAGCAGCTGCTGTAGCAATAGTAATAGGGTAGAACACACAGTGATAAAAAAAACTAGTGTTCAATTCAAGCCCTGCCTTTAGAGGTGCCAAGTAGTTAGCGTTCTTTGGATATTTTCATTAGGGAATGCAGGAGCGTTGGAAAATGAACAGACAGACTGGCTGGTTCTGTACTGATGGGTGGTGAATTTATTCATAACAAGCTGGATATGGTACACAAACATTCCTGGACTACAATTATCCTCATTGCTGAGGCATCTTCATCATTAAGCAAACAGGGGACAGCTCCAATATTGGAAACAAGTGAGCAATGCAAATAGATCATTATGGAGTGGAGAGAACAGGAGTGACCAGGGGATCTCATCGACACACTACACTCAGAGGAGTGACCAGGGGATCTCATCAACACACTACTCTCAGATGAGTGACCAGGGGATCTCACTAACACACTACACTCAGATGAGTGACCAGGGGATCTCATTGACACACTACACTCAGATGATTGACCAGGGGATCTCATTGACACACTACACTCAGATGAGTCACCAGGGGATCTCACTAACACACTACACTCAGATGAGTGACCAGGTGACTCATTGGGATCTCATTGACACACTACACACTCAGATGAGTGAGTGACCAGGGGATCTCATTGACACACTACACTCAGATGAGTGACCAGGGGATCTCATTGACACACTACACTCAGATGAGTCACCAGGGGATCTCATAACAACACACTACAGATGAGTCAGATGAGTCAGATGAGTGACCAGGGACCACTACACTCACCAGGGGATCTCACTCACACTACACTCAGATGAGTGACCAGGGATCTCATTGACACACTACACTCAGATGAGTGACCAGGGGATCTCATTGACACACTACACTCAGATGAGTGACCAGGGGATCTCATTAACACACTACACACTCTCACACACTACAGATCAGATGAGTGACCAGGGGATCTCACTAACACACTACACTCAGATGAGTGACCAGGGGATCTCACTAACACACTACACTCAGATGAGTGACCAGGGGATCTCACTAACACACTACACTCAGATGAGTCACCAGGGGATCTCATTAACACACTACACTCAGATGAGTCACCAGGGGATCTCATTGACACACTACACTCAGATGAGTGACCAGGGGATCTCATTGACACACTACACTCAGATGAGTGGGGATCTCATTGACCACTACACTCAGATGGTGACCAGGGGATCTCATTGACACACTACACTCAGATGAGTCACCAGGGGATCTCATTGACACACTACACTCAGATGAGTCCCAGGGGATCTCATCAGATGAGTCACCAGGGGATCTCATTGACACACTACACTCAGATGAGTCACCAGGGGATCTCATTGACACACTACACTCAGATGAGTCACCAGGGGATCTCATTGACACACTACACTCAGATGAGTGACCAGGGGATCTCATTGACACACTACACTCAGATGAGTCACCAGGGGATCTCATCAACACACTACACTCAGATGAGTGACCAGGGGATCTCATTGACACACTACACTACTACACTCAGATGAGTGACCAGGGGATCTCATTGACACACTACACTCAGATGAGTGACCAGGGGATCTCATTGACACACTACACTCAGATGAGTGACCAGGGGATCTCATTGACACACTACACTCAGATGAGTGACCAGGGGATCTCATTGACACACTACTGAGTCACCAGGGATCTCATTGACATACTACACTCAGATGAGTGACCAGGGGATCTCATTGACACACTACACTCCTGAGTGATATGTGACCAGGGGATCAACCCACTGGCAACCAGGGGCCAAACAACATTCATTGTGATGATTAACTCTAGGGGAAGACCAGAACACAAACACTGACCAGGGAAAAGATCTCGCTGTCACAAGTAACTGATCCCCTACAGGCACAACTAGACTAATGTAGGCTGGCACAACTAGACTGATCTTGGCCAGCATACACATTCCTGGACTCCAATTATCCTCGTTACTGAGTCACCATCAACATTTAGCAAACAGGGAACAGCTCCAACTAAGTCAGGAAGGTTATGGTGTGATGTTTTCAGTCATGGTTCTAGGGCTAACACTGCTCAATGTTTAGGGAATGTTAAACAAAAACTGTATTATTTTAATGAGACAGGGCTTGGGTGAAACTCAAAACAGTTAATATAACATCACTAACTATGGCTATCTTTCGAATAACAGTCCCAAATTATCAAGGACCGAAAATATACCCTAACAGTGCCTCAGTCACGTGTAAATTGTGTATTTCCGCTACACGCGGAGTGGAGTGAGGCTAAACTAGACTGCTGGGACTCACGAGCAAATAAAATGAAAGAAGCTGCAGGAGATGCGGTAGCTGCTGCTCGTGAATCCCAACCATCTAGTTTAGCTCCAATCCATGCCGCACGTAGCGGCGTGGGAGATACTCTCAGTGGTGGCGGTGGCGCCGGAAGTGCACAATTTACATCTGACTGAGGCCCTGTTAGGGTAAATTTATGCCTTGATAATATGGGACCGTTATTTGGAAGATAGCCCTAACTATATCTACAAGTCACAGAACTGATGAGAGCAGCAGGGCTCCAAATGCCGCTGGACCAATAATAATTCAAACCGACCAAATCTGACTGTGGACAGGTATTGACTGATAAATTAATTAATCATTCCTTTAACTGAATATATAATAAATGCCGATAGAATCTATCATAGATTTCACACTATACCCATAGTCATAAATCATCCCCACTGTTGTTACTTCGGCCGGCGTGTAAAGGTGTCTGTGCTGGTCTGACTGGCAGAGTCCATTATTTCTAAAGATGTGTCTGGTGTCTGCGCTGGACTACTAAACTAACGGGCTAACACTAACGTTTGTCTTGTTTGTTATGATTAATCAGATGGGCGAGGCGGTGGGTGGGGAATTGCTGGCAACGGCTATAACCGCCGATCCGCTGGCATCATTTATACACACATATGTTGTGGTGACGGTGTGATCGACGTCTCCAGGCCAGCGGGACATCACCGACAAACCCGAAAAAGACAAGACAGATCAGCAACAAATTATGGACACAAACAAGCAGACGATAACGTTACCTGTTGTCGGCCATGTTTTCATTCTCCGACTGTGTACGCAAACTGCCGACTTTCACGTAAATACCTTCCCCCCTCAGATGTCCGCCTCCACAGTCTGTCGATTGTATATTGCTGCAGTCAGAAAAAGACATAATACAATCACCCGTAAGTACGACTGGCGTCCGTATAAGTACAGGAATGAAGTAGAGATCTGAGCACAAATTAGACAATGCAGCATTTGGCAGCTACACAACCACCAAGGTTCTAACCAGACATGGCTAGATAATACCCACACCCTTGTTGGAATCTATCTATCTGCTTCCCCCCACCCCCCTTCAAGACTGCTATCTATAGGTTACCATAATTACATGAGATAATGAAATCTCAACACGGACAACAAACCAACCAGGCAGATCTCAGATACCCCGTTTAACCTGCAAAGTAGTTATCATTGGGTCACCCTAAGGGCAACACCAGCCGGGTCTCACCTGCATCCCATGTGCGCCCGGACCAGCCTCTTTTGGAATCTCAGTGTACTGCCTACATAGCTTCCAGTTCCAATTTTGTCTAGTTTGTATGGGATATCTCCAGACTGGACAATGTTAGGGGCAGACAACCAGATGTCTGATATCTCTGGACAATGTCAGCGGCAGACAACTAGATGTCTCTGGACAATGTCAGCAGCAGACAACCAGGTGTCTGATATCTCTGGACTGGGCAATGTCAGCAGCAGACAACTAGATGTCTGATATCTCTGGACAATGTCAGCAGCAGACAACCAGGTGTCTGATATCTCTGGACTGGACAATGTCAGCAGCAGACAACCAGATGTCTGATATCTCTGGACAATGTCAGCAGCAGACAACTAGATGTCTGATATGTCTGGACTGGGCAATGTCAGCAGCAGACAACCAGGTGTCTGATATCTCTGGACTGGGCAATGTCAGCAACAGACAACCAGGTGTCTGATATCTCTGGACAATGTCAGCAGCTGACAACCAGATGTCTGATATGTCTGGACAATGTCAGCGGCAGACATCCAGATGTCTGATATCTCTGGACAATGTCAGCAGCAGACATTCAGATGTCTGATATCTCTGGACAATGTCAGCAGCTGACAACCAGATGTCTGATATGTCTGGACAATGTCAGCAGCAGACATTCAGATGTCTGATATCTCTGGACAATGTCAGCAGCTGACAACCAGATGTCTGATATGTCTGGACAATGTCAGCAGCAGACATTCAGATGTCTGATATCTCTGGACAATGTCAGCAGCTGACAACCAGATGTCTGATATGTCTGGACAATGTCAGCAGCAGACATTCAGATGTCTGATATCTCTGGACAATGTCAGCAGCTGACAACCAGATGTCTGATATGTCTGGACAATGTCAGCGGCAGACATCCAGATGTCTGATATCTCTGGACAATGTCAGCGGCAGACATCCAGATGTCTGATATGTCTGGACAATGTCAGCGGCAGACAACCAGATGTCTGATATCTCTGGGCAATGTCAGCAGCTGACAACCAGATGTCTGATATGTCTGGACAATGTCAGCAGCAGACATTCAGATGTCTGATATCTCTGGACAATGTCAGCAGCTGACAACCAGATGTCTGATATGTCTGGACAATGTCAGCAGCAGACATTCAGATGTCTGATATCTCTGGACAATGTCAGCAGCTGACAACCAGATGTCTGATATGTCTGGACAATGTCAGCGGCAGACATCCAGATGTCTGATATCTCTGGACAATGTCAGCGGCAGACATCCAGATGTCTGATATGTCTGGACAATGTCAGCGGCAGACAACCAGATGTCTGATATCTCTGGGCAATGTCAGTGGCAGACAACCAGGTGTCTGATATCTCTGGACAATGTCAGCAGCAGACATTCAGATGTCTGATATCTCTGGACAATGTCAGCAGAAGACATCCAGATGTCTGATATCTCTGAACAATGTCAGCGGCAGACATCCAGATGTCTGATATCTCTGGACAATGTCAGCGGCAGACAACTAGATGTCTGATATCTCTGGACAATGTCAGCAGCAGACAACCAGGTGTCTGATATCTCTGGACTGGGCAATGTCAGCAACAGACAACCAGGTGTCTGATATCTCTGGGCAATGTTAGTGGCATACAACCAGATGTCTGATATGTCTGGGCAATGTCAGCAGCTGACAACCAGATGTCTGATATGTCTGGACTGGGCAATGTCAGCAACAGACAACCAGGTGTCTGATATCTCTGGACAATGTCAGCGGCAGACAACCAGACGTCTGATATCTCTGGACAATGTCAGCGGCAGACAACCAGATGTCTGATATGTCTGGGCAATGTTAGTGGCATACAACCAGATGTCTGACAGCGGAGATCACAGATTTATAAATACTGGTTTTCCTGGCAAGGTAGAAAATCTTGACACCAGAAAGCACCACCATCATTACCATGCGGCAGGTTTTTTATTGAAGGCATCACAGTCTGCTTGGAACACACTGGATTGCAGCCAGATCGTATAGTGTACTAGCTAGCCCACCAAGTTAGTGGTCAGGGTTGATTCCCCAACAGACACTGGTATATTTCTTAGGACCAGTTTGGCTCTTTTATCGACCCAGTTTCATCAATACTGATATCAGACAGATGAGAAGGACAGAGGATGTGGAAGGCAGCTGGTCAGATAACTTCCAAATGTGAAGCCACAAAATCTCAGACAACTAATATATTCTCTCTTACATACACACACACATTCGCTGCTGATACATAGACAGACATATACATGAACAAACCAAGCGCAGCCTCTAAATTCGCAAGTCACAAGACCCTCGCCACCATACCACGAGCCAAAAATTCCTGCCTATAGCATTTGGTATATGGTGCTCTTGCTCTTCACTTCTCTTATCATTTCAAATTTTACCGCTTCACAATGGCAAACTACTGAATGTAAAATTTGCCTAGAAACATCACAACAGCCAAAAAATGCTAAGGGTTGCTTCTGCAACATCTTGTAGAGTATTAGCAACTAACTTTTACCACTTCGAGTGTCAAGGGAGGTAAATGATGCCACCCCATTATTTCTGCAGATCAACCCAGCAGTTGCTGGAACAACATCCTACTGCCCATGTAGCCTTCTCTCCATCTCTCTCTCAAACACACACACACACATGTGCACTCGATGGAAACTAGTGAACATGAGAAGAGATTAGAGAAATGAACAATGCAGACACACTGAGATCTGAGCAAGTTTGTTCAAACAACAACAGATCCCGCGCCATCAAACATCACCTACAATTTCCTGCATGGCAGCACCAGGTTACAGAATGCAAAACCACAGAAACACAGATCATATGTGCATGTTTTATTTCAAACATATGTACAACCTTTCAAATATCATCCATATAAACTAGAGCTGTACCGAATAGTGATTTTCACTATTCGGCCGAATACGAATATGAATACGAATAGTGAATCATCATCATCAGGTGCTTTGTCGACTGGAAGGAGCGATTATGCCTCGCCCCAATCTGCGATCTCCTGCAGCATGTATTAGTCTGTGTGCTTTCACATCTCCATGCCATGCAACAAGACTGTCAAGAATCTTCTCTCGTCGTCTTCCTCTATCCCTCCTTCAACATATCTTTCCAGTGGTCACCACATGTTCCATTTTCCCTCATCTTATAACATGGCCGAAAAATGATGACTGTCTCCTTCTGATGTCTGTGAGTAGTTGTCCTCAGGCTCCAGCCTCTTTCAAAACCTCTTGGTTGCTTTTGTTTTTTTTGGTATTTTAAGCATTCTTCTGTAAAACCACATCTCTGAGGCCTCCAGAAATTGTGTGGCCTGCCTACCGATTGATTGTCCAGGCTTCACATCATCATCATCATCAGGTACCTTGCCGACTGGCGTGGGCGATCATGCCTCTCCATAATCTGCGATCTCCTGCAGCATGTATCAGTTCGTGTGCCGACACACCTCCATGCCATGCAACAAGACTGTCAAGCATCTTCTCTCGTCTACCTCTATCTTTCCTTCCACATATCTTTCCAGTGGTCACAACATGTTCTATTTTCCCTCTTCTCATAACATGGCCGAAAAATGATGACTGTCTCCTTCTGATGTCCGTGATAAGTTGTCTTTGGGCTCCCGCCTCTATCAAAACCTCTTGGTTGCTCTTTTTGGCTGTCCAAGGTATTCTAAGCATTCTTCTGTAAAACCACATTTCCGAGGCCTCGAGAAATTGTGTGGCCTGCCTACCGATTGTCCAGGATTCACAGCCATATGTTAAAACTGGATGTATGTAGCAAGCAAGAATTCATTTCTAACTCTCAATGACAAAGATATATTGCACAAGATGGTCTTCATTTTATGAAATGCAGTTTTTGCCTGTCCTATTCTGTTTCTTATTTCAGTAATGCATCTTCCATCTGATGTTATCCATGTGCCCAGATACTAAATATTTGTACTTGTCCCAAAATAAAACCATTGACTTTTATTACACATTTAGGAATAATTATTTTCTTTGAAACCATCATTACTTCTGTCTTCCCACTATTCAAACTGAGGCCCATTCTTCCACTTTCGAATAGTGTATAAAATAGAGCTTAAAAAAAAAACATCCATAATGTCAAATGTACGCTGACATTTTACTTCACTGAATGTAGTACAGAATAGTGAACATTTAAAAACATTTTATGTTTTGCATCCTTCAGTCAGTCAGTCTGTGGTAACTAATACATAGGAATGAAAGTATTCTTAGTTTTATAAGAAGTAACTAAACTTGTAAATTGCCACTGACAGCTAAGTTAATCCATGAAAGCGGCGTTAGCTTTAAAAAAAATTGTTCCATGTTGTCAGCATTAAGGCAGCTTCTTGTCTCACTGAAGGTATTTCCAGCTGTACTGAACAGAAGTTCACTTGGTACGCTCGTAAGTGGTGCATAAAGATAATGCTTGACAGTAGGAACCAAGGTGGGAAATTTTGATATGTTCATTTTCCACCAGTCCAGAAATGGGTGCAAGGTAACCACTATTCGTATTCGGCCCGACCGCAACTATTCGGCCAAATACCGGATAGTTATTAGGTCCACTATTCGGCCCAGAAGTGAATATTCGGTACAGCCCTAATAAAAACACAACATAGAGAAAATCGCCCAATGCACACCCTACAATATGTAGCTACTCTATTCTGCACCACTTATAGATGAACAATGCTAGCGTTAAGGTATCAGTGATAGTGTCCACAAACAACACCCAGCTCTGGTGGTCTGCTAATCACATCCACCTCCCGAACCTCCCACAGACAACCCCTGCCAGACTTCAAATGTCATAGGTGACACTAAATATGGCAGTCGCTGTGGCGCAGCGGCTAGACATTCCTGTGTGGATCGGGAGGTCATGGGTTTGCTCCCTGGAGGAGCCAGACATTTAAAAAATGGCCTTGAATCCCAGGTCGACCCAGCCTTGAGTGGGTACTGGGTGAGGTCCTGGGAAGTAAAGGCGGCCAGCATGACGCTGACATCACTCATCTTGTGCCAACTGGTCTATACAAATATAGGTCTAGCAATATATGCCTAAAGGGGTGAAAAAGGATGTTAACTTTCTTACACTAAACACAGATGATGGCAACAAAGGACTTGTCTTAATGCATGTGGCTGTTATAAGTCACACTTGCCATCACCAGGTGATGTGCACGCCTTCTTATAGCCCAGTACAACACTACTGTCTGGACAAGTGCCAATAGGTCAGATGGTCTCTCTCCAGCTCATCAAGTTGTGGGCCACTGGATACCAGTTAACAACAATTCCCTTCTGAGTGGTTCTGCAATCCACACCTTTCCTTCTGGTGTCTCACTGACCGACTGGACATGTGGAGATGGCACTTCTTCAGATATACAGCTATAGTACGTTCAACAATTCATAAACACATATGCAAGCCATTTTCTCGAAAACTGCCTGTTAAATCACAATGAAGTTTTGCATGCAGCTTTAGTATATCTATGACATTAATGACATATTTTTTTCAATAAAGAAGAATATCATAAGTAGTTTTTTTCTTCTTTACGATACATATTTTTATCATGAAACCGTCTTGGTAGATTTTGGAAGGTTTACTTTCATTAGTTTCAGGAAGTAGTGACTGGTTAAATAGGGCGTCATAATTTTCTCATGCAAAGTCACACTGTTAGAGTCCTGAAGCTAAAATAAGATGTCGGTCAAGGTTGTCTGGTCAAAGGCGCATCCACAATTTAGTGCTGAGTTATTGTATCATATAGCTAACTTTTAAAAGCTGACATGGATATAAACTTCAAAATGAATTTGGGATTCAAATTTATAACTATGCAGAAGGTTACTGTTTTATTGTGCCAACACTTTCTCACGGAATCTAAGATGGGTCATTTACCTTGTGATATTCATGGCCCAGAGAAAGGAACACGATTGGTGCTTGGTCTGGAGAGAGCATCATTTAACCGTTGGATTAGACAGGACACAGAGTAAATTCATGTCAAGTGAGAAAGGAGAAGAAAAGGTGACGACTTTGATGAAGAAGTCATTAGATGTGAGATCTAAAAAAGTTAGAGACAAATCAACTTGTTACTCTCCGAAAACTGAAATTAACATTGAAATCATAATGCAGTATTAACATTTCAAAAAGTAGTCTGTGGGAAATTGTAAGGTGCCACCATGTTCACTTTCAGGAACTAGGTGGAAGGAATATTAATTGCGAAGAGTCACATTTGATTGCTAGTCAAAGTAAATACCCGAGGTAGAACAGTGAGCGAAGGAGACAAGGTTGCATTGTATATTTGGATGAATCCTGGGTTAATGACCACAATACCTATGCTAAAGAATGACAATCAGTAAACGGTGAACAGTAAAGAAACATTCCAAGCAGCAAACGTCAGCACATTATACTCACTTATACAGGAAGCAATGATGCTGGACTAATTTTCCACTAAAAAAATTAAGATGGTAGGGAGTTCCACACTGAGATGAGTGGACACATTTTCAGGCACTGGATGGAGACTGATCTTCTTTCAATTCTGGATAGACCATCATGCCTTCTAATGGATAATGCCATCTATAATAATGCCATATCAGAGGAAGACGAAGTACCAACAAAATCAAATACAACAGATCACATTAGGACACGGCTTGCTAAGGTGAAAGTCAACTTTGATGACACATATTTGAAGGCAGAGTTGTTGCAACTTGTGAGGAAAACAAATAAGATAAAGGTGTATCACACTGACAAAATCCAAAATGAATACAGCCACACATCTCTGCGACTTCCTACATGTCATTCACACCTCAACCCGATAGAGCTTGTTTGGGCTGCGGTCAAGACAAGTTGCCGAAAAGAACAGTATATTAAAATGTGTGATGTTGAAGTTCTGACACACAAGTCACTCTCAACAATAGACATTCATTTCTGGAAAAAAATGTGCCGAACATTGCTCCGAGAGGAAGACGAGTACTGGTACCTAGATGGATACAATTTTTTCAGGCAGTAACAATTATCAACCTTTTGGGATCGTCAGATTCGGAAAGATTACAACACCTTTTTTGATGAGTGGTTGAATATCATCCACCCGTCAGGTACATCTACAATTGCAAGAGATACACCTTCATATCCAAACGTGTCAACCATAACACAATTTGATGTGCAGTTCTGATACTCTCTGGGGTCTAATGGTGACCCAAGGGAAATACTAACTGTTGCATACTGGGGATATGTTTACAACTGAACAAGGCAGACAGATTTGCTAGATCTGCACCACTGGCCGGTGATACATGACAAGGCAAATGTGTTCAAAGCCCTTTGGGAACAAGTAACGGAGTCAGAAAATAAAACAAATTATCATGGCCTGGAAAGAATTATACACCTGTGTGTGACCAGAGGGCCTGGCTGGCATACTACACTCAGAGGAAAGGCAAGACAGGCATATAATCAGTGTCCGGTACCATTAGTACTTGAACTCTGCGCTGGCTGCTGAAGATGGGGGTGGAGCACACATGGGAATGCCCAGAGTGTTGTGATGTCAATTCTTGACTCAACTCAACATAAATGACAACAAATAAATTTACTTCACATATCAATATACTATGAATATTCCCCTCTGAACAAAAAAACTGGAAATTCACATGCTTACTGTAAAATCTAAAAGTTGACTCTACTTGTTTACAATGGTTCCAAAAAAATGGAAGGAATTGGCTGATATTCAGCATCCCGAGCATCTATGAACTAAAGAATAACACTATGTTTGAGTCATGGATATTTAAAGGCTGCAAGCGAAAAATCATTGTGATCTAACATCACAGGCAGTTTTCAAGAAAATGGCTTGCAAGTGTGTTTATGAATTGTTGAACGTACTTAAACATTGCTAGACAGTAAATTCTAACATTCTTTTATGTCTGTGTACTACATAGAATCTAGTCGGGTCTTCCTGGGCTTTGTCTTGTAGTGGGGAACTCCAACAGAAACCAGAAGTGCATTACTCAGTCACACTGCCTTGCTTGTGGGGACACGGGGGTTTGGTCATTATTAAATAAACTTAGTCTTCCTCAACTCAAGCCACAATATTTGTACCCAAACTGTTTTCGGATAAGGGGAAATGTAGAGCATGTCCAATGTCCCAGGCGTGACTCCAATGGAAGCCTTGTCCAACTTGCTGACATGTCACCTTCATGACCAGGTCTGTCTGGTTTGGTGAATGGTCTTGTGCCAGTCTGCAGGATCTGGTGAGCCAATGAACAAGTCTACACAATGGGCTGCACAGATCCCACACTGGTCATGGATGTGGGTATCTCTGCCTGGTGTAGTCCATTCACAAACTATGGCCTGTCTGGGTAATCCTCCAATGTTCACCAACAGCAAACAGTCTCAGGTAATCAGTGTCAACATGCTGGATGTGACAGTTACAACTCCGGTGGATCCAAACCAGCCACCATCCACAAGCCTATGGGACATGGACAGTGGTTGAGCATGAGACCATCATGGTGGACAAGCTGATGAAGCTGTTGTATCAAGTGAAGTGATCTAGATGAGTCTGTCTATGCTTTAGTGTGGATGGTTCACTTCGGTGTAATAACGGCTCCTTGGGGTCCGTGACCTTGGGGTCATCATAGATGGTTGTAATCAAGTGTGCCTGATGTCTGAGTCTCTTGATGCCACTTGATGTGTAGCTCACAGGCTTAGCTTTTGTGTATCTGTGGACACAAAAACAGGAGAGAAATATGTCAATAATATGTGTGTTCTTCTTCTTCTTCCGTTCGCCTGAAAAAAGTTGTCTAAATCAGCAGTTTTGTCTCTTGTATAAATTTCACTGTCGTTGTTAGTTCATTCAGTGGTCCATAGAGTTTACGTTCCACTGTTGTTCTTTCTGGCCAAAAGGTTTGCCTTAATGTGTCAAAATCGGTGCAGTCCTGGAGTACATGCTCTGCGGTCTGGGGCACATTTCCACAGGTGCACATGGCTGATACACCTATCTTGAATTTTGTGCACATGTGGTTACGTAATCGGTTGTGCCCTGTTCTGAGGCGGAGGATAATGACTTGCAAAAAGAATGTAAACACTGAGAATGAGGCTGAACAAGATACAGATGTACAAACATCAAAGTAGCAATGCAATAACTGAGCTTGAGGTTCAACAAGATACAGTTATACAAACATCAAAGTAGCAATGCAATAACTAAGGTTCAACAAGATACAGATGTACAAACATCAAAGTAGCAATGCAATAACTGAGGTTCAACAAGATACAGATGTACAAACATCAAAGTAGCAATGCAATAACTGAGGTTCAACAAGATACAGATGTACAAACATCAAAGTAGCAATGCAATAACTGAGGCTGAACAAGATACAGATGTACAAACATCAAAGTAGCAATGCAATAACTGAGACTGAGGTTCAACAAGATACAGATGTACAAACATCAAAGTAGCAATGCAATAACTGAGACTGAGGTTCAACAAGATACAGTTATACAAACATCAAAGTAGCAATGCAATAACTGAGGTTCAACAAGATACAGTTATACAAACATCAATGCAGTAATGCAATAACTGAGATTAAAGAGATACAGCTGTACAAACATGAAGCAGGGTTAACTTACCCTAAACCTCTCTTACTGTAGGGCGCCTGTCCTTCACCTTTCAGGGCATCAACAATACCCGGCATTGATCGCCCAAGACCTTGACCTTCCCTCCAACCTTGCCTCTCCATAAGTTTACGCCCAATGCCCTTGGAATGAGACTCAAAAGCTCCCAGCCTGGACATACTTCTGTGACCTGTAGATTCTGGTAATGGTTTTCCGATTCCGGCTGAAAATCTGTCTGTGCTGTCATATCCCTCTCGGAACCTGTCAGGGAGTCAAACAGACAGCTTTCAATATTAGAACTGACTTCACTGTGCTCAGGTTAGCTGTCTCTGTCAGGACACTGCATCCCTGTTATTCTTCTTCTTAGCGTTAACCAGCTGTAAACTCCAGCGGAGCTCCAGTTCTGGCTGTTCGCTCACTTCTGAAATTTAGTTTTGTTCCAGAATTGAATTTTGCAAGCCCATCTGTTTTACAGATCTAGTTTATTCATATGCAGATTGTTGGTTCATCACCTTTCAGGTAGAGGTACTCAAACGTCAAAGAAACACCCCTAATTAGTCACCTTTTACAAAACTCATGGAAGGGAACAGCGAGTCTAGCTCCCCTCCCCCCTCTTACAGAGAGCACCGTGGTAACTAAAGCAGCAGGACCACGTCCTACACATCATTACTTCCCAGAAAATCTCCATGACAACACCTGACCTGACTAGGTCAACAGTTAGACCAACCATCAGGAGTCAGCAAGCCTCTCTGCAGAAGTTCCAGTACTGGTCAGACATCTCCTTCTGGTAACTGCCTTGGGCATCCAGATGGGAGGCAGAGCTCTGCAACACAGTGACCATGAAGATGATACATCTGCAGTGGGTCAGGAAAAATGTTCCCATGTCAACCTGACTCTTATGGATGCAAGCTCCTGCCTGGGCTCAGGTGAAACGTTCAGGGGATGCACAAGCAACCAACATGGTAGACAAATATGCGATCATTCACACCCCCCCCCCCCCCCCCCCCAACAACAATGCATAATTATTACACTGATTTCAAGCCTATTTATTACAATGATTTCAAGCCTATTTATTGGACTAATTTCAAGCCTATTTATTAGATTGATTTCAAGTCTATTTATTACAATGATTTCAAACCTATTTATTACATTGATTTCAAGCCTATTTATTAGATTGATTTCAAGTCTATTTATTAGACTGATTTCAAGCCTATTTTTATTAGACTGATTTCAAGCCTATTTATTAGACTGATTTCAAGCCTATTTATTAGAATGATTTCAAGCCAATTTATTTGATTTCAAGTATATTTATAACACTGATTTCAAGTATATTTATAACACTGATTTCAAGTATATTTATAACACTGATTTCAAGCTTTTTTATTAAAATGATTTCAAGCCAATTTATTTGATTTCAAGTATATTTATTACACTGATTTCAAGCCTATTAATTAAACTGTTTTCAAGCAAATTTACTACATGAATTTCAAGCCTACTAACAAGTACTGCTATTATGTAAATGCACATGCAACAGTCATTTCCACAACAACCAACCTTTTTTCTTGTCGAATTTTCAAGAAATCTTGTATGTCTTTGTCACCGGCTCCTTCTCCTTCGTAGACACTAAAATCAACATCCAAATCATCTGTGGTCTGTTCATCAAAATCTGAAGATACAAAAAAAAAACATTGAATAACTACACTATAGTCTTGGGAGTTAAATGATGCAACCTTCCATCAACACATCTAATGCTAACACATGGTGATCTGGTGCCGACATTTGCCAGGTCAAACACTGCAGCTAGATACAAGAGTCCAGCTGAGTGCTTCCAGAACAGTGTGCTTCCAGAACTGTGTGCTTCTAAAGCTGAGTGCTTCTAAAGCTGAGTGCTTCCAGAACTGTGTGCTTCTAAAGCTGAGTGCTTCCAGAACAGTGTGCTTCTAAAGCTGAGTGCTTCCAGAACAGTGTGCTTCCAGAACAGTGTGCTTCTAAAGCTGAGTGCTTCCAGAACAGTGTGCTTCTAAAGCTGAGTGCTTCTACAACTGTGTATTTGTCAGGAAGATGGTTTATTAGATTACAGATTCATACTGACCAAGTCAGTGAAAGGTGAGATCAGATGTGTGGTATCTACACTAACAAACCTCTAGCCATGCTTCTCTAGATACAGGCTGACCAAGTCAGTGAAAGGTGAGATCAGATGTGTGGTATCTACACTAACAAACCTCTAGCCATGCTTCTCTAGATACAGGCTGACCAAGTCAGTGAAAGGTGAGATCAGATGTGTGGTATCTAAACTAACAAACATCTAGCCATGCTTCTCTAGATACAGGCTGACCAAGTCAGTGAAAGGTGAGATCAGATGTGTGGTATCTACACTAACAAACCTCTAGCCATGCTTCTCTAGATACAGGCTGACCAAGTCAGTGAAAGGTGAGATCAGATGTGTGGTATCTAAACTAACAAACATCTAGCCATACTTCTCTAGATACAGGCTGACCAAGTCAGTGAAAGGTGAGATCAGATGTGTGGTATCTACACTAACAAACATCTAGCCATACTTCTCTAGATACAGGCTGACCAAGTCAGTGAAAGGTGAGATCAGATGTGTGGTATCTAAACTAACAAACCTCTAGCCATGCTTCTCTAGATACAGGCCGGCCACGTCAGTGAAAGGTGAGATCAGATGTGTGGTATCTAAACTAACAAACATCTAGCCATGCTTCTCTAGATACAGGCCGGCCACGTCAGTGAAAGGTGAGATCAGATGTGTGGTATCTAAACTAACAAACCTCTAGCCATACTTCTCTAGATACAGGCTGACCACGTCAGTGAAAGGTGAGATCAGATGTGTGGTATCTAAACTAACAAACCTCTAGCCATACTTCTCTAGATACAGGCTGACCACGTCAGTGAAAGGTGAGATCAGATGTGTGGTATCTAAACTAACAAACCTCTAGCCATACTTCTCTAGATACAGGCTGACCAAGTCAGTGAAAGGTGAGATCAGATGTGTGGTATCTAAACTAAGAAACCTCTAGCCATGCTTCTCTAGATACAGGCTGACCACGTCAGTGAATCAAACATGGTGAGGAAAAGGGTAACTGAAACCAACACTGTTGTATTCAGACTAACAGAGCTCTGGCAGTGCCTCTCTAGAGAACCCTGCCATGTGCCCTGTAGCCTCCACCATGTCTTTAGTTCAGCCCAGACCATGTCGTGTCTGTCACTCCAGTTCACTTGATTAATGACCAGGTCATGCCTGTCACTCCAGTTCACTTGATAATGACCAGGTCATGCCTGTCACTCCAGTTCACTTGATTAATGACCAGGTCATGCCTGTCACTCCAGTTCACCTGATTAATGACCAGGTCATGTCTGTCACTCCAGTTCACCTGATCAATGACCAGGTCATGTCTGTCACTCCAGTTCACCTGATCAATGACCAGGTCATGTCTGTCACTCCAGTTCACCTGATCAATGACCATGTCATGTTTGTCACTTCAGTTCATCTAATCAATGACTATGTCACATCTGTCACTCCAGTTTATCTAATCAATGACTATGTCACATCTGTCACTTCAGTTCACCTGATCAATGACCATGTCACATCTGTCACTCCAGTTCATCTAATCAATGACAAAATGCAGGTGTCTCTACCCACATCTCCTGTATCTTGTCTGCCTATCCTCAGGTGTATGATGATGATGCCTGCACCTAAAGCACAGCTGCCATTTAATGCCAATGTGAAGAAGCCAATCAAAGACTTTTCCATACAAGTCACCAGATTGTACAAGTCTCACAGTAATTCTCCATGCAAGACAATCAGTACCAATATCTTGCACACCCTGTGTAGGGAAACAACACAGCCTGTGTGGGGAAACTAAACACCCAGTGTGGGGAAACCAATGAAGGTGATGAGAATGTGTGTGAACTGGGATGTCAGCAAGCTAATATCAGTGCTGAGTGCCCCACCTTGTAAAGCATCCAGAAACAAATAACATCAGTGCTGAGTGCCCCACCTTGTAAAGCATCCAGAAACAACATCAGTGCTGAGTGCCCCACCTCGTACAGCATCCAGAAACAAATAACATCAGTGCTGAGTGCCCCACCTCGTACAGCATCCAGAAACAAATAACATCAGTGCTGAGTGCCCCACCTCGTACAGCATCCAGAAACAAATAACATCAGTGCTGAGTGCCCCACCTCGTACAGCATCCAGAAACAAATAACATCAGTGCTGAGTGCCCCACCTTGTACAGCATCCAGAAACAAACAACATCAGTGCTGAGTGCCCCACCTTGTACAGCATCCAGAAACAAATAACATCAGTGCTGAGTGCCCCACCTCGTACAGCACCCAGAAATAAATAACATCAGTGCTGAGTGCCCCACCTCGTACAGCATCCAGAAACAAATAACATCAGTGCTGAGTGCCCCACCTCGTACAGCATCCAGAAACAAATAACATCAGTGCTGAGTGCCCCACCCTGTACAGCATCCAGAAACAAATAAAACTGCTAGTACCAACAATCAGAACAAGGAGAACTGAACATACCTCCCTCCCTCTCTTGCCAGAAGACAGCATCTGTGTAGAAGACCACTCCAGGGCCACCCTTCTCCCATGGCTGTTCAATCTCTTCCTCATACAAACGTTCCTTATTGCGCTCTTGATTGCTGGGATCATCCTCGCTGGCTTCATGCCGGTCCCATTCTTCTGCATCATCATCATTCTGTAACAAGATGTGGTGAAGTCAGTCACTGACATGCTCCAACATGAGATGCCTACCTAACCTGTCTTCTTCTTCTTTGTCAGTGGTCAACATCTACTATCTCTTTATTCTAGAGTGTCACATATACTAAGTTTAGGCCGTCACTAACGCCAGCATTGAGAAACTAAGCATGGAATTAAATGGTACGAACATGGACATTATGGTTATCACTAAGAGGACAGAAATATCAATGTGTCACATACATGCAAACTTTATAGGCAAGTCAGTAGTTAAACAAGTCAGTAGTTGAAAAAGTCAGTAGTTGAACAAGTCAGTAGTTGAACAAGTCAGAAGTTGAACAAGTCAGTAGTTGAACAAGTCAGTAGTTGAACAAGTCAGTAGTTGAACAAGTCAGTAGTTGAGCAAGTCAGTAGTTGAACAAGTCAGTAGTTGAACAAGTCAGAAGTTGAACAAGTCAGTAGTTGAACAAGTCAGTAGTTGAACAAGTCAGTAGTTGAACAAGTCAGTAGTTGAACAAGTCAGTAGTTGAACAAGTCAGTAGTTGAACAAGTCAGAAGTTGAACATGTCAGTAGTTGAACAAGTCAGTAGTTGAGCAAGTCAGTAGTTGAACAAGTCAGTAGTTGAACAAGTCAGAAGTTACAACTATCTTAGAACAGTCACAACATCTGATGCAAGGTGGCTTGCAGAAATTAAATCAAGAATCGCCATTTTGACAGTGGCCTTAGTCAGATGCGAAAGATTCTCAGTAACAAGAAGATGTAAAGAAAAAGAGTGCTAAAGTGCTATCTAGAACCTGTGTTGTTTTATGCATGTGAAACACGGGACAAAAAGCAGGCAGGCTGAATGCAGTGACTCTCTGGGCTCTCGTCACTGCAATCTTCACAGGCACAGTGACAGTACAGAGAACTTTTCTCGAATAAATGAACGATGGAACACAGCCGACCGATGCGTTTGAGTTTATATGACCCCCGTGTGGGTTCTGGGGCCCTATTGTGGGGAAAACAAGAATAGACCCACTGCCTCCCCAAAAGCATGTTGTAAGAGTCGACTAACTGGGGAGCTTCCTTTGAAGTCGGAGTGCATCTGCCTGAGAGGCAAGGAACCAGCAGTCTACATTCAATTGAATCAAATCTGTAAAACTGATGCACACGCAACACTCAGGTTCTGGAGCAGGACTGCAGTCCAGAAGTGGACGAACAACCAGAACTTTACGCCAGAGTGTACAGCTGGTGAACGTGAAGAAGAAGAAGAAGAAGTTTATACGAAATGATGATGATTACAGACTTACCTGGTAACGTTTCTCCGCAGTAATCAACTTCTCCTCAATTTTCTCTGCCTTCAGTTGTTTTATCTCCAGTTGCTGCTGTTTTTTTAATCTTCTCCTCTGACTGTTTGTTAGCTTTTGACCCCCATTCCCTGGTAATGCTGCAGGCTGGGCAAATACATGTGATGAGCCACTAGAGTTGCACCCAGAGAAGCCTTGTGAAGTTGGCAACCCTGGATGTGAACCGGTGACTACGGACTTTGGAGGGACACACTGTAGTCTGTCTCCACCTGCAGTAGTCCTGGAAGGTTCTTTGAAATTCACACATGAGTGATTATTGTTTTCCTCCACCACCTCGTCACTATTTGAACTATGATCTCTATTTACATGTGCCACTTTGCTGAACTCTGGCTCTCCCTCTAACTGTGCCGTCTCACAGCCCGGGCCTTGGGCAGGAGAACTGTGCCAGCCGCCAGCTGCTGCCACCTGGTGCTGTTTGCTGGCATCTTCTAGCTCAAGAGAAACATGATTCTTAGCAAAAGGCTTTCTTATCAACATTTTCTGTCTAGAATGTCTGTACCGGCCATGGCCTTCATTAGCATGTGCTTGTGAATCTGATGTGCCGTAATCCAAATGCATATTGGCATAGATTCTTCTGGCTGCAGTTTTGGGGAACTTCAGATGGAGTTTGTTGATGAGGTTGTGTGGCAGCAGGCACTGCTGGATCAGCTCCAGGAAGGCCAGGGTTGGGGTGCCCACGTTTCCCTGTCGCATCAGATCTGGAGGTTGCAGCTCTGGCATCTGTAGCAGCTTTTCTTCCTCCACAGCATCCTGGACATCTGTAGAGTGTCAGTACGTAAATGTGACAGTTGGGTTTTATGTAGGGGCAGAAAGAAGATGTAAACTAGCATAAGTTAATGTTCTATGCCGGAGACAGAAAGAAGATGTAAACTAGCATAAGGTAATGTTCTATGCCGGAGACAGAAAGAAGATGTAAACTAGCATAAGGTAATGTTCTATGCCGGAGACAGAAAGAAGATGTAAACTAGCATAAGGTAATGTTCTATGCAGAAGGCAGAAAGAAGATGTAAACTAGCATAAGGTAATGTTCTATGCCGAAGGCAGAAAGAAGATGTAAACTAGCATAACGTAATGTTCTATGCCGGAAGCAGAAAGAAGATGTAAACTAGCATAAGGTAATGTTCTATGCAGAAGACAGAAAGAAGATGTAAACTAGCATAACGTAATGTTCTATGCCGGAGGCAGAAAGAAGATGTAAACTAGCATAAGGTAATGTTCTATGCAGAAGGCAGAAAGAAGATGTAAACTAGCATAAGGTAATGTTCTATGCCGGAAGCAGAAAGAAGATGTAAACTAGCATAAGGTAATGTTCTATGCAGAAGGCAGAAAGAAGATGTAAACTATCATAAGGTAATGTTCTATGCAGAAGGCAGAAAGAAGATGTAAACTATCATAAGGTAATGTTCTATGCAGAAGGCAGAAAGAAGATGTACGCTAGCATGTGCAGTGTTAAATTAAGAACAGGACATTCCTATAAGCCCTCCGTACCCATCTTTAGCAGCAAGAGCAAAGTTCCAACAGCAGTCCAACTGTATATTCATCTCATCTGTCACCTGAGTGCTGATCGTCAACCTAATCTGGTTTTCACTTTTTGCAGTACCATTCTTTTCATACCTTGGTGATCCACCTATGCTTCTGCACTGTTCACTTGCTCCCAAAGGGCCCTAACATCTTTAGCTTGCCCTGCATCAATTCAGCATTAAGTTGTGCAGAACTAGCCAGTCTATCTGCCTCTTCTTTTCCCAAGGAAAATACCCAAAGGATGCTAACTACAAGCGATGCTTGCCATGTTTCACCAAGCATTCCGGTTTCCACCGTTCTCAACATGCTCTCTGAGTCGGTTACAGTAACGACATGTGTACAGCTGAAAGGCTGCAGTTACAGCCACCACCTCCATTTTCAAACTAAATATGATGGTGTCACAGGCTTTGTTGCACTTTGCAACATCCATTCACTTTTGCTAAGAACGCCTATGAGCTTCGTCTGCCGCTCAACACAGAGCCGTCTGTGTAAATTATTACATCACCTTGGCGAGAACTGCCATGAATCATGTGTTGAACTTCTGATTCTGCAGAGCCTGCTGGCCAGTCCCTGCACTCATGGCCCCGTGTGATCATAACCCTCCACAATTCTGACGCACTCATGGCCCAGTGTGATCATAACCCTCCACAATTCTGACGCACTCATGGCCCCGTGTGATCATAACCCTTTCTGACGCCACTCTGCAGAGTGTGATCCCCTCCACAATTCTGGCACTCAGTCCCTGCACTCATGGCCTAGTGTGATCATAACCCTCCACAATTCTGACGCACTCATGGCCCAGTGTGATCATAACCTTCCACAATTCTGACCCACTCCTCTCCCAATATAATCAAGCCTGTGCACTTGTCTAGCTGTGTCTACACTTTACACCATCAAAGACCTATCTCTTTTCAGTCTGTGGCGTTTAGCTCAAACCAAGGCTTTATGCAGGAGGTGCTTCTTGTCTGCAGCCACTGTGAGATATGACTTTGTGTTGCAGCACTTTAAGCCTATCTGTAGTAGTAAGCAGTCCAAGAATATATCACATACGTACTACCAGGGTATCTCTTGTACATCCCAGAATTACTCCTATGACTTCATTCTGTATGCTTTCAATTTTCCTCAGCTGACTCTTTGATATGGTAAGCGTTCCAAATCCATAATCTATCAATGACAGGATTGAATTTAAACAAACACGATTTTCTAATAAATATACTGATATATTGATTTCATGCTTCATCTATTATAATGATCCCGTGCAGTGATGTACCTGATGTGACACAATCCTCTAGGTCTACTCAGTTTGAGATTTATGTCAAATGGCCTTTGATGGTGAAATGCAGGAAAACCACCCTACAGAATTAATATCACCAAGATCATTGTAGATCCGCAGAGACCTGTAAACACTTGGTATCACCAACTGGAAAAAGAAGGCCAACCAGAGAATGGAGGTGAGTGATACATGCAGCAGTTAACCTCAAGGGCTCAGAATGCTGAAGAAGAAGATCATTTCCAGCTCTGACAGACCAGATGATAGCCTAAGACCTTAGTCTTAATTGAGGTTTCAACATCACTGCAATCAGGTTTCCCCATACTTACTCCTTTCCTGTGCCAGTGCAAATGAAATGAAAAGTCCCTCATTGTTGCAATTGAAAAACTGGTGAACAAACAACAAGCCCCAGAACAATTCAGATTAAATGTGCATGCAGTAAAAGTGTATTTCAGTTGCTGGAGGCACCAAAGCCAACATACGCCACCAGAAATGTAGTCTGCCATTGATGGAAGTAGTTGAGCACGATAAGTTGGTTACTGTGCACACATAGAATTACTACATAACGTATTTCACCAGCTCACACATCAACCACCTATACTGAATACCTAGAGACAACCGCTGCACAAATGAAAGACATTCCCCTGGAAAAACACAGCTCACAGTGCTACAACCAAGCACTAAACTCAGGCAGTAGAAACAATAGACTACCGTCTAGCAAAATTCTATCGGAAGCAAAAATAACTTCAAAGCTATCTATTCTGCCAAGCCTTTCCTCAATTTGTGCCTAACATGTATGATGTGGGATGGCAATCCAAACTTGTATGTTACTCTTAATCTTTTGTGCAAACTGTAAGTTACAGTGCAACATAACATGAATCCACACACATACAAAGGCTATCATTTATCAGCTCTACTGGACATGTGAAAATATTTTATAAAAAAACTAAAGACATGACATATGAACCATATAGTGACACTACAATGCTACATTACCGCCGTGTGTCACTGTTTGTGTCAGTGCGCGTGCTAAAATGTAATACTATTATTACTATGCGTTTATCTTTTCTGACCTAGGAGACCAGAAATAGTGGGTCAGTACTACTGTGGGCTCTCCTCCGAACTTCTACCAGATATTATGGCGGCCAAGCAAATAGCCTAACAGGGCCTCAGTCATGAGTAAAATGCGGACTTTTTGCCAAGGAACAAATCGAGGCAAAACTAGGATCGGCTCCAAATAACGCTACGTAGATGGGTGGGCTAAAATTATATGGGTGGGACTCACGAGCAGCAGCTATCGCATCTCCTGCAACTTCCTCTAATTTATTTGCTCGTAAGTCCCAGGCATCTAGTTTAAATCCCCATCGGTGCCGCTATGCGCGGTATACTGTCAGCGGTGATTTTAATCGCATTTTGATCATGCCAAAAAGTGAGGACAACAACGACGCTAATCTGCGTCGGAGTGCGTGGTCTCCCCGCCATGTGGCTAATATCGTCTGTAATGTTGCGTGTCTCGAAATTGTCAATGGTTGCTAGTATCGTCTGCAGAAACGCTTGAAATTGTCAACGGTCGCTATTATTGTCTGGTACTAACGTCTGCAGTGTTGCGTCTCTTGAAATTGTCAAGTAATGCCAGTTTTGCCGCGATTTGTTCCTTGGCAGAAAGTCCGCATTTTACACACGACTGAGGCCATGTTAGGCTATTTGCTTGGCCGCCATAATAATATCGGGTAGAAGTTCGAGGGGAGAGCCCATTACTGTAGTATGTATCTAAATCTATTTTCACTTTTAAATCTATTTCAAGGAATAATTACCTTGACTTGTTCCGCCTGATGCGAGCTGTATCTGAGAGAGATGACACCGGTCAGCCAGATACTCGCCGTCAACATTTGTCCAGTTCTGGCTGTTGTATCTCATCAGATCCTCTAACTTGTTCCTCACAATTTTTACCACACAGCACAGTTTCCGACCTTTTTGATTACCTCTATCATCAATATCACTGCTGACCTTCTCTGGACGATGACGAAAATGAAAACAAAGAAAAGACCCACTCTCCACTAACGAAGAAAAATGAGCTCGTAAATCTGAGGCGTGAAAACCCGGGGGAATGTTTGTGAGAGCCAAATACTGGAAACTAACCGCGGCCATTGTTTTGACTTCTGCGACTGAAGACAGCCAGAGTGATCTCCCTGCAATGTCGTCCTCCCGTCGTTCGTTCGTTTTATTTATGTTTCAATCTATCCGTCGTCACACAAACGCTCGGCTCAGGTGTGGCAGCAACGGTATGATTCGTGTTCCAATCTCCACCATCTTTGTGTTCACAGGCTGAAAACTCCGGCGGAATGTTTTGATTGTTCGTCCACCTCTGGACTTTGCTCTTGTTTCAGAAACTGAGTATTGCGTGCACATCCATTTTATAGAACTGGCTTATTTGTATGCAGACTGTTGGTTCCTTGTCTCTCAGACAGATGCACACTGACTTCGAAGAAAGCCGCTAGTTAATCGACTCGTACAGCATGCTTGTTGGGGATGCAAGGGGTCTATTCTTGTTTTCTCCCGCAATAAACAGCCCCCCCCCCCCCCCACCCCCCCCCCCCCCCCCCCATAATAAACACCCCCCCCCCATATGGAAGATTCTTAGTCAAGACAAGGATTCTTTTCACAGACTTGGGTTCCAAGGTTGAACAATGCTAAATGGACACGAAGAAATTACCTGAGAAATTAAATGGACCTGGCATGATAGTGACCATAAAACTGATAAATTGCCAGTTGGAAAATGATTCTTCACTGAATAGACTGTATACCCTTGGTGCACCAGTTGCAGCAGCGACCAGAAAACCATGCTGCAGCCATCCGTCCTTACATCTGCCAGAAAAAAAAGGGGGAGTTGTTAGTCTAAAAACATTTAAAGACATAATCATGAGGAGATCAGAGCTCATGGTCATGTGCGATGTGCGATGAAGATGATCTCAAAATGAACAATGAATAGTCGGTCTAAAAAATATGGACGCCATTATATATATATAGTATGTATATATTGTAGAAATTTCCCTAAACGCAGCCCTGAGGTCAGAACACATCACATCATCAATAGATTTTCTGAAGCCTCTACCAACTTCGGGCTAACTATCAACACTGATATCCCTGTTGTTATCTATCAATCAGCTCCTTAAAAATACATTAATGAGATCCCGCCATCACCGTAAATCTTCTTCTTCTTCTTCTTCTTTGCGTTCGGTTTCGTATGCTCAGATCAGACAATCAGGTGGGTTGCCTCCATGAACTCGCATGTCAGCTGCAGGTCCTGCATGGTTCCCCATAGCTTGCTCTGCACACTCTGCTCTTGAGGCCAGGTGTCTTTTCGAAGTTGCAGGTAGAGTGGGCAGGTCTGATCACCGTAAATGATTAAAGGCTAAGTGTAGTCGACAGATTCATAAATCTTGGCAGTACCCTATCTCAGAGAGTCAACATCGACGATGCGATCAATGTTAGAATCTCAAAGGTCAGCAGCAGTTTCGGCAGACTTTATAACAGTATCTGAAACAGAAGTGACGTAAAGGTTTACAAAGCTGTAGTTCTTCCAATACTATTCTACGCTTCCGAAACGTGGACTGTGTATCAGCGTCATGCTAAAAAGTTGAATCAGTTTAATATAACTTGTCTCAGAAAGCTGCTCAAAATCAGTTGGCAAGATAAGATCCTAAATACTGCGGTTCTTAATAGGGCAAACCTGCACAATAAGTAAAGTAAAGATCCCTTTACACGCCCTTAGGCGCATCGGGTATATGGAAAGAGCACCCATATTTTTACAGACCAATCGGCACTAGGTGGGTAATGTGGTCAGCATTACGCCGGCCGTCTTTACTTTCCCAGGACAGGAACTGAAGAATAATTAGCTGCGTTGGGCTGATAACTTAGCTTGCATTCCAGACTATCGCCTCCCAAAGAGAGTATTTTATGGGGAGTTCCAGCAAGGGAAGAGGTCCCAGGGAGGACAGAAAAAGCACTATAAGGACATTCTGAAAACTGCTCTCAATTCTTTTGGCAGCAACACAGCGACGTGGGAGGATAATGCACAAGACTGTTCTGGATGACGCACTTCCCTCAAACACGGTGCATCGATATGACAGGCAGTCAAGGTTGCACAGGCAGAGAAACGGAGGCAGACTAGAAAGAACGTATTGTTAATCCAACACTTACTGCAGCTTCCATCTGTTGTCCGCACCGCTCAAGAACTTTATGGACTATTGGACTATTGAGCCATCTTCGTACTTATAATCATTGATCATTACTACTTTGGATGAAAAGTGGTCTTCATCGCTGGCGATGGACTAAAATTATTGTAGAAATGGTACAAATCCAGACACATGTGAAAGGGATATTTGACAAGAAAGAGCAAGATAGTGTACAACGCAGAATGGCCACCCTCAGTTATATTGATGAAGAATACCCACAAGAACAATGGGTCAGAGTCTATAGAGATGGGTCCGCAGAAAGTGCAGTTAGAAATGGTGGTGCTGGAGTGTACATCGAATTCCCAGATGGTACTAGGGATAAGTCCAGCGTACCAACGGGGAAGTACTGCCATAACTACGATGCAGAAACCCAGGCTATCAAGATAGCTACAGAGAAACTGCTAAATACCAACCTTGGCTCACAGTATGTGGTAATGCTTACAAATGCTAAATCAGTACTTGAAGCACTCCAGTCTAGGAAACTACCAGAATTTTTCCACGTCAACTCTGACACAACTCAGCGTTCAGCGAAGAGTCGTAATGATGCAGTGGATACCGTCTCATTGTGGAGTGCCTGGAAATGAGAAAGCTGATCAACTGGCAGGGGAAGGTGCGACAAAAGAGCAGCCAGATGTACCAGTCACATACCACCAAAAGAAAAGAATCATTAAATCGATCAGGAAACCACCAGCCCCAGCACAAGACGACTATTTTATTATGGACAGACCAGAACAAGTCATTATCCTCCGCCTCAGAACAGGGCACAACCGATTACGTAACCACATGTACACAAAATTCAAGATAGGTGTATCAGCCATGTGCACCTGTGGAAATGTGCCCCAGACCGCAGAGCATGTACTCCAGGACTGCACCGATTTTGACACATTAAGGCAAACCTTTTGGCCAGAAAGAACAACAGTGGAACGTAAACTCTATGGACCACTGAATTAACTAACAACGACAGTGAAATTTATACAAGAGACAAAACTGCTGATATAGATAACTTTTTTTCAGGCGAACGAAAGAAGAGGAAGAATTGTAGAAATCACAAGTTGTCTATGCATCACGCTTCCTCTCTTGATCTGCCTTGTTTACTCCAAAGAAAATGTAACACCAGTACATTTGGAATAAAGCAAGCTGCAAATAGTTCTGTTAAACATGTATATTCATATGCTCACTCTATCCAAGATTCGCCCCACTATGTAGCTACGATCCCAGGATTAGGATCCCTCAGTCTTTGGTTTTATACAGCTCCGGTTTTCATTCTCTACTTCTTTGGCAGCAGTAGAATGTGCAGCAGGTGTTCAAAGCGTTAGATTACCGTGAAAAATCACAAGTGCGTTGTTATTAAAGAGGTTAAGTGCATAGCTAAGTGAAAAACGAAGAAGTCAGCTATCTTTGGTGTCATCATCATAAACCACTTCTGCCGTTAAGCGTCGTGGGGAAGAATAATTTGCGATCCAGTGCACGTTGGCTGCCACTGTCAATTGTCATGCTGTGACGGCGTAGAATGTCTTTAATGTTGTCGATCCATGTTTTCCGCGGCCGTCCTCTTGCTCTTGTAGTTGATCTTCTGAGATGTAGTGCTTGTGATGGTATTTGATCTTGCTGCATTCTAACGAGATGGCCAAACCACTTGATCTGCTGTTTCTCGATGAATCTAGTACAAGGTGTCGTTCTCACAATTTAACTGATAGTTTCATTGTTCACTCGATCTCGTATGGTTAGGTTGGCTGCTTTTCTCAGGCACCTCATCTCGCAGGTGGTGATTTTGCGTACATGGGCTTTAGATAGTGTCCATGTCTGGCACTGGTGGCTTAATGTTGGAATGAATATGCTATTAATAATCTGTCTCTTTGCACTCATAGTTATGCTTGGATGTCTTATAATGGTGATAATTGGTACATAAGTGCACTTGCTTTCTGACATATGGTTTCTTATGTATCTATTTTTTTCTATTTATTCTGACATCTTTGGTGTAACTGAACTAATAAATATACCAAGCAGGAAAACACTTAGTTTCAGGCGGGGCTTTTTTCCATATAAAAAAGGTGCGTATTCATCTAAAAGTGTCTGAAAAAAGGTGCTAGCACTCACAATTCAGTGCCTGTTTCAGTAGCCTTGAAAATTGACGCATAAAAGAGTGCCAGCACTGCGCACTGTTGCGTACCGCAGGTAGAAAACACTGGTTAGAACTGACTATACCGCAGTATAGTAAGCGTCACTTTGGCAATTTTTGTCTATGTGTATTTTCGGGGTAGTTATTTGTCATTTTAGAATAACAATTAATAACTATTTGTAGCGAATGAAAGAAGAAAAAGATGCTACATCCAAGCCATGGAGGTCAGGGGAAGCCACTGTAAGATTGTCGCTGCAGGTGTTATCTATCTCTGGCGGGAAGAGTTACTGGCAAACATGGCGCAGGCCAAGCTGAATGACTTTTTCACATCCAAGAAGAGAACCGACTCTCCCCAGGCGGCAAAACGGCGTAAAATTGAGATCAGTTGCCCAGATAAAAAATATAGTAGAAGTAAGCTGAAGTGTGATGATGCTGAAAGCCCAGGTTTGTTTGTGTCGGATAGTAAATCGCAACTGGAAGACGTCGTTCCAGTCACATACACAACACAAGAAGAAGAGAGCTCAAGTTCTGTACTACCTAATGTCACGTGTACCATCTCTAAACGTACGAAAGATTCCGTTTCTCGAGTTGCTGTCAGAAGATCCGGCAGAAGTCAGAATGACAAGCGCTCGAAGGAATCGATTTTTGCAGGAAATAAAAATAAAAGCAAGAAGACAAACACCTTGAAGTCAGAACCAGGGCAGGTCAAGTTGACAGATTTACTGAAGAAGTCCGCACCGAACCTGTCGTCGGCAAACGACGATGATTCAGCATCCAAGAGCTCAGTGTGTACAACTACAAGTAGCGGAGACAGTGGGGAGGACCTGCAGCTAGATATTACCATAGAGGAAAGGACGGTAGTTGCCGAGGAAGTTACATCAGTCTGGGATAATCATGGCCAAAGAGAGGGAAACACCCCACGGAAGAGGATTATCACAATAGAGGAAACAGCTTTGGAAGGATCCCACCTTCCCAGACGAAAAATGTCTATTCGGAAACAAAGCCCTGCTGAATCACAAGATGTGGCCAGGTCAGAGGCTGCCAAGAAAAAACTAGTTCTGTCTCTGTCGCCCAACACAGCAGCTGGGCCGTCAAAGGTACTGTAGTGTCTGTGTAAACATATGTAGAGTCTGTGTTCTCTCTCCTGTCTTTATTGTAGCCCTACTTCAGGGAGTATGAAACCTTTGGTTGTGTAACAGTACAGCCCTGTGTTCTCTAGTGTAACAGTTTATGGTGTTGTTGAGTTTGACATGTCACTTTGCGTATGGCATTATGTAGTTGTGTGACATTGCATATCATTATGTAGCTGTGTGAAATTATTGTGTTTTTTGGCATTGAGTGGTCACCTGTATTTATTTTTTTTAAAGTAACTGAAAACTGGTAAATATTAAAAAGTAAAGTAAAAAACAACTGTTAATGCACACAAGTCACCACTTGAAACTGATGATCGGCTGATTGGACAACCATGTCAGAGACGAACATTGACTTTTCGGATGAATATTATAAATACATTTCAGCGAATCAGTAATGGACTTCAGCCGTGTAAGGAAGTTCTAGAACAACCCAGTAAAGAAAAAGAGCATATTTGAAAGACAAAAGTCATAAATCTAAGAACACAAGCATGGAGATTTGATGTAACCAACAGCTTTCACTGGAGACATCAAATGGTGGTGGTGTGTGTCCTTTAGCATGAAACAGTTGGGCTATCCTCCGAATAACGGTCCTAAATTGTCGAAGCGGAAAATATACCCTAACAGGGCCTCAGTCACGTGTCAATTGCGCACTCCCCGGGACTATAACGCCACTGCCAAATCGTGAACTACCGGCGACTTCTGCCACCGCCAAGAGTATCCCCCACACCGCTCATGCAGCGTGGTTTGGGGCTAAACTAGATGGCTAGGACTCACGAGCAAATAAATAAAATGAAGGAAGCTGCAGGAGATGCGGTAGCTGCTGTTCGTGAGTCCCAGCCATCTAATTTAGCCCCAATCCATGCCGCATGAGCGTCGTGGGGGGGATACTCTCGGCGGTGGCGTAAGTGCACATTTTAAGACGATGGAAGTGCGCAATTGACACGTGACTGAGGCCCTGTTAGGGTATATTTTCCGCCTCGATAATATAGGACCTTTAATCAGAGGATAGCCAAACAGTCGTCTTCACTTGCTCCCCTCTGAGAGTGCTAATCATGAACCATTTTTTAGTGAAGCCCCTTCCGCTATCTGTAGACATATTTGAGCCACATTTCCTGGGAACACAAGAAACACCAGTCACCTGTTAAACTAAATTCCCTGTTTCAGCATGAAGATGATGAGGCAGATGACACTGACAACGAAGTGGTTGCTGTCCTTACTGGCAAGTCACGCCTGCTAGCGCTGGTGTCAGAGATCATTGTACCCCTAGATTCTGCTGTGTCACCACTGCCAGCGACACCAGAGCGTCCACAAGAGGTCTCCTCGTCCCCTGAGCCTGTGACGCCCAAACTGCAGAACTTATCAGAAAAACTGAAAGTACTTTCTAAAATGGTAAACTGCATTCTTCCCATTTTGTCCAGCTGTTGGTTCTCTCCTTTTGCTATACTTGATTCTCTTCTGTTGAACCATGTCATTCTCTCTCTCTCTCTGTCTTGTCTGGTCTAGTCTTCCTGGTAATTTATCATCTTATAACCTTGTCATGTCTTCTCATCCTCTGTCCATTTATCAGCCTCTCCTGTCTGGTCATCCTGGTTACTTATCTTGTTCTTTAAACCTTGTCCTGTCTGGTCATCCTGGTTACTTATCTTGTTCTTTATAACCTTGTCCTGTCTGGTCATCCTCCTTTCACTTTATCACCCTCTCCTGCTGTCATATTCTGCTCTCTATATTTGATAGTCTGTCAGTGACACTGTTTTATAGCTTTACATGAATGGCTAGCTAGACATCTGCGTTTTTCTCATGTCGCTTATACAGTTACACCATTGGATGCTTTCCCTAGAAAAACATGACCGTTTTTATTGTATGATTCCTGATATATGCAAATAATAACAACTGATGTGTAATCTTGACAGAATGGCCAGGCTTTGAGAAATCGGCTAAAGCAGAGCGGCAAACTGGGTGACCTTCATGAGAGGCTAGGTCAGCTGGACAGAGCCATCAAAGAGAAGAAGAGTCAGGCAGAAACAGCGGAGACACCTGCCAGGGCAGAGACTGACAAGTCAGAGACAGTGTGAGTGCAACTAGCTCATCGTTGTGTTGTCTGTTTTATGGAACAGTTTATTGTAATTGTAAATTATTCTTTTTTTGTCCTCTATGTTTGTCTGGTGTTAGCTTAAAATAAATTATTGATGTTAGTTGCAGTGTTTGGGGTGTAGAGATTAAACAACATGTAAAGATAAAGACTACTTGTAAAGAGGCTGGGGGAAATGAAAAATTGTTGCAGGCATCAATGGGAAATTGTAAGTTGTACCATTGTTGTTGATGTGAACAGATCATTTTGGAGTCATTGGCACCTTTCCGTCTCTCGAGACGATAGTGTTATATTGCGCTATGAGGAGGCATGAGACTCACAGCCAATGGCGATGGCAAGTGTGACTGGCAAGACCCGCCCGTGTCAAGACGGGTGGGTCATTTTAGAGTAGATTGTTACACATTGTAGTGTTATCACATATACAGGGATGTAGTAAGAGCAGATGATGGAGAAAGTGACATTCTGGCAGAGTCATTCGAGACATGGCATCAGAGATCGAGGTTTGATACCAGATCCTACATGAGAGCAGACAGCAGTGTTGACATCCTGCAGGCAGCCATACCTCGGAGTGGTGCCAGCATCCAGTGTGGTTGTTTGGTCTTCACTTATTGCTGCAGTTGAAGTATTTGAATATGTGACCTCCCATCCCACTGCACTGGGCATGGAAGAAGGTGAAGTTTGTTGGCTGAATGCACATCTCTTGCTTTTGTCTTCAGCTTGCCAGCCCATCAGAGATTTGAGACCCTGGTAGAGGAGGGGCCGCCCTCGCTGTCGCTGCCCTACACTTACAGACTGTTGGAGAGCACTTTCCAGGCCATGGACACGGTGGTCAGCATGATGCACAACCGATCCGAGATGTGCACCTTCAGCAAACTCAAAGCTGCCGTCCAGAACATGACCAAGAAGTAAGTCCTGATCACTTGTTGTCCTGATCACTTGTTGTCCACATCACTTGTTGTCCTGATCACTTGTTGTCCACATCACTTGTTGTCCTGATCACTTCATCACTTGTTGTCCTGATCACTTGTTGTCCTGATCACTTGTTGTCCTGATCACTTGTTGTCCACATCACTTGTTGTCCTGATCACTTGTTGTCCACATCACTTGTTGTCCTGATCACTTAGACGTAGCATCCTGTAACAGTGCCTCATCTTTGTGTCTTTAGTAGAAGGTGGTGCCCTGCAGATCTAGCTTTACCAGTTGCTGAAGAACTTCAGACCAGTGAAATAAAAGTTCCTGATATTGTCAAGGGATACAGTAGAGACATAAGCACATCAAATAAACCAGTTGCCTACATTTATTGGCCTGGCACATAGTGATGATACAACCAGCTTAGAGAAACATTGTGTATTTCTTCTTCTCTTCCACCTTGTACCCCGTCAAAGTGTCAGGGGGAGATGTAACATGTATGGCTAGGAGACTCAAACATTTCATGCAGAATACGGTTCCAGCTGAAGTGTTTATCCACCCAACAGAACTGACAGAAAATACAATTAGAGAAGACGCAGATGTGGTATGACCTGTAAACACAGTACAACTCATTCAGGCAGGGACTGGCTGTTGATTGGGTGCATATGTGCGTGCACAGTCTGACACAGATTATATATATATGTGTGTGTGTATATATAAAAAGTTACCATAGTAACATGATAACAGAAACTGGGACTGTCATTGGCTGATTTTGTTTTGCCAGAAACTTTGAAGAAACAACGGTTGGTCAGATAAAGACTATTGTGCCGGATGCCTACATCTTCCGACAAGAAAACAACATCCCAACATTTGGTCACAAGACTAGCGGCTATCAGCTGACAGTGGAGGCCAGTCTGGGAGAAGGTCAGTGTTCTTTATGTTCGTTGATGGGTTTGTAAGTGTTGTTAGACTTGCCTAGTATGAAGATAGATGGACTTGCTAATTGTTAATGAAAAACATGTTTGGCTGGACTCAGAAACAAGTCACTTGTCTGCCGATAGAGAGATTTGATTTCAGTCACACAGAGGATGACAGATGTCACTTTGTGCTTGTTCATATCCCTTAGCAGCTGGCAGTTGTAAAGACAGAACACAGGACCAGGTTGGAAGCAGCACTATGACTTTACCTGACAGTCACCTGTACAGTGGTGACATTACTTCAGTCACCTGCACAATTTAAGCAGTACTTCAGTCACCTGCACAATTCTGGCATTATTTTCACAGACACCTGAACTTTTCTGATATCATCATCAGTCATCACAATAATACATTAAGTGAACTGCCCCGTTGTTGTCCATACCACAGATGCTGGAACCAATGAGGCAGCCAAGACATCTACAGGAAAGCCTACATTTACAGCATCTGCCTTGTTGAAACGTAAACTGCGCTTTAAAAACAACTTGCTGACGTACCTGAAACACATCCACAAGGTACTCACTTCCATGTTGTTGTCACCTCTGTTTGTTTTGCTGCAGTCAGCAGAGTGCTTTGAACTGTGTCAAATTGTCTCCAGATTGCTTGTGATAATTGACTCTCTTTGGTATTCAGATTGCACATCTGTCTGTTACAGCAGCATTAACACAAATGCGAGAGAGGTGTCATAAATATATATATATATGTGTGTGTGTGTCCTATTTTGTTTTTATTGAAACCTATGAACTTACCAGGGAAATATGTTCACATATTGATATAATTTATTCTGACCAATGATTGCAGGAATTTTTAGCTTCTCTCAAATACCCGCTGTCAGTACCTGACGACAAACTGACCCGATGGCACCCACATTTCCAACTGGACAAAGTTGCCCAGGTTGTTGCAGCTCCTTTGCCTCAACCACCAGATGTCAAGGTATACCACTCGGCCAAGGACGTGCTTGAAAAGCAACGGGGAAAATTGAACCCACGGGTAAGTATATGCTTTACCCTGGAACTGTTGGTGTATGCCCATTTGTAGCCACAGCAATGGACCTCTACAGCATAAGATGTAGATTCTTGATTGTTCGTCACCATGTCCTGTGTTCAACTACTCAGTTTTGCAGTGCTCACCTGGGTGACATCACATCACACCATATCGTAACGTGTTATGGCTTCTGTTTGTGAAGTGTTACAGTGCTTGGCCTGTTTTCTAACAAGATAATCAAGCCAGTATACCTTCCCATCTTTGTTGTGTGTCCCTGCCTCTATCTGTGGTTGCTGATTAAGTAGTTCATGCAGCAGACTGGTGTCTTCCTGTGTTGTGCTTTCTTGCTCAAGGAGACATGTTCCTGTGTTGTGCTTTCTTGCTCACGGATACATGTTCCTGTGTTGTGCTTTCTTGCTCAAAGATACATGATCCTGTGTTGTGCTTTCTTGCTCAAAGATACATGATCCTGTGTTGTGCTTTCTTGCTCAAGGAGACATGTTCCTGTGTTGTGCTTTCTTGCTCAAGGAGACATGTTCCTGTGTTGTGCTTTCTTGCTCAAGGAGTCATGTTCCTGTGTTGTGCTTTCTTGCTCAAGGAGACATGTTCCTGTGTTGTGCTTTCTTGCTCAAGGATACATGTTCCTGTGTTGTGCTTTCTTGCTCAAGGATACATGTTCCTGTGTTGTGCTTTCTTGCTCAAGGAGACATGTTCCTGTCCTTTCTTGCTCAAGGATACATGTGTTGTGCTTTCTTGCTCAAAGAGACATGTTCCTGTGTTGTGCTTTCTTGCTCAAGGAGTCATGTTCCTGTGTTGTGCTTTCTTGCTCAAGGAGACATGTTCCTGTGTTGTGCTTTCTTGTTCAAGGAGACATGTTCCTGTGTTGTGCTTTCTTGCTCAAGGAGACATGTTCCTGTGTTGTGCTTCCTTGCTCAAGGAGACATGTTCCTGTGTTGTGCTTTCTTGCTCACGGATACATGTTCCTGTGTTGTGCTTTCTTGCTCAAGGATACATGTTCCTGTGTTGTGCTTTCTTGCTCAAGGAGTCATGTTCCTGTGTTGTGCTTTCTTGCTCAAGGAGACATATTCCTGTGTTGTGCTTTCTTGCTCACGGATACATGTTTTATGATTCCCAGATCGCGGTTTGTGGTGGAGGACACAAAATTCAACATAAATTCTGGTGTTTGTCTGCAGGTGGAGGCAGCTCTGTCCAAGATTGTGTCCGAAAAGGAAGATCGGACAAGTGACAATAATTCCCAAGGCCGTTCGGTGTCTTCCTCATCTACACCAGCGTCATCATCTACCTCATCAGAACAAAATTCACCGTCCCTGAGAGGTATCCCTCCAGCACTTCTTGCCAAGGTAAATGTTTCAGTCATCTTGCAGGTTTCCTACACAGCATGGATGCCTGATTCATGGTTGGGTTTCTCTGCAGAAGACAAGACAGACGATGTAGAGGAATTCTCTTTTGGATATACAATCCCATGTTTGTCTTTGAGACAGGGGATCCGTGAATAGTTTCTGATATAACAACACAACACTCGAAACACACTCCATGGTGTTTTTCCTAGCACAATTTCAAGGCTGTGGATGTTGTGAGACAGACCTCAGTCAGTACCATCGGTGAAGTCATAGGCTTAGCATTGTGAAAACGTGTCACATAGGGTACTTTGACATAAGTTACATCATCATTACCACTCCTATACTTCCGCAGTCCTGACCATGTCATGTCTGCACGGAATCACATAGAGCTTGTTTTGTCTTCTCTTGCCACAGATCCGTGCCAAGGAAGCCCAAAAGATGGAGGAAGCACTGACCCGAAGTCCCGCTGAGGACAACAAGACCAGGATCATGAGCCACCTGCCAGAGATCATGCGCATTCTCAGAACGTATCCTTGTTTTCTTGGAAAAACCACATCCTCGTGTTTGCATTTTCTACCATTTGTGTCTCATTATGTTTGAATGCCAGTGAGTAAGATTGTTTGTTTATCACTTCACTCTGTCAACATGTTAGAATCCTCACCATCCCTACAGCACATCCATGACGCCTTGTATCACATGATTTGTTGTCTTATTGCTGCTCTGCCCATGTTGCAATCAACTGTCCATGTCATCTTGTGATCAGGCCAGAGTTCCCTTCCCATGATCAGGAAACCCTCACCTCGTAGGAGGTAATTGAATTGCTTGTTTTGTCTGTGGTCTCATGGCCAAGTCTTGGTTATTTCTGTCATGTTGCTGGTAATTAAGCCCTGAGTTGTTCATTCATCTGTCAAGTTGTCCACCTATCTGTCTGTGACTGACAACTGTAGCCAGTGCTAATGACAAATCTCAAGTTGTCCACCTATCTGTCAGTGACTGACAACTGGTGCTAGTGACAAACATCAAGTTGTCCACATTCTTTAACTGACTTGCCAGGTATTTTATCACAGAGAAGAAGCCTGCGGTTCCCCTAGAGGCTGCCTACAAAAAGTTGGAAGAGAGCTACCACACAGGGATTTCACATCGTAAGTTTATTGCACTCAGGGAAACAATGAAAGTATGTTTCATTTAGTTGAGTTAGCTCATTTGATACCAGCAGCTTGTGTGAGGCGGTACTTGTTCACCGCTGAGAACTTCTATCACTGACTGCTGTGGTCTTGTCTTTATGTATGGTACATGTGAGGCACTGAGATTTTGTCTTTGCGGCAGTAGAAGTGGCTGGGGGGATGAGCGAAGCTTCAGTTGTTGTTCATAGCAATAGATCTAAAGAAGCTTTATTCTTCTCTTACCCAGGAGAGCTGGTGAAGCAGCATGTGCTGTTGTATGTATTACATTAGACATGGCTAGGAGTGGAAGAACCTTTACTTGTGCTAGGAGTGAAAGAACTTTGGCTTGTTGTGCTAGGAGTGTAAGAACCTTGGCTTGTTGTGCTAGGAGTGTAAGAACCTTGGCTTGTTGTGCTAGGAGTGTAAGAACCTTGGCTTGTTGTGCTAGGAGTGTAAGAACCTTGGCTTGTTGTGCTAGGAGTGTAAGAACCTTGGCTTGTTGTGCTAGGAGTGGAATAACCTTGACTTGTTGTGCTAGGAGTGGAATAACCTTGACTTGTTGTGCTAGGAGTGGAAGAAGCTTGACGTTGTGCTAGGGGTGGAATAACCTTGACTTGTTTGTCCTCTAACACAGGAGAGCTGGAGCAGCACGTTGAGATGCTGAAGGAGCTGGCCCCAGAGCTGATTACCGTCGTGGAGATCAAGCGTGGCAAGTTCCTCAAGTTGGACAAAAATGTGGACATCCAGGCTATTTCTAGCCGCATTCTCAACCTGGTCACATCCAGGAAATAACATCCTTGTTGGCGGCAGGAGCGTGTCCTGTTGCTACACGTCTGCAGTCTTTGTTTTGTGGTCCCACTGTTTTTATTGCATAGTGAGATTTTTATGTATTTACCAGTATTTCTTATTGTTGGGTCACTTTTACGTTGGATGCAACCACACAACGAGGGCCTGCTCCATCAGGGTTCGTGTCAACATCTGGTGTCAGGTGGGCCTGGTAGATAGAGCACTGTTTCATTAGCAGGCAGTATGGGTTCAACCAGGCCACAGTTCTCACTGAACATATCCATGAGATCCCACATTTGGGTCCAGGAGGAAGTGAACTGGTCATCTTACAGCCTAGAGCGGAGATCTAGTACATGTTCATGAATCACATCAGCAGCATCTGTCATATAGATATTTTTATTAACTGTTATGATTCATATTTGTAGTGCCAAATTTGTGCATGTGAGCCAGATAATATATAGATTTTTATGCCAGTTAGTGAATATTTTCTTTAAGAGATTTTTACCGGGGGTGATGCTTGTTTGTTGGTCAGTGTTTGTCAGAACCCTGTCAACTGTTGGTCAATGTTTGTCAGAACCTTGTCAACTGTTGGTCAGTGTTTGTCAGAACCCTGTCAACTGTTGGTCAGTGTTTGTCAGAACCCTGTCATAACTGTTGGTCAGTGTTTGTCAGAACCCTGTCAACTGTTGGTCATTATTTGTCAGAACCCTGTCAAATATTGGTCAATGTTTGTCAGAACCCTGTCAACTGTTGGTCAATGTTTGTCAGAGCCCTGTCAATGTTTGTCAGAACCCTGTCAACTGTTGGTCAATGTTAGAGCCCTGTCAACATGCCACATGTTTTCTTCTTCTGGAAATAATGATAGATTATGAACATTTGCAGTTGATATAGTGGAGCTTTTGCACTGAGACAGTTTCAGCTGTCTGTCAGACAACCACCACATGGGGGAAGTGGTGCCAGTACTGGACCTTGGTCCCTCCAGGTTCTAGGGTTGCTGGTGTTGTAGGTGCCCTGGGACATGGTTCACTCCACGGACACATCACTGAAGACTGAGTAATACATAAGCAAGAAATGTGGACTAAAACATACATGGTTTTAACACACACAAATGCTTGGACTACTGAATACATAGTTAAAAGTTCTTGGATGATTACATGCATGTTCAGAAATTATTGAGTTACACTGCATACATGTTCGGAAATTCTTGAGTTACACTGCATACATGTTCAGAAATTATTGAGTTGCTGCATACATGTTTAGAAATGCTTGGACTGTGTCATATGTGGTCAGAAATTCTAGGATTGTCATATACATGGTCACAAATAATTGTATTGCCATAATATATTTATAAACATGATCATAAATACTTGAATTGCTGCATGCATGGTCTCAAATGCTTGGAACACAACATATTCCAATCCAGAATGTGTATTATATCACATATACTGTTCAAGGGTGTATAGGTAATCCAAGAGAAGGTACAAGTTTTGTGAAGAACCATTGGAGACAGGATGCCAAAAAGACTTATCAGGAAATGGGCCAACTGAAAGGACAGAGTGGGTTCCACGAGAAAGTCACACAATTCTCTGTTCATGTGCATTGACATGAGGCAGTCATTCGTTGGTAGGCTACAAGTCACTCAGATTGCTAGCCTGATGTTTTCACCCATTCAACAGATTAAACACCTGTGTAGATAACACTACAGCCTTCTCGAGATGAGGTTTTCTGATCAATTCAATGTTGTCAGCTGATATAACCTGAACAACCCGACACTATGCACTAAGTATTCCTGTTTTGCACTGACACATTGTAGAATATTGTGAAATAAATGTTTTATTTGATTTTCTTTCGATTGTGGTTCAATTATTTTTGTTGGTGATGTCAAATCGGATTGTGGACAGAGACAAGATAGCATACACTGATTGTGGACAGAGACAAGATAACACACACTGATTGTGGACAGAGACAAGATAACACACACTGATTGTGGACGGAGACAAGATAACACACACTGATTGTGGACAGACACAAGATAGCACACACTGATTGTGGACAGAGACAAGATAGCACACACTGATTGTGGACAGAGACAAGATAGCACACACTGATTGTGGACAGAGACAAGATAGCACACTCTGATTGTGGACAGAGACAAGATAGCACACACTGATTGTGGACAGAGACAAGATAGCACACACTGATTGATCAGCTGTAACCTGGATTCTGGGTTGTTCAGGGTAAGACCAGGCATCCACAGACAACCAGGTGGTTGTCTGGACATCATGTAAGAGGGAAGCATCAACTACCGATAAGCAGCCATACAACCAAATAATAAAAAAATATATGGATGTAGAGGAAAACCAAAAAACAATGCACTGTTAAACAAACTTGGTTTCACATGGCAACTAATCTAACCTAAGAATACAAACCAATGACGTTCATCAAGTGTGGGTTAGGAGACAGCCCAGTCCCTACACCATCAGTGTCAGTCATTGTTTATATTTGACTTGGCTCACAAACAGGTTTCAACACATTGGCTACCTGCTGCCCCCACCCACCACCTCTGTGTACTGCAAATGTTCAGTGCCAACAGTTGATTGATAAAGCCAGAAATGACCTTTAAGCCCCAGAGCTGACTAGGATTTCTCAGATGGATGCAAATAAACGAACACACTGGCTGACATGATTCCAGACTTGTTTTTGCCGCATCAACCCAGCATGATTATAAACATTCTCTGGCAGCCTCTGTCTTTCTTGTGTTAGTCATATTCGGCCCCGATGGTAATGCTGATCTCCTCGCCAACAATCAGCGTGGAATGAAACCATCTGTTGGTGTCTAGGACAACTGTGGAGAAAACATGAGTCAGTGACATGCAGCACTGCACACAAGCACACGTCAGTGACTTGCAGCACTGCACACAAGCACACGTCAGTGACATGCAGCACTGCACACAAGCACACGTCAGTGACATGCAGCACTGCACACAAGCACACGTCAGTGACATGCAGCATTGCACACAAGCACACGTCAGTGACATGCAGCATTAAAATATGGGTCGATTCTATTTAGAACACTTACAAACTTGAGTCAGTGACATGTAGCATTACACAAATACAAGTGAGTGCCGTGTATCACTAGACAAATACCAGTCTGTCATGTAGCACTATACAAACATGAGTCAGTGCCCTGTAACACTATACAAACATGAGTCAGTGCCCTGTAACACTATACAAACATGAGTCAGTGCCCTGTAACACTATACAAGCATGAGCCAGTGCCAAGTAACACTATACAAGCATGAGTCAGTGCCATGTAACACTACAAACATGAGTCAGTGCCATGTAGCACTATACAAACATGAGTCAGTGCCATGTAACACTATACAAACATGAGTCAGTGCCATGTAGCACTATACAAACATGAGTCAGTGCCATGTAACACCAAATAAACATGAGTCAGTGCCATGTAGCACTATACAAGCATGAGTCAGTGCCAAGTAACACTATACAAGCATGAGTCAGAGCCATGTAACACTATACAAGCATGAGTCAGTGCCATGTAACACTATACAAACATGAGTCAGTGCCATGTAACACTATACAAACATGAGTCAGTGCCATGTAGCACTATACAAACATGAGTCAGTGCCATGTAGTACTACATAAACATGAGTCAGTGTCATGTAGCACTATACAAACATGAGTCAGTGTCATGTAGCACTATACAAACATGAGTCAGTTTCGTGTAGCACTACACAAACATGAGTCAGTGTCATGTAGCACTATACAAACATGAGTCAGTGTCATGTAGCACTATACAAACATGACTTAGTGTCATGTAGTACTACACAAACATGAGTCAGTGTCATGTAGTACTACACAAACATGAGTCAGTGTCATGCAGCACCGACGTACTATACAAACATGAGTCAGTGTCATGTAGCACCGACGTACTATACAAACATGAGTCAGTGTCATGCAGCACAGACGTACTATACAAACATGAGTCAGTGTCAAGTAGCACCGAAGTACTATCTAAACATGAGTCATTGTCATGTAGCACCGAAGTACTATCCAAACATGAGTCAGTGCCATTATCACTGGAACACTAGCAAACTGAGAAAGCAGAAACAAGAAGAGTGAGCAAACAATGAAAAAAAAAAAAAAAAAAGTTCTAGCAGCAGAAAGGTTAAAATAGGAAAAAGAAAGAAGATCATTGCCCTTGAGCACACACATACAAACAGTTGTCAGTAAATTCTTCTTGTTGACGAGTGCAATGTACAGGTTACACCGCACACTTGCCAGGTATCCATGGTTGCTCAATAGTGTCACACTTAGAATTTAAAATCTTCCAGCTTAACCATACCATAATCCCCAAGAAAAGCACACCAAGAAATCCCTAAATGACAGATCGCAGCCTAGCTGTAAACACCGCTTCGACCATCCTATAGGTTAAAAAAGCCCCTAAGAAACGCACACAAAGGAACGCGTCATATTGTAGCCTAGCTGACCCTTCAACCACCCGTGGACGAATATTAAAGAATGTGTCAGCCTTAACTCGGCGTTGTCAGCGACCGATAATTGGTCCAGTACTGGAAAAGTATCGATTTACACTCTCCGCCTTAAATAATAGCATCATATGTCGGCTTCAAGACCAAGAATGTCGATCTGGCAATCATTGTTACTAGCAATGCATACACATTTCAGAGGCTCTGGAAAACTGCTACTGTCACCCTATGTTCCGTGGCTGCTAAAGGCAATCATTGCCCGCTCACGCAAATCCACTGATCGTGATTACGTGACAGTCTGACATCTATCACTCGGATATGCAGTCACTAGAGAGATCATACAGGCCGAGAAACGATACTGGGGACAGTATCCAGACACTCCACCTCTCCCAGCAAAGACTGTGGATCTGGCCCAAGGCAGCCACATTTCAAGAGAAGCTATGGGGAACCGGTGGCGACCTTAAACGCACAATCCTATTTGTGACCCAGAAGGTACTCAATGTTTAGCATGACTGATGTCGAACGCAGAAGAAGAAGAGGATCCAGACACTCCGTCTGCGGCCTGTGACGTAGCTTGAGATCTCCTGATCTCGCCTCACGAACCTCCGTCACACTGAATCGGCTACTGCGACAACTCCCGCAGATAAGTTAGACCCTAACTTCAGCGTAACACATAGCCGTGCAGGTCTAGTCTGGCTACACCCCGACTAGAACATACCTTCATACACGTCACCCGAATGAATGAATGAATTTCTACCCCACTAGGGCATCACACAAGCGATAAACACCCGAAGACACAAAGTGCCACCATGTGGGTGAGGATCACCGTGGAGAGGTCCCAGAAACCGCGTTCAGACAATTGGCCATATTTATGGCCTGCCTATATTGCGACCCCTGGCAAAAGCCAGAGTGGGGCTTCAAATAACAAAAAATTACGTCCTAAAAAGGACGTAAGGATATTAGCTATTGATATATATATATATGTCGAGCTTCCTGATTCCACTCTACAGCGGCGAATGTAATACTAGAATCAGTTATCAGGGGCTCTACCGATGCGTCCTTCCACTTCAACGTAGTGGAGTTGACTGCTCTTTTATCTCCGTGGAGTCGACTCTTCCTCTCACTTCGTTGGGTGAACTGCCATTGATAACACACAATTCACAATCTGTTTTCTAGTGCGACCTTGGTTGACGTTAATTCATGAATTTCCACATGATTTTCTCCCATTGCACGGTTATACTGGTCCATGACCGAGTGATCTTGGCAAACAAGTCTGCAGTCGAATTTACATATTCCTTCGTTAATTATAACATATTACTGTCTTACTTATAATTTTAAACATTAGGGACAATTTCAATGTTGTCATGGACAGTCGGCTCTGTGGCTAAGTCGATGAGAACGCTCAGTGATGCCGGGGTCGATCCCAGCTGCGGGCCATGCGCCTTGCGTTGGTTTCGACAGTGGTATCGAAAAAGCCGACCGTCCAGGAAGCAATGGCAAACTACTGGACGAAAATTTGTCTAGAAAAACCACACAACAGCCAGGGCCTGTTGGGTTGGTTCTGCAACGTCCTGTAAAGGATACGCAACAACCCTAAAATATGTGGCTGTTATTCGGAGGATAGCCTAACATTCTCATATGTCCGTATGGTGCTCACAACAATTGTCTAAAATGTGCTAAGAACTGTGTGCCCCCCCCCCCAACCACTTGTATGAGTACTGTCTACTCTTATGTATACACGTATCTCCCTTCCCTGGACTTGTATGAGAGCTAATCAGTGGCTGTCCGTGTACCTCTCGTGCTGGGCTGTGGTCAGTCTGTGCAGGTCCAGTGATGCTACTAGGACATCAAATCAAGGAACCACACCATGCTGCGGCCAATACAATCTCTCTGTTTGCTTTTCCAGCCGGTGTCTGTAGTTTGTTTCTATTGTTGGAGACAAGAGCACGCACACTTCACTCACCCAGGAAATTGACTACAGAACATTCATTCCAGGCCAGATACAATCTGCCAACTCCATTAGGTGGTTTCCTTGTCCAGCAAGGCGTAAAACTGTCCGGCGTGAAATTAAAGTGACCAATGTAACGGTCTCGAATCACATACAAAATGTATGGGTCTGCGCTGACTGACTTTCTACTCCACCAGGACAGCACACAAGCGATAAACACCCGATGACACAAAGGGCCACCATGTGGATGAGGATCACCGTGGAGAGGTCCCAGAAACCGCGATCAGCCACTAGGCCATAATTATGACCAGGCTATGTTGCGGCCCCTAGCAAGAGCCAGAGTATGGCTTCAAATAGCGATAAATTACATCCTAAAAAAGGACGGGAAGCGATGAGGATCATCTTGCCTGTAACTGCTCTCAAAGAAGTCCGTGTTATCTCTACTTATCTTTGGTGTCTTTTCTGCTGCATTTATCTCCAAGGGTGCAAGGACCTCAACCGACTGACATTCAACTCTCTTACTCTTCACTGTTTCCGGTACCTCGTGCAGTCAGCCTGCTCAAACCCAGTATATGGTAGCAACATTTGAATCTAGTCAGTTATTTCCACTTGAACCCAGTATCTGTTACAATATCCAGCATATGTTATCTCCACTTGAACCCATTATGTGTTATTTCCAATTGAACCCATTATGTGTTATCTTCATCTGAATCCAGCTGTGTTATCTCCACTTGAACCCATTATGTGTTATTTCCACTTGAACCCAACATGCGTTATTTCCAACTGAACCCAGTATTTGTTATCTTTACCTGGACCCATTATTTTTTTTTTCGCGGACCCAGTATGTATTATCTCCACTTGAACCCACTATGTTATTATACCACACGGACCCAGTATGTATTATATCCACTTGAACCCACTATGTTATTACCACACGAACCCACTATGTTATTACCACACGGAGCCACTATGTTATTACCACACGGAGCCAGTATGTGTTGTTTCTATGTGAATTCAGTATTTATTATCATGTCAAGATAGTGGTAAGGGTGCAGATCTGGTGAATGTGGGACTTCAAGAAAAGCGCTAAACATCTGATTGTCTTGGTGTGCACGCATGCACAGAAGCCACTTGAATTACCTGAAGGGAAGTGAGCTCGGGTTGTGAACCGGCTGGGGACAGTCATCGATCGGACGTCCTAGCGGACGGTCTGAACAACTGAAGTGTTCCCAATCCACCTAAATAGTGATTTTAGTTATTTTGTTAGGCAGAGTTAGCTAATATGTTTAGTGATATAGAATGACGTAGCAATGATAGGATATTAAAGAGAATGATGTAGCAATGATAGGATATTAAACGGAATGACGTAGCAATGATAGGATATTAAAGAGAATGATTTAGCAATGATAGGATATTAAAGGGAATGACGTAGCAAAGATAGGATATTAAAGGAAATAGTATCAAAACTGAACATAACGTTTGTACATTGGACTTCCTCGTGTTCATTGTGACTAAATTCTGATAGCGTGTTCTTGTCGTCTGACCGTGATTGCAGTATTAATGTGCTTGGAGAGTGTCAACGATGACAGCACTTATAGCTCCTGGTACTTATTAGGCTCAGGGAGTCGGAGGTGAATACGAGAAGTACCAATTTAGCACGTCTGTTAGTGCAAGTTGAATGACTTGTATACACACGTGGTGACCTTGCCACCCGCCTCTCGGTCCATGACAATCACTTTAAAAAGGCAAGAATACAGACTAGTATATACACATGTATTTAGAGAGACTGATTACTGTCTTACACGTACCAACACTAGAGTGTACAGACAACTGGCCTACACGTACCAAGACTAGAGAGACTGACAACTGGCCTTCAGATACCAACACTAAAAAGACTGACAACTGACCTACAAGTACCAACACTAGAGAGACTGACAACTGGGCTAGACGTACACACACTAGAGAGACTGACAATTGGCCTACAAGTAACAACACTAAAGAGACTGACTACTATACAATCATGGATGTGACTCACTGATCTCTCCCGGATGTACCGTGGCCGTCAGCCTGGCGGGACACTGTAGGATACACTCGGTGGGAGACTCCAGCGTCCACTGTTTGTGGCCAGAGATTTGAGCTTGCCAGGATGGCAGACCCACGTTGTCAATCTGTAGACAAGAACAGGCCAGGTCTGCTCCTACAAACAAGTTTCTTGATGTCGGCTAGCAATTTAGTACATACAACCTGTGAGGCATCACGAACCACAGCACATGTGCAACACACTCAACCAGTACACATGTGCAACACACTCAACCAGTACACATGTGCAACACACTCAACCAGTACACATGTGCAACACACTCAACCAGTACATATGTGCAACACACTCAACCAGTACACATGTGCAACACACTCAACCAGTACACATGTGCAACACACTCAACCAGTACACATGTGCAACACACTCAACAAGTACACATGTTCAACACACTCAACCAGTACACATGTGCAACACACTCAACCAATACACATGTGCAACACACTCAACCAGTACACATGTGCAACACACTCAACCAGTACACATGTTCAACACACTCAACCAGTACACATGTGCAGTACTGAATCATAAAATCAAGACCGGTCTTGCATAAAATCATGACCCAGATGGACCCCACTCAACCAGTACACATGTGCAGTACTGAATCATGACCCAGATGGACCCCCCTCAACTAGTACACATGTGCAGTACTGAATCATGACCCAGATGGACACCCCTCAACTAGTACACATGTGCAGTACTGAATCATGACATAGCTGGACCTCACCCTGGCCAGTATGCATGTGCTGTATCCAACTATAACCATCCCATCTACCCCCCCCCCCCCCCCCCCTTTTTTTTCCTCCCGGACTTTTCTTTATCTCACTCCAGCTAGTCGACATGTGAGTTCTGAACTATAACCTGGTCACATCGCACCAGCGTCTCCAAGGATAGCGTGTCCTAACATCTATCTGGCACACTGACTGTTGGTGTTGGACAGGGAAAGAATATCTGTGCTACACTCGGGTACCGGACAGAGACAGCACTCGGGTACCAGACAGAGACAGCACTCGGGTACCGGACAGAGACAGCACTCGGGTACCGGGCAGAGACAGCACTCAGGTAATAGGGAGAGACAGCACTCGGGTACCAGACAGAGACAGCACTCGGGTACCAGACAGAGACAGCACTCGGGTACCGGGCAGAGACAGCACTCGGGTACCGTACAGAGACAGCACTCGGCTACCGGGCAGAGACAACACTCGGGTACCGGGCAGAGGCAGCACTCGGGTACCGGGCAGAGACAGTACTCGGGTACCGAGCAGAGACAGCACTCGGGTACCAGACAGAGACAGCATACAAGACAGACAGCACTCGGGTACCGGACAGAGACAGCACTCGGGTACCAGGGAGAGACAGCACTCGGGTACCAGACAGAGACAGCACTCGGGTACCAGACAGAGAGATCACTCAGGTTCCGGGCAGAGAAAGCACTCGGGTACCGTACAGAGACAGCACTCGGCTACCGGGCAGAGACAGCACTCGGGTACCGGGCAGAGGCAGCACTCGGGTACCGGGCAGACAGTACTCGGGTACCGAGCAGAGACAGCACTCGGGTACCAGACAGAGACAGCATACCAGACAGAGACAGCACTCGGGTACCAGACAGAGATAGCATTTGGGTACCAGACAGAGACAACACTTGGGTACCGTACAGAGACAGCACTCGGCTACCGGGCAGAGACAGCACTTGGGTACCGGACAGAGACAGCACTCGGGTACCGGGCAGAGACAGCACTCGGGTACCGGGCAGAGACAGCACTCGGGTACCGGACAGAGACAGTACTCGGGTACCGGGCAGAGACAACATTCGGGTACCTGGCAGAGCCAGAACTCGGGTACCGGGCAGAGACAACATTGGGGTACCGGGCAGAGACAACATTCGGGTACCGGGCAAAGACAACACTCAGGTACCGGGCAAAGACAACACTCGGGTACCGGGCAAAGACAACACTCGGGTACCGGGCAAAGACAACACTCGGGTACCGGGCAAAGACAACACTCGGGTACCAGACAGAGACAGCACTCGGGTACCAGACAGAGACAGCATACAAGACAGAGACAGCACTCGGGTACCGGACAGAGACAGCACTCGGGTACTGGGCAGAGACAGTACTCGGGTACCAGACAGAGATAGCACTTGGGTACCAGACAGAGACAACACTCAGGTACCGTACAGAGACAGCACTCGGCTACCGGGAAGAGATAGCACTCGGGTACCGGACAGAGACAGCACTCGGGTACCGGGCAGAGACAGCACTCGGGTACCGGGCAGAGACAGCACTCGGGTACCGGACAGAGACAGTACTCGGGTACCGGGCAGAGACAACATTCGGGTATCTGGCAGAGCCAGCACTCGGGTACCGGGCAGAGACAACACTGGGGTACCGGGCAGAGACAACATTCGGGTACCTGGCAGAGACAACACTCGGGTACCGGGCAAAGACAACACTCGGGTACCGGGCAAAGACAACACTCGGGTACCGGGCAAAGACAACACTCGGGTACCGGGCAAAGACAACACTCGGGTACCGGGCAAAGACAACACTCGGGTACCGGGCAGAAAGATAAAAAAACAAAACTCATTAGAAAGAGTTGGCACTTTGGTTGAGTTGAGCTGAGTCAAGAATTGACATTACAGCACTCAGGACATTCCCACATGCACTCCGTCCCCATCTTTAGTAGTCAGCGCAAAGAACCAATACTAATGGTACCGGTTTTTGGTTATTTATCCGTTTTGCCTTTCTTCGGAGTGTAGTGATACAGCCGTCATTTGACAGATGATACAGCCGCCATTTGACAGATGATACAGCCGTCATTTGACAGATGATACAGCCGTCATTTGACAGATGATACAGCCGTCATTTGACAGATGATACAGCCGTCATTTGACAGATGATACAGCCATCATTTGACAGATAATAAAGCCGTCATTTGACAGATGATACAGACGTCATTTGACAGATGATACAGCCGCCATTTGGCAGATGATACAGCCGTCATTTGACAGATGATACAGCCGTCATTTGACAGATGATACAGCCGTCAATTGACAGATGATACAGCCGTCATTTGACAGATGATACAGCCGTCATTTGACAGGTGCAAGGAAGCTGGTGACCTGAACATCAAGACACGGGTGCTTGAGTCAAGACACTGCTGGTACACGACTGTGCTAGTGTTCTACTAACCCACGGCCTTCTCTATTTATAGGCCAAATAGGTCAACGGGCATTCCCGTTCTTGTGCAAGAATGGAGTCCCTCTGCGTCCTGTACAGGCGGACCTGTACTAACCATTCAGTGGGAGTTGAAAGAGATAGAGATAGATAGATAGATAGATAGATAGATAGATAGAGAGAGAGAGAGAGAGAGAGAGAGAGAGAGAGAGAGAGAGAGAGAGAGAGCATACAGACAGAGTGTGTGGATAGATAGGGCGCGGTGATGTATGGACAGAGAGTAGGAAAATAGCGTGTATACAGTGGGGAGAGGGAGTGAAAGAGAAAAGGATGTTTAAAGATAAAAATACATACGTGCAAAGAAGCACCGTATCCAGGAATGCCCATAAATATCCAATCACTGAGAGAAGACTGAGAAAGTGGCGGCAGAAAGTAGGGCCGGCTGTAGTGGCTGCGGAGTTTGGTTGCTGCAGCGATATCACAGTTTTCCCTGCAAACAGACACATGCGTAATTATTTCACTGCAGACAGACACACGTGTAATTATTTCCCTGCACACAAACACACGTGTAATTATTTCCCTGCAAACAGCCACACGTGTAATTATTTAACTGCAGACAGACACACGTGTAATTATTTCCCTGCAAACAGACACACGTGCAATTATTTCCCTGCAGACAGACACACGTGTAATTATTTCCCTGCAGACAGACACACGTGTAATTATTTCCCTCAGACAGACACACGTATAATTATTTCCCTGCAAACAGACACACGTGTAATTATTTCCCTGCAAACAGACACACGTGTAATTATTTCCCTGCAAACAGACACACGTGTAATTATTTCCCTGCAGACAGACACACGTGTAATTATTTCCCTGCAAACAGACACACGTGTAATTATTTCCCTGCAAAAAGACACACGTGTAATTATTTCCCTGCAGACAGACACACGTGTAATTATTTCCCTGCAAACAGACCCACGTGTAATTATTTCCCTGCAGACAGACACACGTGTAATTATTTCCCTGCAAACAGACACACGTGTAAATATTTCTCTGCAAACAGACAGGCATGTAATTATTTCCCTGCAAGCAGTCACGTGTGTAATTATTTCCCCGCAAGCAGTCACGTGTGTAATTATTTCCCTGCAGTCAGACAGGCATATAATTATTTCCCTGCAAGCAGTCGATGTTGTGCGTAACTATATCTGACATAACTATAGCCAACTGCCCGTGTTGTGTGTATCTGTATCTGATAGAGCTCGCTTAGACATGGTGTTTGTAAAGGTGACGTGTATTTGTATCTGACAGAACTCGCTTAGACATGGTGTTTGTCCATGCGGCTAGGTTGTCTAGATATGGTATTTGTCCATGCGGCCAGGTTGTCTAGGTATGGGGTTTGTCCATGTGGCCAAGTCATCTAGATATGGGGTTTGTCCATGTGGCTAAGTCGTCTAGATATGGGGTTTGTCCATAGGGCCAGGTCGTCTAGATATGGGGTTTGTCTACATGGCCAGGTCATCTAGATATGGTGTTTGTCCATGTGGCGTGTATCTGTATCTGATAGAACTCGTCTAGACGTGGTGTTTGTCCAGGTGGCGTGTATTTGTACCTGATAGAACTCGCTTAGACATGGTGTTTGTCCATGCGGCCAGGTTGTCTAGATATGGTATTTGTCCATGCGGCCAGGTTGTCTAGATATGGTATTTGTCCATGTGGCCTGGTTGTCTAGCTATGGTGTTTGTCCATGCGTCCAGGTTGTCTAGATATGGTGTTTGTCCATGTGGCCAGGTCGTCTAGATATGGTGTTTGTCCACGTGGCCAGGTCGTCTAGATATGGTGTTTGTCCATGTGGCTAGGTAGTCTAGATATGGTGTTTGTCCATGTGGCTAGGATGAAACTCCCTGCAGCTGAAGCCATTTTATGTGCCTGAAGGGAAAACTTATGAAACATAGTCTGGTCTTCAAGTGACTGACCGTATCTCTCATCTATACTATGACACTGACACAAAGAGACAAAGAGAAGACGGCAGAGGAGAAATATGAGGGGGTGAGTGAGACGTAGAGACTGATTGAGAGAGAGAGAGAGAGAGAGAGAGAGAGAGAGAGAGAGAGAGAGAGAGAGAGAGAGAGAGAAAGAGAGAGAGAGAGAGAGTGAGAGAGAGAGAGTTTGAGGTGGGGCACATAAAAATATAAATCGAAAGAAACAGGCGATGTAAAGAGACACGGAGATGCGGGTGGGGAGGGGGCGATAGAGGCAGACAGAGGGGGAGACAGTGGGATCAAGGCAGAGTGAGACAGACGGGAAGGGAGGGGTTGGGGGGCAGTGTGGCTTACCATCCAATGTAAACGGGCTGTGAGCCATTCTGGAAGTGCTGACCACTCTCGTAGAAGGTGAAGACGTCGTTAACGCCCCTGACGTGGGAGAACCCATAAGCGAAGAACTGGCAATTGGACTCTAGCACCGGACTTCCTGGCTCGTAGATGTCTTCCGTTGTCATTGTGGACACGATTAAGTGCAACGTTAGCTTTCATTGCTATATTTGTTACTGAGTGGAGGCGAGGCAGAGGTTGAGAAAGGGACAGGAAAACAAAGAGGAAGAGGAAAGAACAAAAACAGAATATGAAAGAGGAAGAGGCAAAAATAAGAAAAAATTCATGAAAAAATGACAGAAAGATAATGGAAAAACAAAGAATATATATAAAAAAAAAAGATGTACTCAAAGGGTTACAAATCAGACATGCAGGCACGTCTTACATCCAGACCTTCCAAACACTTGTCTTTCACACCACACATTGGGTGTGGGGGAAGGAGGCGGGGAAAAGAGTGTAAGAGAAGGATGGAAACCAGTGAAATAGGATGAAGAAAGAACGAACACGGAAGGAGAGAAAGATGAATGAGCTTCATAATCACGTGCCCTGCCGACTGGCGTAAGCGTTCATGAATCTTAGGTCTCTGTCCCTTGTTTTCTGGATCAGTTCCACCGATGATATCTGTCAGAGGCCAGCTCGGCTACGGGATGAACGGAGTTGATGATAGTGAATCATCACGTATGAACGAGCTGACCTTCAGTAAAACTGAGACCGGGCAGCTTGACCACGGAATAAACTGGGTCGAGTTAACGGGCTAAGCCCAGCTCCCACGGTTAACACGTATTACCGCGTGTCGACAGATGAACGCGGGAAGGGGAACAAAAAGCTTGGACAGAGCTTGGTGGAAGGAGAGTTGTGTAGTGAGACTGGACTGGACCAGACGTAGCGCTTGGACTTGGTAAAAGTACATTAGTTTAGTGACGGCTAGATTGAATAGTATTTGTGGTTAGTATTTTTGAGATAGGCTGTATTCCCATTTAATGTTTCGACGAGATAGTGTAGAGTTAATGTTCCTTGTATAGTAGACGTTCCCCGCAGTATTTGTTAAGCAGCTAGTGAATGTGTGACACGCATTGTTAATGGCGGTAACACTGCCTAGTCACACTTAGGCCATACACCTTACGTGTGTCGCTGAGTCCCGCGTGGCAATAGACGGCGGCTTAGTTAGCACTGATACACTGTTAGTTTGGAATCGTGTCCTTGGGGATCCATGGGAACGGCTCGGGTTGGCCCGTGAATGTAAAAGCTACTCAACACCGACGTGCAGGATAAGGACTGCCAACTTAGTTGAGGTGTTACTAGTTGTATTGTTCGTTGTACATTAAAGATTATATTTGTACTCAGCAGGTGTGTGTCTTAAGTGTGTCGTAGGGTAGTGAAGTCTGTTAGCTGGCCTACCCAGCGAGCCATAGAAAAATTAATATAGTAAATTAGGTCGCTGACAATTTCCCCCCAGACCACCGTCGCAGTCCATCGGTCATCATCTCTCTTGGTCTGCCTCTCCCTCTTCTACCGTTGATCTTGCCCTCTTCTACCGTTGATCTTGCCAGTCGTTACAACATTCTCCATGGCCTCCTCCCCCTTTTCCCCATCACACTGCAAAAGAACAGTTCTTATTTTTTCCTTATAGCAGTATATATTGATCTGCTTTCATTAGCTTCTTTCAAGCAATCCTCGTTAGTTAGTCTGGCAGTTTAAGGGATTCATAACATACATCTGAAAAACCACGTCTCCATCGCCTCCAATGCTTTCTAATTTTTGCATTCACATTCCGTGATTTACTACCATACAGCAATATAGGTTCCAAATAACATTTTAGTACCCACTTTCAGACATCCAAAGAGAGGGATGTTGCACAAGATGTTCTTCATTGTGTGAAATGCAGCCTCAGTCTGGCCCATTCGGCTCTTGGTTTCTGACATATATCTTCCGTCTGATGTTACGATTATACCCACACATTTGAATTATCGACTTGGATTAACTGTTTACCTTCTATTCTAACATGACACAGTGGTGGTGTGCTTCTCTCTGATGTAACCATTACCTCCGTTTTCTTTATATTCAAGAATCAGCTTCAGAGGGAAAATGATGAAAGAGAGGAGGCAGAAGAATGAAACACGATTAAAAGAGTGTAAGAGAAGGATAAAAAGCCAGAAAAAGAGGATGAAGAAAGAAAGAACAAGGAATGAGAGAAAGATGAATGAGCTTGAGAGGAAAAATGATAAAAGACACAGGGGAAGAAGAATGAAGGATGATTTTTTTTTTTCAAGTGAAGAGCAGAGAAGAAGACATATGCAAAGGGGGAAGAGAAGGTGGAGTAGTCATGGTGGTTGTGGTGGTAACAGCACCCAGCAGCTGTAGTTGGCCACTGAAAGATACACAAACACCGGACATCTTGTATATAAGAAACACTGAGAGGTCGAATACAAGTAGAGATGGCTGCACCAGGCTGTCAGACACAAGTGCACATGGTTGCACCATGCTGAGGGCAGACACAAGTGGAGATGGTTGCACCAGGCTGAGGGCAGACAGAAGTGGAGATGGTTGCACCAGGCTGAGGACAGATACAAGTGGAGATGGTTGCACCAGGCTGAGGGCAGACACAAGTGGAGATGGTTGCACCATGCTGAGGGCAGACACGTGGAGATGGATGCACCATGCTGAGGGCAGACACAAGTGGAGATGGTTGCACCATGCTGAGGGCAGACACAAGTGGAGATGGTTGCACCATGCTGAGGGCAGACACGTGGAGATGGATGCACCATGCTGAGGGCAGACACAAGTGGAGATGGATGCACCATGCTGAGGGCAGACACAAGTGGAGATGGATGCACCATGCTGAGGGCAGACACAAGTGGAGATGGATGCACCATGCTGAGGGCAGACACAAGTGCACATGGTTGCATCATGCTGAGGGCAGACACAAGTGGAGATGGTTGCACCAGGCTGAGGACAGACAGTGGAGATGGATGCACCATGCTGAGGGCAGACACGTGGAGATGGATGCACCATGCTGAGGACAGACACAAGTGGAGATGGTTGCACCATGCTGAGGGCAGACACAAGTGGAGATGGATGCACCATGCTGAGGGCAGACACAAGTGGAGATGGATGCACCATGCTGAGGACAGACACGTGGAGATGGATGCACCATGCTGAGGGCAGACGCAAGTGGAGATGGATGCACCATGCTGAGTTCAGACACAAATGGAGATGGATGCACCATGCTGAGGGCAGACACAAATGGAGATGGTTGCACCAGGCTGAGGGCAGACACAAATGGAGATGGATGCACTAGGCTGAGGGCAGACAAAAGGACATGTCTAACACTTTCAGTCAGTCAAGACAAACAGGACAACATGAACTTATATTGATGACCGTCAGTCAAGACAAACAGGACAACATGAACTTATATTGATGACCGTCAGTCAAGACAAACAGGACAACATGAACTTATATTGATGACCGTCAGTCAAGACAAACAGGTCAACATGAACTTATATTGATGACCGTCAGTCAAGATAAACAGGACAACATGAACTTATATTGATGACCGTCAGTCAAGACAAACAGGACAACATGAACTTATATTGATGACCGTCAGTCAAGACAAACAGGACAACGTGAACTTATATTGATGACCGCGTGTATTCTCACCTCTAAAAAACTCAAAGCTGAAGACGTCAACAGCCGACCAGTTGGCGGCCCCGTCAGAAACAATCAGGGGATGCCCAGAGTAAGCATACTTGTCCTCGAACTCCGCCGCTGAAATGTGAGGCAGGCGAACTATCTGGCTGACATTCTGGCAAAAGTCGCACTGGACAACAGGCCGAAATATTGGTACAGTTGGACGGGTTTTTGTGAGGAGACAAGGGTGCCACGTGGACTGGGAAAGGTCTTGTCCTTGCATCAGCATGATGGCGTGAGTCCAGTGGCGTCTACTGACCGGCCAGTCAAGCTGCCAGGACAGGAGGCAGGCTGCCAGCACGGCCACGACCATCAGGCAGTCGTAGAGACAGGACAGCAACAGCCGCCGTGGTCTGGGCTGTCGGACTCTCTGGGTGAACTGGAGGCGGGACAACTGGTGCTGCTGGATCCCCATAGACAGGGCTTTCTTGTGGATCTCCTTGAACATTGCCTGCAGATGCAGCAAACAAGAGCGGCATTACAACTACACTGCAGATTATACACCCACACCTAAAGGTAATCATGCACCCACACACCATAGCGTAAATTATACACTCACACCATAATGTAATAATACACCCACACACCACAGTGTAAATTATACACCCAAACCATAATGTAATCATACACCCACACACCACAGAATAAATTATACACCCACACTTCAAGGTAATCATACACACACACCCACACACCACAGTGTAAATTATACACCCACACTATAATGTAATCATACACCCACACACCACAGAATAAATTATACACCCACACCATAATATAATCATACACCCACACACCACAGAATAAATTATACATCCACACTTCAAGGTAATCATACACACACACCCACACACCACAGTGTAAATTATACACCCACACCATAATGTAATCATACACCCACACACCACAGAATAAATTATACACCCACACCATAATGTAATCATACACCCACACACCACAGAATAAATTATACACCCACACTTCAAGGTAATCATACACACACACCCACACACCACAGTGTAAATTATACACCCACACTATAATGTAATCATACAGCCACACACCAGTGTAAATTATACACCCACACCATAATGTAATCACACAGCCACACAAAGTGGCACAAGATCAGGTGGCTGCCGGTGTGGACAATTTCCATATCTTATGTGATATCTGGCTTGTGTTGGTCTATCTGTTATGTGAGGATGTCCGGCTGGTCTATATGTTATGTGATGTTGTCTAGTTGGTCTATATGTTATGTGAGGTTGTACAGCTGGTCTATATGTTATGTGATGTTGTACAGCTGGTCTATGTGTTATGATGCTGTACATCTGATCTATGTTAGGTGATGCTGTACAGCTGGTCTTTATGTTATGTGATGTTGTACAGCTGATCTATATGTTATGTGATGTTGTACAGCTGGTCTTTATGTTATGTGATGTTATACAGCTGGTCTATATGTTATGTGATGCTGTACAGCTGGTCTTTATGTTATGTGATGTTGTACAGCTGATCTATATGTTATGTGATGTTGTGCATCTGGTCTATATGTTAGGTGATGTACAGCTGGTCTATATGTTATGTGATGTTGTACAGCTGATCTATATGTTATGTGATGTTGTACAGCTGGTCTATATGTTATGTGATGTTATACAGCTGGTCTATATGTTATGTGATGTTGTACAGCTGGTCTATATGTTATGTGACGTTGTACAGCTGGTCTATATGTTATGTGACGTTGTACAGCTGGTCTATATGTTATGTGACGTTGTACAGCTGGTCTATATGTTACGTGATGTTGTACAGCTGGTCTGTCAGGGTTCGCCCTGCTATGGGACAGTTCAGGATGATGATGATGAATCTCGTCATCGTACCCTGCGACCCTTAGTGACACTCAATACGTGCATACACACGTAGAAACGAGCATGAGCGGACTTCGCACGGGTGTGCACATTTTGGACCGGAGGCTGAACGCTTGCTTGGGGGGGGGGGGGGGGGGGGGGCTGCGAGAAAACTGGACGTGGGACGAGAGTGGATTTTTGACTGACCGTTTGTTTTTGACTTGAAGATAGGTACCAGTGTAGTGATTAGCTGTAACGTGTTCTGTTCATAGTTTCATGTAAAGTAGTAGTTGTAACTAGAAGCCAGACCATGCTTTGCTGGTGGCGTTAACACTGTCGACGCACTTAGGCCTACACATTGGCGTATGCCATAACGTCTTTGGTATCGAGATATAGTGGGTTGAGCTGGCACTGTACGGGAGAGTGGTAGCGGCTCAGAGCTTATTTCATGAACGTGTAAAGGCGCCTCTAAGCGATTTTAAAGTTAGACGCGGCCTGGGTTTTGAATAAGGAGCGCTACTCCTCCTGAGGTGTACCACCACTTCGTTTGCACCTTTGGTAATAAAGATTGTGTGTGTGTTGCAACAAGTGTTTGGCTTGAGTGTGTTTGTACGGTGTTTTCCTGTCATTAGCCTGTAGCAGAGCCAATGGAATCGAGCCCTAGACAGCAAGGTTTCTGACATGGTCTATATGTTATGTGACGTAGTACAGCTGGTCTATATGTTACGTGATGTTGTACAGCTGGTCTATATGTTATGTGACGTTGTACAGCTGGTCTATATGTTATGTGACGTAGTACAGCTGGTCTATATGTTATGTGACGTTGTACAGCTGGTCTATATGTTATGTGACGTAGTACAGCTGGTCTATATGTTACGTGATGTTGTACAGCTGGTCTATATGTTATGTGACGTTGTACAGCTGGTCTATATGATATGTGACGTTGTATAGCTGGTCTATATGTTATGTGACGTTGTACAGCTGGTCTATATGTTACGTGATGTTGTACAGCTGGTCTATATGTTATGTGACGTTGTACAGCTGATCTATATGTTACGTGATGTTGTACAGCTGGTCTATATGTTATGTGATGTTGTACAGCTGGTCTATATGTTATGTGACGTTGTACAGCTGGTCTATATGTTATGTGACGTTGTACAGCTGGTCTATATGTTATGTGACGTTGTACAGCTGGTCTATATGTAATGTGATGTTGTACAGCTGGTCTATATAGTATGTGACGTTGTACATCTGGTATATATGTTATGTGACGTTGTACAGCTGGTCTATATGTTACGTGACGTTGTACAGCTGGTCTATATGTTATGTGATGTTGTACAGCTGGTCTATATGTTATGTGATACTGTCTGACTGGTGGTGGTGCTGGCTGTGTGAAGTGAGAAGAAAACAACTCACCCTGGGATCGCTAGTGTCTGGCAGCTCACTGTCTGGAGACCCCATGCTACCAGCGCTAGTTCCTCTGTGCTTTAATTCCATCTGTGGACGACAAATGAACGCCTCTAATTAGTATGTAGATAATAAACAACGGCTGCCACAAGATGATGAAGCTCAGACACGGACTAAACCAGGAAAGACAGTCTCAAACTTTTACAGACAACAGTGTGGAAGAACGGAGGTAGAAACGGTTCTAGTTACAGCTGGCAATAGGGCGGGCCATGTAGAGAACATCTTCGCATGTAAAAGCCGGGGAATTTGTTGGAGTGAAACAAGATTTCGGGTGGACAGGCAATCTTGGCTTGAAGAAACTAATAGAATCGACATCTCGGGGCGCGGATATGGCTGGCAATTTTCCGCCTGGACAGATAGGTGACGTTCACGTGATTACAGCTGTCCAATCGCAGATCTGGGTCTGATTATTCTAGATATCCGCATGCGGTACATAGGGAAGAACGGGCTGGGGGTGGGGTGGAGGGGTGGGGGATGGGAAGGGCCCGCAGGTACCAGGAGACACAGAAGGCGGCAACAGGTCAGTAACGATAACGGCCACACAGTACGGTAGAACGGCTTGCGGATAAAAGTTTTTTAAAAAAAGTAAAGGACCCTTTTCGACGCCTTTTTTAGGCATATATTTTTTATAGACCAATCTGCACAAGATGGGTGATGCGGTCAGCATCACGCCGGCCGCCTTTACTTCCCGGGACTGCACCCGGTATCCACTCAAGGTTGGGTCGACCTGGGAGCCAAGGTTATTTTTGAAAAAAAAAAAGGTCCGGCTTCTCCACTGTGTATATCACAGAACTGTATCATTGTTGTTTATAGAGCTGAGCATGAGTTGGTTGAGAGTCTGTGCTCCGGTGGAAAAGGAAAGGCAGAAGGGAGCGAACTAGGAATACAAGCGTTAACAGAAACGACAGCTAAACAACTTCCTGGAAGAAAATGTGGATAACGAAGATGAAAATAAGAATATTGTCACAGAAAAAGACGATACAGGGTCACAGACAGGCAAGGTCGCTGGTGGAGAAACAAAACAGGACACGCCATCATTGAAGACTAATGACTTGCTTGTACTTTTATTTTTTGATTGAAGTCCTTGATGAAGACAGGAAGGGAGAGAAGAAAGCACCCGTCTGGTAAAGCTTGTGCCGACACTTACAGAATTAGCGTTAGCGACACAGAGCTCTTGATGCCACGGGTAACTAGAGTGTCTGTGTATATAGGAGATTCAACCCCTCCATCCCACACTAGGTGCTTATGCACACACAATGACCCCCTCCCCCTTTCCCGTGAATAGACTATCTTTTTGTAATATGCAAAAATGTATAAAATGTATATATTAAGTATCTGAGCACATGAATAACATCAGATGGAAGATGCATAACTGAGATAAGAAACCGAATAGGACATGCAAAAACTGCATTTTATAAAATGAAAAACATCTTGTGCAATATATCCTTGTCATTGAGAGTTAGAAAAATAATTCTTGCTGGCAACATACATCCAGTTTTAACATATGGCTGTGAATCCTGGACAATCGGTAGGCAGGCCAAACAATTTCTGGAGGCCTCGGAGATGTGGTTTTACAGAAGAATGCTTAGAATACATTGGACAGCCAAAAAGAGCTACCAGGAGGTTTTGAAAGAGGCGGGAGCCCAAAGACAACTTATCACAGACATCAGAAGGAGACAGTCATCATTTTTCGGCCATGTTATGAGAAGAGGGAAAATAGAACATGTTGTGACCACTGGAAAGATATGTGGAAGGAGAGATAGAGGAAGACAACGAGAGAAGATGCTTGACAGTCTTGTTGCATGGCATGGAGGTGTGTCGGTACATGAACTGATACATGCTGCAGGCGATCACAGATTATGGAGAGGCATGATCGCCCACGACAGTCGGCAAGGCACCTGATGATGATGATGATGATGTATACACGTAATATTATTTCCATCATATTTGACACATTATTATTATACAATTACGCAATGTATAATCCACCCCTCCCCGAACAACAAAAATGTGTTAAAGCTGAAGTCCTCCCGGGGAATGGTGTCCGGTTCGCCTAGCAAACAACATTACAGGATAGATGAGACAAAGACTACCAACAACGACATATCAATCTTTCCCGTACCTGCTGATGAAATCCGGTGGC